CGAAGTTCGCCGGGTCAGTTAGTAATCTATATATATAAAAGAAAGTCGTGTTAGTTACACCACTTATAATAACTCAAGAATGGCAGAATAGATTTGGCTGAAAATTGGCAGGGAGGTAGCTTAGAGCCAGGAAACCGACATAGGATACTTTTTAACCAAATTTTTTTTTTTTACTTTTTACCGAAAATCACGAACGGGGACGGGAAAAATGGGATTAAGCGTACGAAGTCGCGGGCAGAAGCTAGTTGAAATATATAAATGCAAAAACATCGCTACATACATTAGCAACCTAAAATTATTTCTCTTTGTAAATTAGCTGCTTAAACCAAAAAATGTTTTCGTATTTTTTATTTAAATTATTTCCATTTTATCATGTTAATGTGCATATTTACTGCAGGTCCCTAGCCAGTTGCTGGGATGAAATACTAACGAGTATTATTTTAAACAATATCTTTTTCAGTGTAAGTAGGTACTCTCTCACCTTCTACTTATCATGAAATATCTCGCTTGTATTTTTCTGAGACATTCTTTTGTTGTTTTCCAACCATCAGAGCATTGCGTTCTCATTTCTACAATGAACCATCTGCCTAAAGATCACAAAAATAAACAAAAACTTTGATATTAAATTCGTTCTTTGATCAACATCTGATGTCTGGCTCGTTGACTGCGACAGCTCAAAGAGTAACCTTACATCTATTAAACTGGATACAGAACTTTAGGTTGGATTTCTAAATGTTGTCTAAATAAAAAGTATGTGTCTGTTAAGATTATGATTATTATATGTAATAAACCACGTAGGTATGATATGAAAAGGTTACAAGGAAACTGAAATAAAAAAATACATTCACATTATAAGCGAGAGTAACGTCAACATACAAACATGAAACAACCATAACAAACAACGTCATGGTCAGGTCAGCATTATTTTACATTTGCCCAACCATACAGCAAACTTGCGGTGTTTTTGTTGTAAAAACATACAACATGGCGCCACTGCCAACAGTACTGCAAGTAATACACAGCTCGAGTTAAATCTCAGCGTTGGTGCTCTAAAATATTCAGGCGTGCCGTGACTCTGTGCCCCTAACAAAGTACGCTGTTTGCTAGCACAACGATCTCATTGCTACTGTGGTTTTTCTAGCAATACACCTTTTATTTATTAACTTCACCCTGTATACGCAAGTTTGAACAACTGAACTGTTACGACCACGTGCCCGCTTCCATATAAAACGTGTTATAAGTATAGCTAAAAGAAAGAGCTAAAACATAAGTACAAAAAATACAAACGTTCACCGTTAAAGTTAACCTTTGTTTATGATAACGACTACGTAACGAGTATTTATGAACACCATTATACTACTTAGTTAGCCATTAGAAGAAAAATCTTAATGTAATAAATGCTTACACTTCACAATTTCAACCATCCTCATGTTCTGGACACCCTTGTTTCGTGATGACGTCACGGACAGATCTGATTAACAAGATACGGCGCTCATTATCAAGTCATGAGCACAATACGACAGTTGCAGATGTTGCTCACAGACAAACGTAATATATTTGATGTATGTTATAAGATGTAGGCGAGGAATAAGTGATAAATGAAGGAACAAACTTCGTTGTTGCTACCTGTAGCTGTATTTTTGATTGATTAATTTTTGAACTGACTATATTAACTTCCCTAAGTATTTTTTTTAAGTTTTAACACTTTTATGGAAATTGAAAAACGAAATCTCTTTCGCCTAAAATTCAGACCTGGTCGTGATTCCTTTCGAATCAAAGTATGAAAACCGCTGAATTTTTTTATAAACGTGCAAGTGCTAAAGCATGTCCAGTTTTAAGGCCTTAACTAGTACCCATGGAAAGTTGTATCTTTGTTTAACCCGTCGTGTGTATAAACGTGGACCCACGCGAGATACAATGTATTTTCTATTGTGTCTCATATCGGTGTATTCAGGCATTTAATACCACCTTGTATGATGTCAATTCATTACAAATTAATTACCTTAAATGCTTACATGTCTTAATTATTTCGAGAAATGTGTATATAATGCTGTAACTCTCCACCTCTCCACGACATGGCAACTGACGGATGATTCAATTACCCTGCAGGACGTTAATAGCCCACTTTGTATTGTCGACATCGCTATGTACAAAATTAACCCTGACCCCCTCGTTACAAATGATCTTCCACTGTTTCGGACTTGAAGCAAACATAGGGTTGGTCTTAATGTAAATTAATTTGACAATTCTCGTCATTATTGTCCAAGTTGGTTTGTTTGACGATTTTAATAAATAGGTAGATACTTATTGCTTGCAAATAAATATTCATTTTGTATATTCAATTTATAATTAACTTTAACTTTAAATTAATTTAAACAGTAATACGTATGTACCTACCTAATGCTGGTATGTCTTCTACTAATACAAATAAAACTAAAACATAAAATGTGTCACTCGCCGCAAAAATCTGGAAAGGGTGATTTGACCGGTTTCGCTAATTCCTTTTTTATTATTTTTGTTTTTTATGGACATTATTTTTCTTACGGAAGATAAAAAAGTATCATCATCGGATTTGTTTTAAATGGTACCTTGGTGGAGCTAAACTACTTTTTCTACCGAACCTGCCGACTTCAAGATCTGCAGTCGTCACACCATACCCAACGATGCAATAAACAAGTCAAGGTATCAAGTGCAGTTCTATCTACTCAATCTCAAGATTACAATGAGATTATACTCCAAGATGAATATTGAATTAATGACAGAACAAATGTAGACAATGTAAGTACATGAAGGTCGAGACTAATGTACGACTCTAATTGAATTAGTCAATCCAACAGACTTTAGCCAAGGACTTTACAGAGATCTTGAAATTATGTTTGACAGTTAGTAATCATAAGACATATAATAATTAAATAACTTGGTTAGACAATTAAGTCTCACAAACATAGTTAAATGGAATCTTGATATCATTGTTGTCAAATTGTTGTAGAATGACTAGAGAATATTATAATGTGTATGGTTAAGTTGGTTAATTAGTTTAAGTAAGATATTTTGAACGAACAACCTAACTGGTTTGTGTTACGAGTATAACCTATGCTGGATATTAATTTATTTTTCGTTACAAAGTATGTCTGGAAAACCCTTTTAGGGTTACCTACGAAACATTGTTTTCGTATGCTATATCAACTCAGTAGTAATACTATATCACCTAAAAGTGACATTCATATTGTTGGTTTTTAGTAGCCGACAGTGAGTGTACGTATTCTATCTATAAGTGCATTCTTCTGTATCTACCTGAAACTTAGTATTGAAGCTAAATATACTTGCTTACCGGGAAACAACATTCTCTCTATTAAGTACCTACGAGAATAAAAAGTTATTTTAACAAAATATATTTGAATGGGTACCTACCTATTAGTTGGAAGAGGGTTGACGATCGATCTAATTCTGTCTTTTAATACTCTCCAAGTTTTAAGTTTTCTTATCTTAATTACGTTTCCAGTTTTAGTTAAATCTTTTCCATTTCCGACTGAAAGTTTTGAGTTGATTTAGTGTCGTATTCTTAAGAATTAATACTGAAACTTGACGCCTAAGAGCTACCCTTTTGGTCGAAGACAGAAGTTATTAAAATGGACCATTCATACCACAGCATCAGTTAGATTTGATTTTCCATCAATACCTCTTAATTTATTGGTTTGTTAAAGAAATTCTTGGTGGTAAATGACACTTTTCAGATGAATGTGAAATAAAAATTAATATTTAATGATGATCTTTAAAAGAATTTATTACTTAAGGTATTGAAATAAGTATAAATACTTAGAAACCTAAGGTAGTAGAAAATAGTATCTACCTAAGTACGGACAATTTATTAGGTACGAGAAGAAGCGAAAAATTTGGTCAGTGATGTATGATGATATATAGTTTTCTCTTGTCATATATCCTAGTAGACTGGTAAGGTGTTATTACATAATCAGAATATAGACCTTGTTGAAGGAAATAAATAGTAAGTTCTGTTCCTATTACAAATAGTGATGTACCTACATCATATCGATATCTGTAACTACAGTAGAAAAGTTAATGAAAGTAGCAAGTAGTTCATTTTAACAGTCGCCTATCAAAAAAAAACGATTGACATCGCACAACAATCCAAAAGTTAGATTCAATAACCACTTTCGATTCAGCTCTATTGTAATAAATTGTGAAGCCTAAAGGCAAGTAATTATGATTTTGTGTCTGAAGTCTGGAGAAATGAAGTTGGAGAAGGATTTTGTACTATAAGACCTATATACTATTTTTTTCCTTGAGCATGCAATTTATAAATATAATAGGTAGGTACCTGATTATGGTGGGTACTCTGTTCTGTGGCATGGTATAGTCTCTACCTCCTTTAATTTTCCAAAACACTATAAAACAAACTTTGGGTTTAGTTGTTGATAATTTGTACCAGTTTTTGCTACAAACCGCAATTTAAACCAAAGTTCAGGAGTCGAAGTAATAAATTGATTTCTCCAAACTATGAAATGGACCCATAACTTTGTAACAGCAAATTGTTTTCTAATATTTACGTGAACGTTGTTGATTGGAGGAGGTATAACTTTACCGGTTCACGGCTAGAGATGAATGTTTTTGAATTCCATAACCGTAACTGAATCCGATGTGAAAGTTTCGGTTAAGTTCGGATTTAGACAATCTCTATCAGATTTACTAATGACTGACGACTCATTTATCATTAATCAAAATTAAGGGATGCAATGCACCTTACTTTATTTTTGAAAGAGGTGACGTCATTCATCGTGGTAAGAGTGCACTGTTTATGCACCAGTTATGTTATGACCACCATCTAATAAAAGATAATCCAATTGCTACGCACCGAGGTCAATTTTAGTTCCATTCTATTACAGACTACTTACTCGTACTACTTATTCAAAAAACTGAAACCGCAATACCCAATTCTTTGCCCAACCCCAGGAAGACGAACTAAAGAAAATGAGAGGTCTCACCTCTCATTTTCCGTTGATATAACTTTATATAAATAGGTAGCAGGTCTTATTTCTACAGGTATCCGTATCCAGATCCGAAATATCATTATCATAACATCACTTTTTCCCAGTTTAAAGCTTCATTTAATTTTCAGTTCGACTTTTGTAGCCTGCGGTCTGTGGCGCGACTTATAATTAGGTGGGTGCCTTTTCTTTGCGGCAAATGGCTCCCACTCTTAGCTTTAGAATAGTCCAATATAAGTTGAAAAGGAATTCGAAGTGGGACTGGCTCATTATTCGATTAGGAACTGATTAGTCAAAGGTGGTTAGCATATTAAAATAGTTGAATGTTGTTGAATTCAACTAATGTTGAATGGAGCCACAATTAGCCAATGTTACAATATGTGTCTACCATGTTCAATTCACAATGTCTGATTATGTAAGTAGGTATATCAGAAAACATATTTTCCATTCGAAATACTTACATGGAAATAAGCATGACTGTAGTACTTACCTATCATCAGTTAAGCTAACAGCAACTTTAACAAACAATGTAAAATAAGTCCAAGTTATAGTAAAGTATCGTAGGTGTCGTTTAAACACGTAGGTATCTATCGTAGTTCATTTAGTAAGTACTGGGTAATAGTAATCAAATTCAATTTTTTATTGCATTTTATCACGTGCACAATAGGTGTTACATAATTGGGTACAGTTTCCACATGAAACCCGGTTAGGGCACGGCAACGTAGGTACTTATAAAGCAAAATATAATCTAATTAATTCACTTATAATATTATCACATAAAAAGTTATTATTTTCATTCTAAACATTAAAATTTTTCCTTAAAATAATGTGTATTTACATATTTATGTAAAAATAATTTTTTCTTAGTTATAGGTATTATTATACTATTTGTGTTAATTGTATGTAGGTAGTTTATGTAGGTACTATTATGAATTTTAGTTAGGTATCTAGAATCTAGATTATTATATATTAAATGGATACTTATTATAGAAATGTTATTTTCAAACATAGATGTACTGTTATGTTCAAAGATAAGTAGACAAAGTATTCAATTATATATATTCTGTTTATCGATTTATTATATGTGACGGATTAAACAACAGTGCCTAGTTATCCAGCAATTCTAGCATTGTATTAACAATAACATGAGAATAGATATCTATCTATAATTCTGATTTACTTTTCTCATAAATCTCATATAACTAGAATATGGAACATACCTATGCTTTGTGTACCTACTTGGGACAATATGATAACTGCAAAAAAATACTTGCAGATATCATATACCTACATGCTACTATCGAAGCCTTTTTTTAAGGGGGGAAAATCATCGAATGTCTGCTCCCGCCTGGGTGAGGTGGGAGGGAGTGTCAGACTCTTAAAAAACCACCCCGTTCCTTCTCCTGCACGTCGAGCCGGAGCCCCGGTTACCCGTTAGGTTCTCCGCGACACTATCAAAACCTAGGTGCACTTGTGCAGCTGTGACGGGCTTATGATAATGATTTCTTTTTTATTCTACTATCATTAGCAACCAAGCTTAGGCACAGGCCTTACGATAGTAAGCCGTCACATCAGCATAAGTAGACCAGAGTAGAGGTATAGGTAGTAGAGGCATCACAAGAGCGTTGCCAACAAAACGCAGCAACATTATATACGTCATTTAGAAATTAAGTGCCGTAGCTTCTAAGAATAAAAAAAAACCAAAATCTTGACCTAGGACCGCCCCAGAAATTAACCCTGAAACATCTAATTCAGCCATCGCATTTGCACACTTGGACCAACGACATAGGTGTAAGTGTAAATTCATCATGCACACACAACTCCTTTGCCTTTGATACCTACCCGTACCTACCTATCCATTTCCTTATCCACGTTTATCTACTTAAGTACTTACTAGCTTTTGCCCCCGACTTCGACCGCTTTCCCGAGGGATAAAAAACATACACACATACACACAAACACAAAAACTCACAAACCTTTGCATTTATAATATTAGTAAGATACACAGTATCACATTCTTATCAGTACACCTGTAATTACTTATGTCTTACAACTTTATCTATTTAGGTAAACACAATTCCGCTTCGTTTTTTAGCAACTACGAAAACAATGTTCTCTTAAAAAAAAAAACAAATGTATTGTTGGTGAATGGACTAAAATAGGAAGTTGCTTTCCTGTCTCGAACCTTGAGACTTCTTCCTATTAGTCTATTATACCTAGGCATTTACACAAAGCTTGTTGCCCCAAAGATTGATTTCAATTACCTAAGCAGTTTTAACTAATAAAGTAAATGTCTGCATCCGCCTTACCTACATCCGATTCCGGGTATTAGCAGTATTTTTACTAAATAAGCACCAACCTAGATATCTAGAGGCATAGGTACCTAAAAATTGATGCACACCACCTACCTAGGTACATACCTAACTATTATTTCATTATTATCAAAATTAATGTGTCATTAGGTCCCTATACCTACAGGTAAACAAGTACTTACCGAGTTTAATCAGTTGTTTAGAAAAAATGCATTGGTGATATAACATTGTGGTTTTTTTCATCATTAGGTATAGGTACGAATAAATACCAATATAGATAGTCTATTCGACAGTCATTTTAAACTGCGTGTGCATTTTTATGTTTTAAAAAAAGTTTCATAGTTTCAAGTGATTAAATGAATTCGTAAGCACCTAAGTACTTAACCACCAATCAAAGCTATATCCTAAAGTTAACGAGGTCTCATTTTACTTCTTCTTTCTTTACCACTAGCAAAAATATTTTTGCAAAATAATTGTAAATCGCAAGAGACGCATGTGTAAGTCGCTACAACAGAGACATCTAGTTTGTCATGAGGAAACTAATATGTACATCGACAAACATGTTATTGAAATTAAAATTATATTAGTCCGTCGACCAGACAAAAGGCAATAAGAAATTTAATAGGAATATTTCGTTATTAGTACAAATATTTTTTATAATTTAATTAGCAAAATCCAATTAGACTACTTAGGCTGTAAAAAATTATACCTTTACCTGAATCTACGTGCAGAAGGTAAACGAAACGTCGCGGAAATTAAAAAGTAAATGAGCTAGGTAAAGTGACGGTCGACAGCTCATCGTTGCGTTGTTTTCGATGATCATTTTAAAGTTTTTAAACATTTGCTAGGAGTGTTGTGATCTAAATCTTTCTACCAAGATGTGGGATCCAACTCATGTTCAAGTTACTATTCAAAGGGCTCGTGGACTTTTGATCAAAGGTAAAAATGGTGCAAATAACTGTTTTGTTACGATCGCTCTCGGTAAAGATAAATTCCAAACTTCCGTCAAACACAAAGCAACCCAGAATGTCGAATGGGTTGAAGAATGTGAATTACGTATACCTACGCAGGGAAATACGGCTGAGATTGTTTTAAAGGTGTACGACGAAGATCTATTAAAAGACCATTTACTAGGTCAAGTATCGATTCCGTTAAAAGACCTCGATGTTTACGAGCGGCCAAGAAGCCGTTGGTATACCTTGCAGGGAAAATCTGGAAAGGAAAATGATAAACCTAGGGGCGAGTTGGAAGTCAAAATCGCTTTTACTGTTAAAGAAGGAAGCTTAACTGATTTGAGCAAGAAAGATAAACATAGGTCTTCTTTGTCTAGCATCGCGCAGAATGTAGGTGGCAGTCTCATGAGCATTGGTAGCATTGAGAAACGTAAAAGCATCAAGAAGTTTGCTAAAAATCTTGGTTCCAAAATGAATTTAAGTAAGAAAGATAAAAAAAGTGACTCATCATCCTTAAGTGGTAGCATTGGGAATCTCAAGAGTTCAACATTTTCTACTCCTGAGCATTCCACTCCTAAACGCGTGCCAGGAGAGGCAGACCCTGGGGTCATTAGCGAGGATGATGATGAGTTTGCTTTTGATGATTTGTCTCATAAAAGCTCTGGAAGCTCACTTAACGTTCAGACTTTACCACGAGGTCATAAATACACACCTTCACCTGTGAATGCTTCATTGGAAAATCTAGGAGGAGGTGAATTCTTGAGAAGGTCCACTAGTAGTAACTTGGCAGCACCAGAAAAGCAAGCTCCGCAAAAGCCTGTGCGCCTGAGCCTGGACACATTCACAGCTCCACAACTACCGGCACAGGTCATTGACAATAATGATGAGTGGTCACAGAAACTTTATTCTAAGCGAAAATCAAACAGTCAATTAGCTATTGATAGAGAAAAGTCTTCAAGTCTAGAAAGGAACAAGAAACTTGATAGTCCAAGTTCTTTGAAAGAGAGGCCTAGTCCAAAGTTCTTCAAGAAATTTGGTAATAATAACAAACAGAAGAAACTGTTGGAAGAGCGTATTATTGTCGGAGAAGAGAATATCGCAGAGGAAGACTCTATAAACCCAGCATTCAATAACATTCCTAAATCCATTGTTAAGGATTTTGATGGCAAGTCTCGAGAAGACTTAATGGTCATGGTTTATAACTTGCAAAAAGATGTTGAACATGAGAAGAAGAAAAATAAAGATCTCGAAAACTATCTGGATGAGCTGCTTCTGAGAGTAATGGAAACTACACCAAGAATTTTACAGAATCCTTACACTAGAAATAACAGCATGCATATTAGAAACAAATAATTTTTATCTAATTGCCAAAAAAAATCAATAAAGTTATCAATTGCATGATTGCAAAGATAAATATATGGCATGCCTCATTGTATTCAATGTTTATGTTATAATCATTGTTTAAAGAAATTTTCTTTGAGCATTGTTTAGGTTGCTATATATGATTTATGTTGAACAAGAATTATAATTGAAAGAATTGTTTTTCCAGTGAAGTATTAGGTAATCACTAGTGACACTTATCTATTAAAATTAGTGGAGATTGTGTATGAATTAAGTTAAATTATCTACATGCTCGTCAACTTTCACTTCTCTGAAGATCTAATCACATACAAACTTAGTGCCTTATGTATTTGAAAAGTCTGTGATAGATATTATAATTTGGTTTATTTGGATTCATATTTCAGAAATTTTGCATGTTTCATATTATCTTATCTGCTATTTCCAATCTCAGGGAATCAAGATGATAATCACGTCATGATTGATAAGTCAATATAACAAATATGCTACTATATAGTACTGTTATATAAATTTTAGTTGTAATCCAAGTACCTAATTTGTGTAAAATTAATTTTTTATAGTCAAATAACTAAATAGAGAAACAATTGCGTACTGCCATTAATTTTGTAAAATATACTTCTCAATTTCATACAAATACTGGTTGACTAAAGTTGGTGCCAAACTGAGAAAGAAGTTCCATTTTATGTTATACTTAGGTACCTCAAAAATAGGAAAGGTGATTGAACATCAAAATGATTGTGATATTGTGTGTGCTTCTTATTCATTTAAATTAGGAAATACTAGTTGGAATCATATGAAAGAATTTTTGTTGGTCAAAGCTATCTCTATCATTTTTATAAACATAATGCTTATTGCTTGTTCACACTATGGGTAATCTATCTCACAATCCTCATGACACATGTTACATGAGTCATAGGTGTGTATAATAATAAGTGACTAAGCCATTGACTGTGAAGGCATATAGATAGCTCAAAGATCTAACAAACCTAACAAGACTCAAAACGTTGTACCTAAAGAATCCATCCAAATTTAATTCCATGAGGTTGTTCATTATTTATTTCTTAGTCTAAAAATATTTTTCTTTAATTATAGTTGCATTAACATGCATATTATATCAAGTATTTTTTAGTGCAAATCATATAATATTTTCATATATTTACGTAAATCGAAACTTATTTTGTAAGAAATGCCTTAGTGCAATAATTAAAAATTAGTAGGTAGTTTTGTTTTTGTTGATATCTATACATTTTATGTTTAACTAACATTGAAGTATTACTTATTAACATAAACATACTTGTAACAAATACTTATATTTGATTCATCGGGATCTGAGGATTGTTTAACATTTATAATTTTATTTTGTGTCATAGACTTATCTATTTAAAGTAGGTAGGTAAATAGAATAGATGTTGATTTATAAAATGTTTTTAACAATCTTCCATTTATAAAATATTGTGATATTTGTTCAAAAGGCGAACGGAACAAATTAACAGTAGATTGTATTTATAAAACGAAAAGTAAAGCAATTATTGAATAAGAAATTAAGGCCTTGTGTATTATTGAAATACTTGTTTAACGATTATTACTAGATTTATTTATTTGATTAAGCATATTGAATAGATAAATTATTTTTCTAATTAGGGTAAACTACTAACTCTTAAGTTAATTTTATTAAAACAAAGTTAAGAGGAAAGTAAGTTTATACTATCCGATAAAAATGTCTACATTTGTCTCTGATTTTTTCAATAAACTTTTTTTTCTATTATTGTTGTTATTTTAAATTTTCCTGCTCCCTAATGAGACGCAATGAGCTCACCCGTCGGTAAGTGAGCACAAAAATGTTAGCTCTTATTCCCTTCTGGTCGATACTAATGCAACAAACGACAAACAATTAAACCTCAAAACGTGGTTCATACAAGGATAATATTTTTTAAATAAATTTTCAACCCTATGCCATTGCAATAAAGATGAAACATTTCGTACAGAAAACAAATTAACCACCAATTAGCTAGACTAACAGAAAGTTAGCAGGATGATGAGAAATAAGAAAACAACATAAGGTATTTTTTATGAAATGATTTTAATTGGGAAGTATATAAAAAATCACTTATAATTAGCAATTCATTTATGGCGTCGACTCTTGGTGGGCACTGCAACTGGGGCTGATGCCGCATACGTCTTTTGTGACAACTTGTTCATATAGTAGATTGTTATTAGAGAGAATATTAAGCTGAAACGACAATACAAAATTATTGTAGCTAAATAATATCACGTCTTTTATCCCCGAAGGGGTAGGCAGATGTGCACATAGAAGTAACACCCATGTTTCACTATTAATGTTATGAGTCCCATGTAATAGGGGGTGAGCCTATTGCCATATACCGGGCACATTTCCAGTCTCCATGCTACTACTGAGATTTTTAAAAACCCAGTAATACTTTGCCCGACCCTGAAATCGAACCCGAGACCCAATGCCCGGCAGTCGCACTTGCGACCACTCGGCCAACGAGGCAGTCTACATAATAATCTAATGTCTACTTAATACAGTTATTATAACTACATAATATACATATTAAAATAGCTCCTTGATCCAGTGGTCGCAAGTCCGACTGCCGAGCAAGAATATGATTTCCAGGCTGGACAAAGTATTATAGGGCTTTTTTTTATCGCCCCCGCTGCGCACCGCTTATTACGTGGAGAAGAAGTATAATATAACTAGTGTAAAGTGGTGTTCCATTGTCTATGTACACCTCTACATTCAGAGTTGAAAATTAAATTGTGTGATCTAAAACCGATTGTCCAAAGAGAACGGCCAAGAATGGAGATTCAGTTTAATCGGTCATAAAAAAAACATTCTGTAATGTCTTTACACAAAAGCCTTCTTCAGGGATTACTGCAGTCTGATAAACTGTCTAATTCTTAATTTAAATTGAATTACTAATTATTTAATCAATTACTGTATTTGACATTGAATTTACCAATTGGTTAGTTATTTTTATTGCACATCAGGGTCAGTCTGTTCTTTTTATTGGATAGGTAATCACTTCTGCTCATGCAGGTAATTTTTTTACATGGCAACAATTTTATGTTTTTACTTTGATGATGTGATGAAGTATGTCATTATTGACTATCTTAAGTACATAATATTCTTTGGTGTAGTTTCTTTTACAGCTTTAATTGAATTATATTGTAGGTACTTGTATGCAATCAATTTATTGTTTTTTTTTTTTTCTAAATAATAAAACAAACTTTACCATGTAGTGAAGCAGATTCTGTGCACCATACCAGCCGCTATTAAAGAAATAGCCATAGAAATGACTACTTCGGGCAACTTCAGTTGGAAGTTCTTGCCAAATAATGTTGCTTCTAAGTTACCTATGGCCTGTGAAATTATGTTAAGGAAACAAATTCATAAACTACAGTCAAGAATTAAATGTAAACAAAGTAAAATTATGTTTCTAAGCAAATTTTGAAATAAAGAGAGAAAACATGTCCTCTATAAAGTCACTTGCACATTTATTTACGTATATATGGTAGGTAATCCAGAAATGTTACTTTAACTTTATTATTTTAAATTCTTAGACATTCGTCTATTTATTCAAATAGTACCTATAACAATCTTATTAGACAAATAGTCAACATAGATCAAGCATTGGTTTAGAAAAGGATACTGTAACAAAGAACATGAACATCAATGAACCGAGATAGCCGCCGAATATTATAGTCACTGGTGACCTTATCAAAAGCGGTTTGTACATCTGCATCCCCGAAAATATGAGGAGAGTCAAAATTGAAGATAACACGAAGGACGTGGCACTGTTCACCGCTGAAATGAGGAAAACTTACGTTAATGTATGCATTTTATGGTTAGAAAATGAAAATAAATGTACTGTTTAATTTTAATACTCAACCCATTGTAAAGATTAATAAATATTCAATGTATTTTAAGATAAATTTCGGCAACAAGAAACGCCGCAATGAAATAACCGTGTTAGTTTGACAGTGACAGTGACAGCCAAGTGGGCCAAGCAAACGAACCGCCACATTTCATTGAGTTTAGTTTCCACACTTTAATAATACAAAATATTAATATTAAACAACATCGGAACCATTTATTAAATAAAGTTTTTTTTACTAACAAATGATAAGCGATCGTTAATTATTTTTATAAGTGAGGTACTTAAAATTTGTTTTTTTTACTAGTCTTTTTTCCAAGCCTCGCGTTTCCGCCGTTTCATGTTATCAGTATGACAGTTCAAACTTGTTATCAAAAGTCAAAACTATGTGAAAAGTAAAATAAACAACAAAATCTTGCTTGACATCCAACTTTTGATAATGATTGATAACAGACCACTAGTAGATGACTATACACTCTTGCAGGAATTAATTAAAGTTACGTAAAAGCAGAAAATGGCACATATTTCAAAAACAATTAGTTCTAAAATACTGAATAAGTCAACACATCGTTGTCTTGTAAGTACATTCTGTAATTTCTTTTTAATATTTGTATCTCTATGATAAACTTAATAGGCTTAAATTCGAAATTATAATAAGTTACAACAATATTTAATTAAAGTTTTAACCTAATTGGTAAACATGTAAGTTCAACAACATAATAAATCGTTAAATGTTAACTCATTGTTCATCTTTAAACTTTTTTTATGTTTACAGAGCACAGCCGTATCTCAGATTAGGATCTATGAAGTGGGCCCGAGAGATGGTCTTCAAAATGAAGCTAAATTTGTTCCCACTGATATTAAAATAGAACTAATAAATAAATTGGCAGCTGCTGGAATAAAAGACATTGAATCTGCAAGGTATGTTTCACTTAATTTATTATGATGAGTGGCCAGTGCCACTAGAATTATTTTTGTTTTACTACCTACTGGAAATAAGTCTCCTGTGTATGGCAGTACACTACACTAGGCTTGTTAGAAAATGTGTATGTGTATACTTATATAAACACATACAGTAGTGTAAAACACACTACTGTATTAAAATTAGTCATTTTATTAAGCTACCTGTTTAAAAAAGATTGAATGATATAAAAGATAGAATGAATGAAGGAAATGTTTAAATAAGGTTTTAGTGTAACTCCTGGATAATTTTACATTTATTTTTCATTCAAATTATGTAGTTTAAGCTAACAGGGACAGGCCCCTAAATATGGTAGAATCTAATAAATTGCTGAATCTGTTATTCAATAGATATTATATCTATACAGGCACAGTTATATAGGCTGTTGCAGGGATGATGAACCATGGGCATGCAACATAATATTTTAGGCATGTCACTTAACTCTTACATAGGCTATGGTGACAGCTTACCATAAAAGGGACAGTAGCCTTTGTTACTCACAGTAACTACAAGTTACTGCAAAAGTTCAAAAGTATTTCATGCCACATAATATGACCTCAACAAACACGGCATGTTGATACATAAAGGTTCACCATCTCTGGGCTATTGAATTCCAATGATAGATATGTAGCAACCTACTTATGTGTTAAGCGACCATTTGTATGCTCAAACTTGCTTTAACTTAATTAGCAGACAGATGAAACTAATACCGATTTTGGCCCTCTTATGCAGTGTAGTATTCATTATTGATGAAGGTTGTTTGATTGTAACCTTTATATAAATCCATGTAACATAACATCAAGCAAATCCCCAATGGAATAGGCATATAGGTACACATTTCCAAGTAAAATTCACTCTTCTCCAGTTATGACTAAGGTTCCATGTTCCGTTAGGGTCCGATGTCAGATGGAATGAGCCTGTTCCAGTTTACTTTATTTGTCTAAAGGAAGTTCAATATCAAGACTGCGCGGATGACGCAATGGCTGAGTGGCGCTTAACAGTTTGACATTACCCTGCAGTCTGAAAATTCAGAAGTTTAACGATCCTTAAAAATCGACAGGCATAGAGTTAACATAATCGGTCGACTATGCGAGTCTTCGGCTAGTCCCTAGAGTCCAAAAACATCGTAAACAAACGAGGAATGTGATGTTTAAGCTTTTATTGTCCAAGTTACTTGGTGGGTTACGCCATGCAGAAGATCATCGTCAACCTTGGCCAACGTCAGTCTAGTCGGAAAAACGCCATGCTAGGAAAAATAATGTGAATTTCAATCCAAGCTTATGCGTCCTCCTCTCGGTGTGTCCTTAACTTTTTCTTTCAATCGTTCTTGCCGTATCATGTGATCGAAGAAATCGAAGAGACTGCATTCTGATTTAATTATTTATCTATTACAGTATGTAAATTAATATCCCTACTATTTAGTAAACTTACATTATTTTCTTTACACTTATTAATAGTTAGTCAAATTACATATGTAGTCATGTAGCTAGAAGGTAGGTGGCCTAATTAATTTCTAACGGCGCGACGGCGTCGATTGCATTATAAAATTTCTCATTGTTTAAACCACTTAAACACATTCACTGTCGTAGCAACAACGTATCGTGCTTGTCGCGTAATCGCGTCAAGGCGTTGGGTTAAAAAACATTCCACGATTTCAATCATTAGAGACTAATTAACGCTTGTTCTCATTCTAGTTCTCATGTCATAATGTACTTAGTTAAAACGTTATCTCTTTTAGGCAATCAAATAACTATAGAAGACCTTCGGTCTGGTGTGATGGTACTCGAAAATTGCAGTGAATTCAAATTCAAAGCAATTTTCGATTATGGAAAATTTCACGTGAGCAGTATATTTGCATCCAACATTTTATCTAACATCTAATACCTCTAACATACAGTTAATTGTCAACCTCGTCAACAGTTTCGTTAGTCCAAAATGGGTGAAACAAATGAGCGACGGTGTGGACGTTATGAAGAACATTCCGAGAGTGCCAGGAGTAAACTACCCGGTGCTTGTGCCTAATTTAAAAGGATACGATATTGCAGTAAGACTTTGTTTCCTTCTTATGTAACAGACTTAAATAAATTCTTTCATAAAAAGAATAACTATTCTCAAGGATACGACTTAGCTAATGAAATATCCTTTGCACTACTCACAAGATTTCATTACCTACCTATTACAGTAACGTCCTAGACCTAGAATATATCTAAATAAATCTACTCTTTACACAGAAACAATGCAACATAGAAGAAGTGGCAATATTCCCAGCTGGGTCAGAGGCCTTCTCTCAGAAGAACTTAAACTGTTCTGTCGAAGAAGGTTTGAAGAGGTTCAAGTTGGTAGCTGATCAAGCTGTCAAGGATGGTATCAGAGTGAGAGGCTATGTATCCTGCGTCGTTGGCTGTCCCTATGAAGGCCCCATACATCCGAAAGGCATCGCGAAGGTAATGAATTGTCTATTCATTCAAGATAGTTTGGCCATAGCAATTCAAGGATCATTTACTTCCTCATTTCAAATCACTTGGTAATTTATAGTACCTATATCCAGTATGCCTTTTACATAATGATTCAGTGTGTCCTGTAATTAAAATGTTCAGTATGAATATAAATTCACAATAATAGCAGATGTTTTGCGGTTTTAATGCGAATGTGTGTTTAAAATTCTTGCAACTTTTTCGTTGTTAACATAAACATTTTTTTGCATCATACGTAAATTCCATAAATAAACAGCTGGTATCTATTTTCATAAAAAAATACTGGTACACTAAAAGTCCTTATCGTTCCAACTAGGTATAATATCTGACACCTTAGTGTGGGTAAACATTTTGTATTCTGAGAATATTTTTATTACTTTCGTTTCGTGTTTATGATGAACACGAAGCATCGTCAAAAGGGGCTAGAGAATAACGACTTATTGAATATGAGCTCGTTAAAAATACAGACAGTATTTACCAACCGTACTTGAGAATTTAGTCATACATTTCAAAACAAATTGTACTATTGCTACAGATAACAGAACAGTTGTTCGAGATGGGGTGCTATGAGGTCTCCTTGGGGGACACCATTGGCGTGGGAACAGCGGGATCCGTCAAACGACTGATGCGAGAAGTCCTAACCGTCGCAAAGCCTGAACAACTTGCTTTACACTTCCACGACACCTATGGACAGGCTTTATCGAACCTTGTGGCTGGATTAGAGGTAATATTATGATGATTTACGGACACAAAGGCCTGAGACGAGTTACAAAAATCTACACATACTTTTTTATCTATAAGGCCATGGAGAAAACAATCTTATATCCATTCTTATAGATCTAAATATCTGTCAGTTGAATACGTACATAAGTGACCTAAGGTCAAATACATATTAGACTCAATGAATTCAAGATGAAATTTTTATCAGCGTATTAAATTCGTGTGACGAAATCGGGGCGAGTCGCTATGATTGCTGCAGTGTACAAATATGTATATAGTAGCGATTGTGCCACAAACGATTAGCTACATAGCAAACAATAGGTGGATAGGGAATGTCCATTTTCCCTGTACGATAAATAAATTTAAAACCTTCACGTTCCAGTCTTTGTATGATAAAATAAAACAATGTTTACCTACATACTATAATGAATATAAATATTACGTGATGATATAGGGTTCATACCTCTATAATTGTTTTCAATTCATGTGTTTATACTGCTTATCAACCAAAAGTATTAAGTAATTTTAAATTGTATGGTTTCCCAAGACATCGTCACAAAGGGATTCGCATCGTTTAGTAACAACAATTCTAGAATCTTACTTATCAGCTCCTCAAACTCATAAATATACTTATTCGACTTAGTTACCATTGTCGCAGATAACATTTATCAATCCTTATCTGGAACAGCTGGATATGTTGTAAAAGTATACAAAAATAATATGTTATTTACCAGTTTCTTAACAACAGCGCTCATTCGCATAGCTCTTGTTACGTCATCAGACAAGCCTCTTAGCATAACTTGTTTTTGCAGTTTGGAATAAAAACTGTGGACTCGTCTATCTCGGGGCTGGGCGGGTGTCCATACGCGCGCGGTGCGAGTGGCAACCTGGCCACAGAGGACCTCGTCTACTTACTGTACGGACTGGGAGTCAACACCAACGTGGACCTCGTCAAACTCATCGAGGCCGGACGATACATTTCCAACTTCCTCGGCAAACCTACCGAGTCGAAAGTCAACCGTGCTATAAGCGATAGGTTCAAAAATCACAGTGATATTGTCAAAATAGCCTCGTGCGATATTTGACCGTGAATCATTGTAACTGGAGAATGTAAACATTCGCAAATCGAAAACAAAGAGTCGACAGCTTTTGTAAATACCTTCATGCATATACTAATAAAATGATAAATTATTTTCTTTGTTCGTAATAATTTTAAGAGATGCAATTTATTAGCAATAAACAATGTTTTGAGATACTGTCTGTGTATTTTATGCCCTCACCATGGACATGTCGGTGGTCATGAACGTCGTACACATGTTGTACATACCTACAGGTTTTATCAATTATCATGCGGAGTGGGTGCGGGTACAGGCCGCCGGCGCAGGCGCGCACACTCGAGCGGCCGCCGCGCAACGAGCTGCTCGCTTTTATATTGAATTGACCTTATTTATCCGATTTGATCTTGAGCGAGAGGTCGATAAACCTTCGCTGCATAGTGCCAGTGTAAACCCTACGCGCAGTCGGAACCGAAAGCCGGTTTCGCGTTGTTTGTTTTTATGGAACAAGCGTGACAGTCAACATGGTAGAAGTGAAGATTAACGACGAAGTCAAAGTTGGCGGCAACAATCCGTGCTTCATCATAGCGGAAGTCGGACAAAACCACCAAGGAGATATTGAAATAGCAAAAAAGTTAATAAAAGCAGCTAAGGTAAGCCACATTTCCAATAACAATTGTGGCCGGAAAACATTTGTTCGCTTTGTTTACGTTGAAAACAAAACAAAGAGTGATCGTTTTTCTTCAAGTATTCCATGGACTTGAAACTTGTGCATATTAAGAGTGCTTTGCGTTGCGACACTTGTCAATAGATTACTAAACCTTGAATACCTAAGTATCTTGTACTATGCAAACCACATTTTGATGCACGCTATAGCTACATGACTAGATATTACTTGTTGCGTTAAAAGTCACACCCGAGTTAATTGTTTTGTAATCAGTAATATTTTTGATTGCACAGCTTAGCCTCCTTTAGTATTGGATTATATCATGATGTAAAACTTCCCACTAATCTGTTTGTGCAGATGATGTCATCAAAACAATATACACAAGTATACAAGTCCGATTAACAAGATTTACTTATCACTGTAAACAGCAAATTGGATAAAGTTTTAAACGGATTGTGAGCTGACTGAAGCAATATGTGACTAGCTATCTATTACACAGTTGCTATATGTTTCTTAATTGACATTACAGGATGCAGGTGCCAACTGTGTCAAGTTTCAAAAGACTTGTCTCAAAGAGAAATTCACAAAGAAATACTTAGAGCGGCCGTATGATAACCCCAATTCTTGGGGCAAGACTTATGGCGAACATAAAAGACACTTGGAATTCTCAGAGAGCCAGTACAGAGAATTATTCAAATACGCACATGAAGTAGGAATACTATGCACGGCCTCTGCTATGGATATGGTGAGTTATCTTTGTACCTACTTTATAACCAAGTCTTTAATTTGGTCTCGTGATACTTGATGAACCCAATTAAGTCAATCAAATAGTTCATTGGCCAATGATCGTTTGTAAATACAGACACGGAACTTTATCACTAGTGCCTATCAGAATTGGCTTCCTATATTACTTGCAAATAATTTAAAATATGTAAGCAATTTGTGGTCGCAGACAGGTACACGAAAATACTTTCACGCTTCATGCTCTTAAATAACTACTTAGGTACCTACCTATAAGGCCAATGTGCTTGGTAACATAGTAACAGGTGTTCTTGATCTACTAAACAATTATTTTACACTCTAAGTGAAAGGGGCATTAGTTTCAATTTACTTTGAAGATAGTAGATTAGCCTCCCACCTTGTGGATATGTGAAAAGTAAACTCGGATAAAATTTAAATATCCTGGCGTTTTTATTGACTTGGTGTATATGCAGCTGTAAACTTAATGAGTTAAAGAAAGATGTTTCTGTGTAAAAGGTGATAACGGTTAAGACACTTTCAAAATGTCTTTCAAAGTGGTGTCACTTTCAACCACACACTATTCTACCACATTTTGTATTTTTATAGACAAACATTAATCGAAAATCTTCATAATATTTCAGGTCTCCTTCGACTTCTTAGTCAACATGAAGGTACCATTCATCAAAATTGGATCGGGTGACTCGAACAACTTGTTGTTCTTAAAATATGCCGCATCAAAACAGGTCCCTCTTATTATATCGACGGGAATGGTTGATAAGTCTGCGGTGAAAACTATTTATGATATAATTTCGGCGCAACACAAGAATTTCTGTCTGCTGCACTGTATCTCAGCGTATCCCGTTCCTTATGAAGACTGCAATTTGACTGTGATTCAAGATTATATGAACACGTTTGACATCCCTATCGGGTACTCTGGACAGGAGGTCGGCACTGCTGTAGCATTGGCGTCTGTTGCTTTGGGAGCTAAGGTAAATATTGCTCATTTTTATCTTTACTAAGTAGATACTCACTCACCAAATGTAATATGGAAAGTAAGTTATTTGATAGGTCGACATTTGGCCACACTCTCACTAGGTTCTTAAGATTTTGCAATCCATAAATGCATAATTAATAAATGCGTAATTTTTGTCTAATCGTCTTTAATAGTGTTCCCAAAACTGGGTTCTATATTTTGGGCTCTGTTTCCATATGCGGCAAACCTTACTAAGTCTCAATTTTATCCACGATCGGTGCGTGATGGAAACACGAAGCAACATAAGAAAAAAGTCCACGTTATTTTTTATTTATTGACATACATAATAAAGTGCCTAATTATTGGAAAATTCCTTGAAAACTTCATCTTTATACCTATCTTGTAGAAAAATACCCAAAACATAACAACTTACCCAATTTTTACTCGTCTGTTTTCGTTTACAAACTCATGTTGTATTTGCATTTCGTGCGCTATTTCTGTTTACTTTAATATAGATAGTGTGTTTAGATAATAAAGTACGGTTTATCGAAGAGATGTCAAAATTATGTGGCCACTCGCGATAACATTTTATTATGATGTTCATGATGTACATACAGTGCTAGGTATATTAAATATAATTTTAAGTTTTCCTTTGTCTAAAGAACATACATAAATAGCAACAAAGACGCTCAATGATTTGCATTCATCGACGTAATTTATTAATGTCATGATGATTTGTAACGTTAATGTTGTAAATAGCAATTTGCCGTTAATTTATTAACCATTACTTGTATTTTAATGGTTATTTTAATGACTGTTTCTTCGATTCTACCTGCAAATAAGAATTAAAAGATGTTATCTGATTTCACGTAGGTACCTATACCTACATACTTACTTTGTACGTAGACTTATTATTTGAAATTGGAATGCTTAACATAATTTATTGACATGGCTTGAAGTTTCAAGGAAGGATATCTTTAGGATGGCGCAGTACCTCAAGTGTTGATATAAGTCTATTGCCCATTCTTACGACCAGCCATATTTCTGAGATACGTGCTACAATAAATAATTTCAAAATAGAAAGATGCATGTAATCTGGTGACCCCTGGAATGAAGCCAGGTCGTCGCGCTTAGGACTGCAAGGTCAACGATGCGTTCAAAACTACATTGTTTACATTACATGCATACATACCTTTAGGCTTATATATATCTGATATTTTACATCGCGTAGGTATTGCATTGTGCGTTAACTGTTGCATCACTATCATAATAATTTTACCTATAATTTACCGTCTACTGATTCGAAATATAAATAAATAAACTCCGTCGGCCGAGTGGTCTCCAAGTGCGACTGCCGGGCAAGGTGTCTCGGGTTCGATTCCCAGATAGGGCAAAGTACTAAGTAAGGGTTTTTTTAATGTCAGTAGTAGCACAGAGTTTGGAAATGTGCTCGGTACTTGGCAGTAGGCTCATCCCCTATTACATGAGACTCATAACATAAATAGTGAAAAGTGGGTGTTACATTGTGGCATTACGTGCCGTTATGTGCACCTCTGCCTACCCCAACGCGAATAAAAGGCGTGATGTTATGTTATAACCTTAATTTTTACCCACAACTTGGCACACAAGGTACACATATAAAATATCTCCCTTTCTTTAGTAGACTCAAAAGTTTTATTAACTCTGTCATTAAATCACTCTTATAATACATTTTCATTTCTTGTTTCCAGGTGTTGGAGAAGCACATTACCCTGGAGAAGACGATGAAGGGAACCGACCACGTGTGTTCCCTCACCCCTCCCGAGTTCCAGCAGTTGGTGCGAGATGTCCGCGTCATCGAGAACGCACTCGGCACGCCCATCAAGAAAGTCGTCACTTCAGGTACTTAAATTTTTTTGTAAGGATGGCTATCCATCAAGTGCCTCCTCCCAATCTGGACGAGGTAGGAAGAGAGTGCTACCACCCCATTCCAACTCCTACCCTGTGCCGGGGCCACGGTATATGGTTACCCCGCAACCCCGGTTCAGGTACAGCTTTGCTCACAGTTTGACAGAATGAGTTTAAAATTTAAAGGAGGAAGTCTTCAGTATGTATACCTACTCTCCTATTAGTAGCTGAAGGAAACGTAAATTAGTTGCATTAATTACCGAAATACAAAATTCCTACTTAAAAAGCAAGTTAAGATTCCTTGTCCAAACTGATCAGTAGGTACCTGGTACTACTTGATATCTGGAAATCGAATCAGGTGATTAATAGTTAAATAGCATTTTATAGGGCACCAGTATTAGTCCACATTCCATTTAAATAAATAAATGAAACTGATCATAACCTAATTTGCAATCTCCGCAAAGAATTTGCATACTCCAAGCTACGTTATAAGTAACAAAGTTATATTAGTTGCTAAAACTTCATACAATATTATATCAGTAAGTAAATAAGGAAAATTGTATTCAGATAATAATATCGAAGCGTATCTGCGTATCCAAGTTGCTGGTATAAGTACATACATAAGTCCATAATGTTATGTAAGAATAAAAAATACTAATGTAGAAAACACAGGCTTGTAAATTAATTTATAAATCCGGATCTAACCAGATATTCTGCTAAATATATACTTAATGCATAAATGTCATTTCATCACACCATATCGCTAGATATGGCAGTAGTATTATTAAGTACTTCACAAGGAACATTGATTTTCCAAATCCAAGAACATACTTGAACAAACCCCGTCTTTGGTAAAGGGAGAACCTTCAAAGGGCGCCTAGCTTTTAGGAAGAAAGACTAGGAAGTGTGCAATTCTTACCTTACTAAAACCAACCCAATGGTCTTCATTGGCACCTATAAGAAGATACTGGGTCTGGGTCGTACAAATATGCCATTGTGCAACACTTGTTCTACATCTCCCTTAAGCTGAATATACTCTGCTCTGAACTCCAGGCTTCAACAACTGCCATAACTCTTCCGTTATTTAAATTAATTTTGTTATCTTTTCTGTTAATATTAACACATACCTTTATAATTACAGAGATCCCCTGCATTGACAAATTACAAAAATCACTCGTAATGGGCTGCACGAAGAACAAGGGAGAGATCCTCTACCCTGGCGATGTCAAAATCAAAGTGGCTGAGCCCAAAGGCTTGAATGCCCTACACTTCGAAGAGGTCATATACAAAACGTTGGTGTACGACAAGAAGGAAGACGAACCTTTGAACCAAGGCGACTTCTGCTAACATGCTCAAAGTACATTTATAAGAATAACCAATAATTTCTAACGTAACATATCATTGTGTAAGTCTTTGTATTTCTCTCTTCACATTTATATGACAAGTATGTAATTCTAAAACAAATATTTTTAAGTATATTACACCTAGTTCTTATCTATCAACTACACTGGGATCAACCGTCAGTACCTACCACTGTGTTCAAAGATATAACTTCTAAACAATGTACCGCCAAGCACAATGACAGCATAATCATTCGAATTTATTTAACGTCTCAAAGTGTAAATTATGTGAATATATCATAGACTAAGTTAATATTAACGGTAAATAGAAAATATCCTAACCCCCTACACCTAGTTTATACTTATTACAAAATATTTTTCTTTATACCAGATTTATTAAAGTTTTACTATAATATCTGTCTTTTATTTACACTTCCATCTGACTTTCAGACGTATGGATAAGTATACACCTACCTACGCAATGAAAAATACTCGCTTTGACGTCAACGCCCATTCATAAAGTTATTATTGACTCCTCCAACTATTATCGGTAACGCGAAATTCCACACTCGTAAACAAGCATCCTGGAGCCATATTTATTTTAAAAATGTCTACATTGAGGTAAGATTTTCTCATAAGCACATCTAATCGCAAGATGCGCTGGCGCAGCTTATGCAGTTGGGCACAACGTCACTCGTCACGTATCCGGCTCGTCCCTCCGAGATGTTCCCTGACGCGTTTTATTAGCAAGTCTGTTTTATTTTTATAGACGGTCAGCAGGCGGGCAGTGGTTCAGCGGTGTGTGGTGTAATAGAACATAAGTGGAGTGGCGGCGCGGCGGAGGTTGGCGCGCTGCCCGCCGCGCGCCAGTATCGCAGCGCCGCCCGGCCCGCCGCCCGCCGCCGCCCGCCGCCCGCCGCCCGCTCCCGCTCCTACTGCGCGTTACATGACTGAACTGCTGCTCCGACCGCTCCTGCACCGATCCTAGTGCCCGGAGCTTACGCCGCAAAACGTTGCCTCGTACTTCCACTGATTATACCGCGTTTGTGTTTACGCGGCTACGGTGTCTGAGAATTAGAAGCGAGTTCAGAGCAGCCGATTTAGGTCGCCCGGTTCAGTGCTAGCAGCGAGATATTTTTATTGCCACTGTTGGGTGCAGACGTACGAGCGCCTGAACACGTTGCTTGTTAAATAAATTATTATTTATAGAGTAAAATCGTAAATTTCATTCCATAAACATTTGCGTGTGTATGTGGTTATTCGTAGTTCCCTTTATATCGAGTGCAATTCTATGTTACGAGACGTAGCATGGACTGCGTGAGAGAAGGAATGTGACGAACTGTTCGTTAGCGGCATTTAGGTGAAATCTTTGACATTTGTAAAGTGCATTTGTGTGTGTTGAGTGAGAATGCATCACTTGTATCCCCTGGCGAAGGGCGACCCGCTGTGTCCGCTGGGTTTCCACCCGCAGGTGCGCTGGCCGACGCGCTGCAAGCGTTGCTTCCGCGACTACAAGGAGCACGGCGGCGTGCGCAAGAAGGAGGACGACTTCACCGTGTCCACGCCCAGCCTCTCCACTTGGAACACGCCGTCGTCACGGTCAGTGGCCCATCATCAACACACTACCTATTCATTAGTGTAGTGTTAGAGAGTATCTTAGTAGTACCTAGATATTTCCAATACATAGAAACGTATGACGAGGATAGTATTTAATCGAAATCACGAAAATAATGAAACAGTGATTGATTTGTAGAACCAACCTCCCTTAAATCTAACTTGCCTACCGACACTAGTCAAATTACAAATATTGACATGACATGACACTAGTTAGGTACACCCAAGTACTTATCATATCCTGTTGTAACACCACTTGGTTACAAGAGGTTAATAATTATAATTTTAATAATTTCTTATGATCAGGTAAATACAAAGACATCAATGACGAATATTATTAATGGGCTAAATCCTCGGACTCCTTAGCCCTAAGCCCATGAAAGAGTTCAAATAAAGAGAAAGAGAAATAAAAAGGATTTGTTTTTCAAAATACGTGTAAAAACTTTTCTTCCTTTGAATGGATATTTTGGTATGGTAAACTACCAATTTCCCATGAACTTTTATAAAAACAATCATCCACTCATTATTGCTTGGAACGTGTAATTGGTCGAATTAAAGGAGAAATTAAATATCCATCCTCCCAAGGTGTATCTACTTTTTAGGAAAAGTTCAATGAAAAGATAATTAATAAGATGTTAGGTAAGACATGTGCAATGCACACAAATCAATTTCTTATACATACGGTATATGTTATAATGTACTGAGGCCGCAAGGATGGGCTCAATTCAGAATCACTATAAGGCAATCACGGCCGCCATAAAATTAGTGTGTAATAAAATAACTCGGTGGAGATTACGACCATGCATTCGGTCTAATGCGAGCATAACTCGAAATTATCTTGCAATACACATGTTGCGAGATTTTAGTGACCGCATATGTTCAAGACATTCCATGTTTCTTATCATTTCCGTCTAAAATCTTCCACTAGCATCGATTCATTAAAATCAATCGAACGAGAACTGTACTGCGCGTTGTTTCCATAAACAAGAGCTTGTCTAGTATAACGTTATATATGTACAGTCTAATAGTTCTAAGAAGCCAGGTAATCTTCTGTCCAATAAGAAAATGTCACAGATCTTGAGTTAACCATGACCTATTACCGGAACATTTTTGGCCGCTCTACTTTACTACCTGTCCCTAGTTGATTCTTTCTAATCTTTAACAAGAAAAAAAAATCGATGGCACAATTCCAAATTCCTGAGCGTTTTTGTGGATTGTTTGTACTGCGCCCGGTTGCTGAAGCTTGACGCATGCCGCCTCCATGTGTACGTACGTTGTCATTATACATGCATCCACCTAGTACGCACAGTTTATAATCAAATACCATTCGTAATGGCGAGCAACAAATCACTTGATTGAGCCTAATCTTATGGTTGTAAAGTGCAACGAAAAGGATGTTTTGAGTCTGCACTCAATATCTACTTATGACTCATGCATGTAGCAGTTGCTAAAAGCTTTCAATTTGAACCCTATCAGGCCATAACCATGTTACTATATATTATAACTTTCAAAACGTTTGGCGGTCGTAAATAATATAGATTAGGACATAAAATCATAAATATATTAGACTAGAAAATATATGATGCACGTCTGCCTATTTACGTGTTTTAAACAAAACAGAGTTTGTCAACATTTACAAACAAAACAGGAATTGTGTATCAAATATGAACTCTTTGATATTCGTCCAAGCTTACCTCTGTTTTGGAGATCAAACACATGTATTCGCATCTTTCATTTTCACACGACTTGTTACATTTTAGACTAACATTAGCTGATGCTGATACACCTACCTTACCTACGTCAACAATGACGCATGAGTTAACGGGAAACTACATTCCTATAATTAGAAATTTCCTTTTGGGTATTTGGAAAATAGATTCAGAAATAAATATCCCATAGTTTTTTTATGGAAGAAACTAGTGAACTAGTAGACTGATCACTTGATGGTAAGCAATCGGTGCCGCCTTTGGACACCCGAAACATAAAGGTGTTACAAGTGCGTTACCGGAGTTTTCGAGATTAGGAATTGGAGAATTGTTGGAGATTCGAGAATTGGGGAGATTGGAGATGGGGGTAATTGGGCCTCCGGTAACCTCACTCACATGACGAAACACAACGCAAGTGTTGTTTTTGTTTCACGTCGGTTTTCTGTGAGGCTGTGGTATCATTCTGGTCGAGCCGGCCCATTCGTGCCAAAGCATATGACTCTCCCACACTTAAAGTGACACTTAATGACAGTCTCTAGTTATTAGTAACTGTGTGTGAACGAAAACATCACAACCGTAACTCGATAGAATAAATGAAGCTAGTTCATAATCAACTTTTTCTTAATGTGCCATTCCTATTGAAGTTCGTGCACCATCAGCATCATAACTAAGTACACCCTTGAGGCTGCTGTCGGTTCAAAAAAGGGATGTTGCTTCATAATCACAGTATCTATACTTCCGTATATTTATTTAAAATTCTCTACAAATTATATTTTTAAATACTACTTAACTAAAATCAAATAAAATTATGTTTAAAAATATAAAAGATAGGAGCCGACCAGTAGCGGGAGCATAGTCCAAGCTACGGTGGTTAGGGCTCCAGAGACAGAAACCTCTTCACGACGCGTGCCGTTTCTAGAACTTTACTGTTTTATATTTGATGGGCCGACCTTTGACCACTACCTCGCCTGGTGCTAAGCGATGATATTGTCTACGATGGAGCACGTTTTCGATAAGCAACCTATTCACTCGGGCCTTGAAAACACTCAGATTATACCCGTTAGGAAATATAGACTCTGGTAAAGAATTCCACTCATTAGCAGAACGTATAAGGAAGCTTGAAAGAACTGCCTTCTGTATTAAGCCCTTGATCCATTCACCTAACGCCAGCCTCCTAAGATCGATGTCGAGGCTTTTAGGGATTAACCCATTGACCGACACGACTATCGGCACAATGATAGCCGAATCCACACATCACATGTCGACAACCTCGTGAGCTAAGTCTGTATTTACAATACTTATTAGTGTTAAGTTCTAAAGTAGTTAATATCTGAAATCGAAGTATTTCAATAAATCATGAACATAAGTTGATCAGTTTCAGGCATCATCAATTGATTAAATCTGATAGATCTAAGAATTTAAGCTCTAGGTCTGTCTCGTGGCCATATAACCGAAGCAACTCTGCTTTTTACACGAGATTATTTTTCACTAAAAAACGTGTTTAAAAATAATTGCCTGAATTAAGTTTTTAAAAAAATTGTCAGTAGTAGCACGGAGTCTGGAATTGTGCCCGGTATATGGCAATAGGCTCAACCCCTATTACATGGGACTCATAACATAAATAGTGAAAAGTAGGTGTTACATTGTACAGGGTGATTATGTACACCTCTGTGGTGAGGTGTGATGTTATGATGTTATGATTTAATTTAAAACTTGAGATCTTGTATCTTACTACGTAAGACAAATTTGTGGCAGAAAATGCAATTTCACACAAAATTCGTAGAAGACTATATTTCTTGACATATTGAAATAAGTAGGTACTGAATTTGTCTATGGTAGTGGATTGAAAGATGATGTGACAATGATTAAAAAGGGAATGTAACATTAGTATCATAGATATATACTCTTATCAGTGATTGGTATAGACATATAGAAAGGATGGATGAAAGTAGAGTAACGAAAGAAGTTTACAGAGCAGATATGAATGAGGCCGTCGGTAGTGGTCGCCCTGCTGATGGCGATGGACATAAACTGACCAGATTGGTAATATTTTTAAGAAGGGCAAATTAAAAATAGTCTTAACCGACGAGTATGAAAGGACTGATGACTGTTGATGAAGTGAAAGAGGTAAGTATGTAAGAATCGTAGCAATTGGTGGTCCATAGTCTCTGCCTACCCCATTGGTAGGCGTGAAGTTATGTATATGTATGCAGTATGTATGAATTTGACTAGTCGAAAGCCACCTGAGAAAAGTATCAATCGCCACGTCTTTTAATCTCCAAAGACGAGAGGTACAGATAAGTAATAATATTACGTACCTAAATGAAATGTTACCCCCACTTATTAAGTATGAGTCCCATGTTGTAAAAAACAAATACTCTGTACAGTATACATAAGTACATATCTTTCCTTGAGTAGGTACTTGGACGACCATATTCATTATCCTACTAATTGTTCTTAGTGCATCGTTTAGTATAAATCATCATTATATGTATACGAAACGTCTTCAATGGAAACTGGAACTAATCTAAGATTTGCTAAGTTCCAATTTTATTTACTTACAGTCTAATAATAGGTATTGTATTTTTGTGTGGACAGAAGTCGTGATGAAGACAATGGCGCGGAAGTGGAGAAGGTGGGGCGAGGGTGGGCATCCAGTAGCAACCTTAGCACAATCGACTCTCCCAAGAAAGACGCCTTCTCCACAGGTAAGTGATTATTGGTTATAGTTCTTTAATCTTCTCTCTTACCTTACTTAATAGTTTTACTTAAATTTGTAATAAATTTTTCTCATAAATGTAATGTTCCTTTTCACGTTACATTTTCAGTACAGTATAACATGCCTATAGATAAACAAAATTCACCAAAATCATTAAACATGATGATCTTTCCACTTGTTAGTATTACGGATGTATGTAACATACCTACATAGAGCGCAAAAAACATATTTAGATAATGTACATACATATATTATGTAGGTATGTAGTAGCTATTAGCTATGTCTGGCAAAATTGTAGTGTTCAATGCTAGCTAGCGCCTAGCGCATCTAACGACGTATGACAGATGACCTCTCCATGCACCTAGATAATAGACGGATTTATTGTTAGTTCCTTTCCCATAGTATAATTTATACTATGCCTTTCCTACCGCCGGTAGTCATTATCTATTGTCTAGCATATTTGTCCACCACATACGTAGTTATAGATTTTTGTATAGGTATTTAAATAAACAAGACTTAACATTTTTAGTCCCGAAAAACCAGTTAGCCTACCAAGATTGACTTTTGTCCGTTAGTATATTACAACCGGTAGCATTACAATAAATCCAGAAGTTTTGGTAATTGAATGGTTTTTCGAAAAAACTTAACTTTTACTTAATAAATCATTATTCTCCCCCGTTGTACACACGGCTACACATCGAGCTTTACATAACCAGTATAAACTGAACGTTCAATGTGCGGAAAGATGATGCGACGCGATACCAGGATAAACTGGTTTTTTATAGATTATTAGGATAGTGTGTACAGCTTCGTGATAACTTATTAAGCACAGGTTTGCTAAATTCGGGTTGAGGATATAATGACGCCGTGAAGTTTTTGCAAATAAAAAAAAACGCCCGTTTACCTATTACCTATGTAGGTGGGACGTGGAATGAACCAGATAACACCCTAGACAAGATAACCTATCGTGGAGAACCTAACGAGTTACCGGGGCTCCAGCTCAAAGTGCAGGAGAAGGCACGGGGTGGTTCGTAGTCAGTAAGAGTCTGACACTCCCTCCCGCCTCACCCAGGCGGGATCAGGCATTCGATGCATTTCCCCCCTTAAAAAAAGACAAGATAACCTCATATAACCTCAACCTAGATAACATCATAGCCACCCCTAATTTTAAGCGCTACCGTATCGTCATTACTCTGTGAGCACGCGCGTCTCCCAGTGTCACGGCTCTCCTCTGCAACCTGGCGCTCTAATAGACACTAGGCATTGCCCAGTTTGCCTTGGTGATAATACAGCTCTGAGGTATATACTGAGAATTTTAGAATAGAAAATACACTATTTGTATTGTAACTTTCGTAAGACATACTAAATAAATTATTATGTTTTCGGCTTACTCACGTAATAATCATCTTAATAATAATAACCAGCAGCGCGACAGTCGCCGCGTCGCGGGTCGCGAAATGCTGCTCATGAGTATAAGCCTCTAGCATGGCTTGAAACTAGTCGAGTTCCTCCTCAAATTATTAAGTGAGTAAGCCGTAAACATAATAATTTGTTTAGAAAATACACGTTGCCTTGTAGCTCGGACCTCTTTCAAACTACTTCAAACATTCGTATAATCGTATGACCTGAGTATTTTGATCTCTGCAGTCAGTGCTATAGACTGCTGCACTTACCTATGTCTTTTCGAATTATTGTTATATTGTAAGTTATGTCTATTACTATGATATACATAATTCGGTTGAATTATACAAAACATATTATTATATCAATCCAGACTCCGAACGTGAGCCAAAACTGCCTTGATCCACCGACCACCTGTATTACTCACACATTGTACCTAATTTAAACGTCTTCGCCCACACATTCACATTTTGATAGTCGCTATCTAATTTATCCATTTACTTTGCCTAATACATTTCTAGCAATACATGCATAGGAATAACTTAACGACACTCTTTATCCCCCAAAAAGGTAGACAGAGGTCATCTAGTCATTCCAATTTCAGGGCGAGATCATTCATTGCTGTATTCCTTCCCCGTGTTCTGTTATATTTCTTGACTTTGTACTTCTATCAATCACCCATTATCTTTGATTTGGACTGTCCCAAGTAATTTTTAAACAGTTTAGGACGATCTTGTTGCTAGAGTGGAATTATCTGTCGTCGGCAGTATTTCCGAACCGATACGACCTTCAAACCTTCAAGTAAGGAGCGTACTCCTTTTTAAAAGGCCGGCAACGCACCTGTGACTCCTCTTGTGTTGCGGGTGTCCACGGGCGGCGCTGATAGCTTACCATCAGGTGATCCGTCTGCTCGTAAATATGCAATAATTAGTAATTTGCCAAACATCTGAAAATATCAAAAATTCATGAGTTTCATCTGGGAACCGATTCCGAAACCACTCGCTGGAAGAAGTAGGTAGTAATATGTTTGTACAGTGTATAAACCCACCAGATTTATTAAGAGCTGGAATTACAATATTAGGCGCCAAACCCGAGGCAAATGAAGACATTTAGGCACTTCAACCTAGGTACCTACCTAATGGAAATGTATGTACCTAACAATAGAATGTTCCGTTAGCTTTGTGTAAACACTACAAAATATGATCCAGAAATAATCTTAGAATTAATATAAGGCCATAATTTATTTCTCATTTACTTACTGTAGGTATAGGTGCCAACTTATTATTTCTAGTTTTATTTTTCGTACCGTTTCATGATTATTACGTTTGAACTTTGAACTAGCTAAAAGGAATAGAATAAAGTGCAGTTTCTGAATCTCCTAATTAATGTTATGAACTAGATTAACATAACATTAATATAACATCACGCCTTTTATCCCCGAAGGGGTAGGCAGAGGTACACCTCTGTAGATCATAAACTAGATAATTTAATATATTTCATATAAAAGGTCCGATTTCCTATATTCTTAACCATTCTTATCGGTTGTCTGCGACCATCTCGCAGGTAGCCACATGCTAGATGGTACACCGTACACAGGTGTGTGAGAAATCAAATGTTCGGTAACTTTGTCTGAGAAGATATTAGATGCAGGAAGCAGGAAGCACTAACATTTTAAAGATTATGGATACTCTGAAACACTCAACAGGCGTGCACATATGGGTTGCCCGCACACCGGAAAAGTTGGCATTCTTTTGGGGGAGTCCTACGTTTCTTAACTATATTTAAATAGACAAAGTGATACCCGTCCGAAAGGTATTACATACATGTAACTATTTGTATAGTTTGAGTCATAACTCCCGTAGAGATTTCGTAAATATAGCTTAGCAATAGGTTTGTAAAAATTCAGTTCATTATTAAGTTTAGAATTAAGTTGACATTGTTATATCTTTCGTCATCATTAGCTTTTTGAGGTCCACAGGTGGGCCATAAGCTCCAAAAGATTAATAATAATTATTTTTTTATCCTATTATTCACTGCACTTCACTGCATTGGTTTGTTGTAAAACAAATTAGAGTATATATACTGACTGTACAACAACTAAGTATGTGCCAAAAAAAAATTCCCACTTCTTTCTTGACATTAATTTATACCCTGAATGTCCAGGGTTCACAAGAACCAGTGCATCGTGGACGTCGACGCCGGACCTGGGGGCCAACGAGACCGAGAGTTCGAACGCTGTCACCGTTAGTCTGAAACTGCCCAAGAGACGACTAACGGGACCATTGCCATCTATAGATACAGGGCAGAATCATACTACAGGTAAGTCCTAATCCTAATCTGATATATAACATTCTTGTGTCACAGTTTTCGTTGCCATACTCCTCCGAAACGGCTTGACCGATTTTGATGAAATTTTTTGTGCTTATCCGGTATCTATGAGAATCGGCCAACATCTATTTTTCATCTCCCTAAATGTTAGGGGTAGTCCACCACTAAATTTTGTTTTTATTTTTTAGACAAAATTTTAAAAATATATTTTTTTATGATACAACATACAAAAATACATACAATCCTCAATTTTCACCCTTCTACGAAATTATTTATATGGCAAAACAACGTTTGCCGGGTCAGCTAGTTCTCTTATAAAGGGTTTCTTTGATTAGGATAAAACATAATTAAAATATCTTTTCCCAATCATTTTAACAATTAACTCTTTATTTTTTTATATTTTGATGACCAACAACTTATAATATATACAGGGTGTAGGTAAACGGAACGCGCCTGAAACGCTGACAATAAAAACATATTTTTACAATTTTAATCGTATTTGTTCTCGTGTTATTCACGCAAAATCAGCCTTGAGCGGTTGATTACAACTATTATTACATAAAAGAAACATTTAATCCTTACTTTTATGAAAATAAAACTTATCTTTACTTTACCATCACCTGTCAGCGTTTTTTGGAAGCCTTCCGTTTACGCCCTGTATAATGGAACCTCTTATTGAATTGCATAAAGTACTTCGTAATTTTGACTAATATATTGTTTATTTTCCAGATACAGTGACACTGCGCCGACCGTCGCCATCGCCTCCGCCGGTACCTGCGCCGGCGCAGACACAAATTACTATAAGCAAGAACGACTCGCTAGCTGAACGCGTGCGAAAGGTTCTTACCAATCTATAATATTCTCAACACCACCAAACTGCCATATAATATTATTTAAAAATCACTTAATATGTCGGACCACTTTTGTTCCACCGATATCTCTAAAACCGCAACTCTAAAAACCTTGACCTATTGACCTATTTTGATGACCAACATACTTACAAGTTCGATTTTAACCGTATACAACCCATAAAACCACCTCATAAAATCAATGCCAAGACATCAAAAACAAAAGGCGTGCTATTATAGCGCTGAAAATATTTTACGCATAATCTCAAAATTACGGGCCTCGTTTGGAATAAAGCCATAACTAACAACATATTAACTTTACAAATATTTATGAAATTGAATTGTTTAAAAACTTTTTTGAATAAGAGTATTGTCTTCACCTTGGTTTCATAGACGTGCGAAGTACAAGTGGGTCACAGCTATAGAACCGTCTGCCGCTACTGCCCGTAGCTCGTAGCTTTCAACCCGAACTAAACGCGATGCGGCGCCCGAAATAAACATAAAAGGTCACCATGAAAGTTAGTGCTTGGCAATGCGCTAGCTTTATAATTAATTGAGGAAATGACCTATTATCCGATTCCACTTCATAATATACGATTTAAAAATAAACTACTATTGCAAAACAGTTTCGACGAATGTTTCGTAACACAATTAATTGCCGAATCAAAAATCGAATGCTTCATAAATTATCAGGACGCTTCAGTTTGTTTGTTAAGCTTTTTTAAACTACAGGGTGATTTAAAAATTGTGTGTGTAATCTCTGTCAATTTTCCTTCACAGATGCAGTTAATTAAATCTCAAAATAGTTTTGAAAAGGAATCAAGTATAGAAAAAGAAAGAGAGAGACGAAGTTTATCCAGAAGTAAAGAAACGTACCATGAAGAAAAGCCTGCGCGGCCCAAAGAAGACAGAAGTTCAACCAAGGATGATGTCAACTTTATGATGCAGGTGACATTGATTAACGTTTTTTTTTATTTCTCCCTTTTATTTAAAAAAAAAATCGTGGGTCAGACTAGATTTTCTCCTGTATCGTGGGTGCGTTTACAAACATACAAGTTCACATACCTACACATGCCACCCAGACCCGGAACAACAATCTGTGGATCACACAAAGAGTTGCTCCGTACGGGAATCGAACCCGCGATATGTTGCGCGGCAGCCAGTTGTCCAACCAACGCACCAGCCGTGCAGTCTTACTTAGTCAACTTAATATTAATAAAGAATTGCTCTTACATAACTGCCCTTGGAATCCAAAAACTAACTTTTGCACTCACGCACACCACACTTTTGCTATAAATCCAATCCAATGTTGCTGTACCTACGTATACAATTCGAAATGCGGGATCTCAACTGGCTTATAAAACAATAGGCGTTCTGCTCCAATCTACATAAATACATCCTGTACGCAGAATTAAAAATAGACCTTATGTTTTGCTGTTCTTATTGTATTCAACAACAAACTTATATTTGGTTTGCTCAGGTGAAAAATTCGCGAAACTCGTCAGCAAGTTCCAAGCCTCCTGTTAGAGGGGGTCCTTCACGAGACAAGGATGATTCGGATGATGACACCAGCACTGCTGGAACTGTCACCACTGAAACCACACTGGTCGACGCTAACGTTAAGGAGTATCAGGTGAATTTGAACTTCTTAATTTGCACCTCTTCTCTCTATGTCAAGTATTTGCAAACGTCCAGCAAAGAATATACATACTTGTCCCATTCTCTGGTAGAACAAATGTTTATGTGATACTAGTGTAAATAAATAAATAAGTAAGTATTAATTAATAGCACGGAGACTAGAATGGTGTCCATTGACTTGAGTAAGCCTTGTGTATTGTCGAACAGTACATAAGACTTGTCCTTATTACTTGCAATTCCACATCTATCAACCTCTTTAAAAATAAAAAAAACATTACTCTCAATTAAACATCTATTAAAAAACAAAAAGCATTATTCTATGTTCCTACTATAAAAAAAAAAAAACATAACTATAAGGTATGTCTAACTTGCTGTAATATCAATAATTTAATTTCAGGAACAAATAGAGAGTCTAAAACAAGAAATGGACACACTAAAGAAACGTTGCGAGCGAGTGGAGAAGGAGAAGAGTGACATACTACTGCGGAGGCTCGCGAATATCGACTCAGTGAACAAGTACACTACTGGACGGTCCTCAGAGGTTCTGAAGTTGCAGCAGAAGGTGAACGAGCTCACGTCACAGAATGAAGACCTGAAGGACGAGAAGAAACATCTCACGTTACGAGTCAGAGAAATTGAGAGTGAACTTGAGGTAATTAATTATTATTGTCTACGTCCACTGCTGAAGAAAGCCTACTTCTAAGGGGATTTGTCATAATCTTGCAAGCAAGCAAGTCCCAGCTAGAAACCTCGGAGGATTATGCAGCGTACGTGAGCTTTCCCTGTATTCTGCAAGACTCTTGCCAGAATACAGTGAAGCCTCACGAAAACTCGAACCAAATTGAATAAATATATATGATTTCCTTCTGCTAATTAAAATTACCAACACTATTCCCCTTAAGTCAAATATCCTTTCTCAAAATCTTCTCCTTTTGTTCCAGTCTCGTCCCTCAGTAGAAGCACAGACTCGTCAGATAGAACAGCTCCGTGCGAAGCTGTTGGCTGCGGAGACGCTGTGCGAGGAGCTGATGGACGAGAACGAAGATATGAAGAAGGAACTGCGCGACCTTGAAGAGGAGATTGAGGAGATGCAGGATAACTTCAGGTATGAGAACTTTAAAAACCTTGAGGTCTTGAAGGAAGGATTTTTTTATGGCTTAAAGTGACAGACGATCAGACGGATCAACTGTTGATAAACGATTGGCGCCACATCTGGCCACCCGAAATACTAGAGGAGCTAGTACTATACAAGTGTGTGACCTTTTTAGGGATTGGGGATAGGGAGAGAATTACTCAGGTTCAGGTAACTTCACTCACACGGCAAAATATAACGCAAGCGTCATTTAAAGCCGGTTTTAAGTGAGTCCGTAGTATCACTCCAGTAGACCCGAAGCATAACTCTCCCACCTGGAAAAAGCCTTGTAGTTTGATATTAACTGACAAGAACCCATAGCCGACAACGACACCGACAACGTGCAATAACTCAAGAAAACGGTCGTAGACGTCTTCGCAATACTATCTTGACTCATACCGCGCATAAAGATTTTAATATTAATTTATATACTATTGGATAATTTTATAGCCAGCATCACGGGTTAAGACGTATCACGTAATACAAAAAGCAGGGTTCATTGTACGTGCCATTGTAAATGAACTGTAGCCAAAATAGTTTTGGCTGATATTGTTACACATCACTCAATCATTTAACCTTGGCACTTTTTTTCAAGTTCATATTAAAGATTAATTGCGTTCTTTATTAGTTTATTACATTGTACCACTTGAGTCCAAGCGTTAAATCTCGCTATAGATTTGCATTTATTATTTTTGATGCGTCATAAACATTTCGTTGAGAATAACATCTTAATAACGTCTGGTATCTTGTTATTTCTTTTTAAGAAATATTGCCTCACACTTTATAGGATTTTCTCAAATGATATAAACAATTTCATATAACATGTATGACACTATGAATTGTTTCGTGTGGTAATCAAAACGCACCACGGTACACAACATCTAGTCGCCCAGCCACAGTCGGTGAAGTCATGTCGTGAACAGTATACTTAATTCCTTTTCTATTTCAGGGAGGACCAAGCAGATGAGTATTCGTCACTCAGGAGGGAGCTAGAGCAGACCATAAAGAATTGTAGAGTTTTATCGTTTAAGTTAAAAAAGACTGAAAGGAAAGCTGATCAGCTGGAGCAGGAGAAAGCTGAACACGAGAAGAAACTTTTAGAGGTAACTACTTACTAATTAGATCATACTTGTATTTACAGGTGGCTTCATATCAACATCTTCGATTGTTCTCATGGCTAGTTATGGGTTCTACCTGACAATAAAACTTAATCAAAAGCACACCATTAGTGAGACAAATGGACAGTACGCCGGATAAATAGTTATGAATGTAGATAAAAAATCTCAGTAGTAGCACGGAGTCTGGAAATGTGCCCGGTATATGGCAATAGGCTCACCCCCTATTACATGGGACTCATAACATAAATAGTGAAAAGTGGGTGTTACTTCTGTGTGCACCTCTGCCTACCCCTTCGGGGATAAAAGGCGTGATGTTGTGTATGTATCTGTAGATAAAATTCTGGAAATCCCAAATTGGTTCCTAGAAAAGCAGAATAGACAGGGAAACTGTTTATCTGATTTTTTCTAGGCAAAATTACTTAAATTCAGAGACCCTTCTGTCTAACTCGATCGTTTTACTGACATTATTTTTTTAAGATCTTCCAAAACATTTGTCGAAACGGACATTGCCCAGAACATATCTAAATAAATGGGTTCAGAAACAAAGTAAAATTTATGGCTTCATTTTAATGTTTACGTACATACATAGATCTAATAAATAATGTCATAAATCACTGGTTAGAACAATGTCAATAAATTACTTAGGTAAATATTTATGATTATAAATCTTATTGTATCCGGCGTGAGCCATCCTGCCAGGTGGCCAACTGTATAATCTGTTTTAATAGATTATAGCCTATTCAATCACATAAATACTAGATACCTGCAACTGCATCTTATAGAAATGGTTTGTTTGGTTCAAATATGGTTTATCTTACATGGGTAAGGTTCCATTTAAATCCGAAGGCATCTTTGAAACCCCAGTGTTTATCGTCTATACATCCTTTCAAAAAGTTTAGAATTGCCATCGAGGTATTTTAATTTAAAACATACCAAATCTGGTAATGCTCCTAAACGAAATACGGTCTTTTTCTCTTTTTTTCTTTGTTCTACAATATATGTAATTATTTTTCAGATAGTGGGAGGTCAAGATGGGTTACAACGGGAGAACCGCATCAAGGAGTTGGAACAGGAAGTGGCGCGGTCGACTGAGGTAGCGCTGAGGTTGCAGAGGGAGCTCTCGGAGGCCAATGCGAAGCTTGCTGCCGCCTCGGGAACTCCTCCCGCTAACCTTAAAAAGAACCAACTTACGGACGGGGTACTTAAAACTTCAAATCAATATAATGCTATTTAGATTCCATTCCGTCAAAGTAGGCCAATTTTGCATTGACCCAATTACATAGGCATTTTATAATATAGGTAACCAACACTCTTTCAATTGATTTCTTTCTGTGTACAGAAAGTATCACGGTCATCACTGACCCGTGGTGGCAGTCAAGAAGACCCTGCTCAACTCCTCCGAGACCTGCAGGACTCACTGGAGCGCGAGGCTGACCTCCGCGAACAGTTAAGAAACGCAGAAGAAGAGGTACCATCTACTAAACATCTAGTCCTAAAATAATTTTTTACTGTAACATGTAGTCTAGCTTTGTTCTTTGACACGTGATATTTATACAAACGTCCATTACGTTACGTTCGTCTTACCATTTCGGAAGATGGATGTTTCTGTGCGCAAACCCGTTAGGTACACCGCAAATAACTCGATAACCTCCGCACACGCAACATCAACATCATAATATTATACGAATACCTGCGCTTTACCCGATACCTCGGCCGAGCTTGGAATGCAATAAACATGTGCACAAATAGTTACAGTTAACGATAACTCATCTCTTGTTAACAGTTAAATACCATTACAGCCACTTATTTCTCCGATCATTTAGTTCCACTAGAAAAACAACGCATTCATTAGGGCATTAGCTCTCGTTCGACAGATGCCAGCTGGCACACTGCCAACATATGTCTGACTCACACCGCGACATTCGTATATATTTGTATATCACATTGTTATTCTCCATAGCCATATGTTTCTCTCTAGCGAAATTAAAAATAAGGAATATTATGTTCAAACAGGCTAGTCGATATCGGCCATGCGTCGTCGGCAAGAGGATCCGTCCACAACTCATTCCACAGTCACCTAAATCTGATCCAAACTCACCTCAAAAACCCATCACCGATAGTGAAATGCTAGAACCAAATACCTTCCAAAGAATACTTGAGATGCAACTAGGTTTAGAAAAGAGTTTGTCATCACTCGATAGTAGCCCATCGTCTATTGGCGTTAACCAGGTCACTCAATCCCCACAAGATCTCATTACTAGTTATTCCGAAGGTTGCCAAACGGATACTATTTTAGTACACGATGTGATGACAGACACTAAAAAGATTACTCTTGATTCGATTGTACAAAGTACAATAGATATATTGGAAATGTATACGCAAACAGAGGTAGCGTTCATGAAAAATAAACATATGCAAACCGAATTTATGAGAATGAACAATTTTGTGCAAACTGATAAACAGAAATTAAGAAATGCTAGTGTGCAGACGGCGGCTAAGCTTTATGATCATAAAGCTCTACAAGCCGTCAATAACTCCAAAGAGTATGTAGACGCTAGCACAGAGACCGATTTAATTAATGACGAAGATAAAATGCTTGAGCGAGATCTCCTAATGGATACGCTAGAAGTCAATGAAATATTCAGTAGAGATAAATCTGAAAGTCCTCCTCTTACTCCAGATAAAACTCCAGAGTCCCGTTCTCCCTTCCCCTTGCCCTTCGTATCACTGTTCAGTCCGCTGGCAGTAAGAATGCCAAACATAGGTACTTATGCCCAGTTTGTCTACTTTACATGTTGGTTTTCTTCATCCTGTATATTGTCCTTAACAGTATCCTGAACAGTTTTGGTTCTGACAGTAATTTAGATTAGATATTAAATAATTTTAACTAACGAATATTTACAGGCAAATAACTTACGTAAAACTGCGTCACGGGTCGAGGACGACAATGAGTCCTTGCTTCTACAGCTGAAGAAAATGGCTACCAAGGCCAGAAGTACGTCAAACTACTTACTTGAATTGTGAAAAATCGATTGTGTTTTTCTAACAACTCTCTTCCAAGATCCACCGCTCATCAGAACCCGGTTGTGATTCATCATGTTCATTGTGTACTTGACTACTTGCATAACCATTAATTTCTAACATGACCTTTATTCCTTGATGTTTACTAACACGCTTGTCAGTGTATTTGAGTTACACGGCGTATTGATGGTAGCCATTTTCTCCAGTCAGAATTAGACCTTGTTGAATCTTTTACAATGTTTGGGTTTATAATTCTATCCACTACATTGTTCAACATCCGTATCCGGAACAATGACTCAGTACCATTAAATATTACTAATTTTCATCGAAGATACCTTTTGCATAATTAATAACTAAAGTGTTTTACAAGCTTTGTATTATTGAGCTGAACATATTTACGCATTTAATGTATAACACACACCGGCATTACTTGTAGGTCGGAAGCTGTCTCCAACACCTCCTTCAAATAAGCTCAGTGTTGATACTAATGAAAAAGATGCCAAAACAGATGAGGAAGATCCAGCTGAGTTACGACTCTTACTGGAACTCAATGAACAGGTGCTCATACATTTGTTCAATATACATTACTTCTTTCTATTTTAAACTAAACCTTATTCTTAACTCTATCAATTTCAGGAAACAACAGTTTTACGCAAAAAAGTTGAAGAAATGGAACAAGAAAAGGATTCGTTGAAAAAACAAGTGAAAGAGCTTACTGATAAAATAGCCAATCAGCCCAAGAATAATTCAACCGTTACCCTTCGACGGGCAACGAATGCGAAGAGTAATAACTTAGCTGAAGAAAAAGTAAAAGTACGTAATGAATGGAATATTGTGAATCATTACAAAATGAAGTATTATATAACTCAGTTTTTAATAATAACTTGTAGGTATTAGAAGATGAAATTGCCGAGCTAAGGAAGAAACTTATTGAAAAAGAAAGGGACTGCGAGAGGCTGCATGCTGAACTCAGCCTATCGAAAAAACCAAAGGCTTCCCTTATTAAGAGCAAGTAAGTACCTTAATTCCAGAAGAACATGATATAAAACTGTAATTATAATGATAACCATCATCGTGAAAATTTTAGATCACTAGATGGCGACCAACAAAATGTCGATTTGAAGAGACAACTTCAAGTGATAGAACAAGAAGCAAATGTACTTCGCGCCAAAACGCAGAGTTTAGAAGCTGACAATGAAAAACTTCAGCTAGAAAACAAAAAATTACAACTACTGAAGAACACCAAAACCTTGAAATCTGATAAATCAGTAGAACAAAATGCAGCAAAAATAACGCAACTAGAAAATGAACTAAAAGAAGCTTTGGCCAAATTAAAAGAATTTGAAAATAATAAGGATGATAAGACGGAGAAGAAGGTCAGGTTTGGTGGAGAAATCAACAACAAAAAAGACGCGGATGCATTAAAAGCAAAACAAGAAGAGTTAGATAAATTAAACTTTAGCAAGGTAAGCATAAGACTTGTTTTAAAGAACGATTTCAATATTCATTATAAAGGTGTTGATGTCATTATTTTTTTACAGCTCGAGAAAGAAAAAGCTCAGTTACAAGTTTCATTGAAGGTACTAAAAGAAGATGCAATAAAATCATTCAGGCCGAGAGTTCCAAAGAAACCAACAGATTTAACGACTAAACTCCAAATGAAGAGGATGGTTGAAGATTTGGAAAGTGAAATTGGTAACTTATACAATTGAATTTATAATAATTAATATACAAAATATTCTGTAGGCATACCCTAAAGTGATAAACTTTTTCTTCCAGGGGAAATGTATGTTGTAATGAAAAACGCTGGTCTCTCTGGAACTGAAATCAACACCAGGGCGCAAATGGAGAAAGATATTGAAGAAATAAGATCCAAACTGTCCAAAAATAATTCCGAATTTACAAACGAGAAGAATCGTTTGCAAACTGAAATTGCTAAACTAAAGGATCTCAATACAAAGTTAGAAACTGACAAAACTGAAATAAGTGGTAAATTAAAAACTTTAGAAAAAGACAATAGCAGTATAGCTGGACAAATCAAAACGTTGCAAGAAGAAAAGAAGACTTTAGAAGCACAAGTTAGTAAACTGAATAGTGATCTGAGTGAGTATCATTATTAACTTTATTTTAGCATTAATTTAAACATTAGAAATCAATCATTAGACCAATCTTTAAGGAGTTGGTGCCGTTACCTTTAGATGATGCATCTTTGTAAACTATTTTGTTCCAAATATCTATCAACTTTGATGTCCTTGACGTTGTTTCAGAAAATGCAACATCCCTACAAACCACTATGTCCGACTGTATGAAGAAAATAGAAGAACTTAAAAATGAAATAGATGTTAAAGATAAAGAAATCGATAAGTTGAAGAAACAAGCAGAAAATGTAAATAAATTAGAACAGGATAAACAAAAATTGCTCAAAGAGGTCAGTATGGATACGTTTACATGTTTGAGTATGTTCGGAAACGAAATTCCAACATAAGTTTCTTAGTAAGAGTCTTCTCTCTGCATCTTCATAAGTCTAGATTATAATGGTTTTAGGTTGGAGATAAGGCTAAAAAGATAGGTGACTTAGAAAAGAAATTCAAGGAAGCAGAGGACAAATGCAAACGGATTGAAAAGCAATTAGCTTTGCGCAAAGACAAGGTGGCGAAATTGGAAAAGGAGGTAAGAAGACCAGACTTTAATTTGAGATACCTCGCATCAAATTCAATATTTCATCTAATTCTTTTCCTAACCACATCTTATGAAATTAGCTCTCTCAAGAAAAGGAACAAGCAGAAGTACTAGCCAACAGCCAACGACGCATCTCAGTAGATTTCACTAGCGAGAAAGATCAAATGCAAACAAAACTAATAAAGACTGAAAGTAAACTCATAACACTAGAAACGGAACTAAAGGAAATGAAATCTGATTACGAATCCAAAATAACTCATTTGGAATCTACAATATCTGCAAAAGATATTCATATCAAACAACTGGTATTTGGTTGAAGTTTTTGATAGGCACGCACCAACGCATGTCCCCTTTGAACAAACTTTTATCACGTTTTTACTCCAAGATAGTTATACCGCCTATAAAAAGCTTATTTTGAGATATTTAGAATATACGCATGTTTTCGCGACACCTACTGGCTTATAGTTTAGCCCCAAGTGTTACCCCGGTTGTATTTTTAGACCACATGCACTGCACAAGTATATTTATAGAAAAGTAAGATAATAAAAGCATAATTACGATTGCAGGAAGAAGCATTACGAGACACCTCTAACCAGAAGTACAATGAAGCTATATCGTCAGTAGAAATGGCACAGATGCAAGACAAACTGGAGAGAACTACCAAAGAATTAGAAGAGAAGCAAGAAGAATTAACGAATGCTAAGAGAGAGTTGGAAAGTACCGAGAAAGAACTGTCGGCAATAAAGTCAGAGATGATTCAGTTGAAATCCAGTATATCGAAGTTGGAGAGTGAGAAGAAAGAGCATGAGAACAAATTGCAAGCAGAAAAGAAGGAGTCGAGTTACTGGGAGAGCAAGGCTTCCGAACTTGAAACTGATTTGCAGGTACAATTGACTACAGACTAAATCTGTCTGATGTTAGTAATAAGATTCAAAAACATCTGCAAGTGACCTAATACTTGTCAATCTATTTTATAGGCTGAACGGAAGAAACTGGAACGCATGCGCAAGGCTCACGATGTAGATATCAAGAACAAAGAAGCAGAATTGGCTACACTTAAAGGTAAACTAAAAGTTCTAGAACAATCTTCTGGTGCGGGCGCCAAGAAGATATCTGATCTCAAACAGGAATACGAAGAAACTGTTAAAAGTACGTAAAATACTGCAACTAACGTCAAAACATTTGATTAAAACATGATAAATAACATATTTTTATTGGTTTTGCAGAATTGGAGCACTCCCTTGCGGTAGAGAAGGCAGAGTATGAGGAATTGACTGGTAAATACGAAATATTAGAAGAAGAACACGTGGTCACTAAAGCAAGACTCACTGTTGAAAAGGAGCAAGCGCAAGGGTACGTATGAAACCAATATAAAACCTTTAGGAACAACTGTTTAGCATAACCCTTAATAATATTATACTAGGTACTAATTTAATTTATGTTATTACAGTGAATTAATACATGCCCAAAAAGAATTGGCCTCAGCGTTAGCCGAAATCAAAACTCTTCAAAACAACTATGATACGCAATCTTCAGCGTGGACTAAAGAAAAGACTGAACTGCAGGTACTGTTCTTCTTTGAATAAAGCTTCATTAGAAACCTATCTCCTGCTGAGAAAAACAGTAGGTTAAGTAAAAACATACACATTTCAGTATGATCCAGACATAATAGACAATGATTAAGTAGATCTAAAATTATAATTTTGTCTATACAGAACTCTATATCATCGCTACAAGACCGTCTATGTGGTGGAGGCTGGGAGGTGGAACGCGCACGACTCAATGCTAAGCTTGAGCAACGAGAGCGAGAACTGCGCACCGTCAACGACCAACGAGACGTCTTGGAACACCATCACGATCAAGCTAAGAAAGAGGTAAAGAAATGTACACATAAGTAAAATGGTTGACACAGTTGATTTTTCATTGCTAGATTTATTAAGGAAAATTTGACAGAATAGAAGGTACTAAAAAAGGTACGCTTATATTACTTAATATTTTTTTCTAGTTGGAGGAAGCAAGAAAGAAACTGGAAGACTACGAACGTGTCTCCAAGGTACAGAGGACTCTAACGACAGAGAATGCTGAATTAGAGCGAGAACTGTCATCTCTGAACACAAGGCTCGAACAAGCTGACGTGTCTAGGAAAAATGAGTTGGCAGAAATGAAGCTTAGGTACGAAGGACAGATGAACACCATGCGAGATGAACTCAAGTCTTTGCATAACCAGGTGAGCAAAAATATAAAGTACTTGATCACGTACAAGATCACCTACATCATGCCTCTCGCTAATCTATACCTTGCAATTTTTTTCTTTTACTGTAGGTACCATGGACCACTTCGAATCATTATACGTACTATGGAAAGAGCCAAAGATCTTTTCATCTCCCAATAACATATCGTGTGTTCATCTTCAGGTGTCAAGGTTCAGACGTGAAAGAGACAACTACAAACAAATGTTGGATGCTGCTCAAAAGACGATGACAGAAATGAAGAATGGCGACAAAAATGCTAGAACAGCGAGACATTCAATATCAAGTACTGATGAAGTAAGTTTAATGACATCTATTTAAGTGCAAATAGTATAGTCTAGTTGTCAGTTTGGTGCACGTTTGCCCACCTCGTTGATCAATTGTTCTAAAGTCCAAGAGCTAAGCCAGCGTACCAAGACCTAAATATCTTTCTGTATTTTAGAACCCAAAGGAATCATCAATAAACTTTAACACGAATCTAATATTTTTCAGGAGGAATATCGTAACAAGGTCGCGACACTGGAGCAGCAGACAGCGTGCCTAGAGGACGAGCTCTGTGAAGCAAGACTGCTAGCGTCCAAACTGAACACTGAGCTCATCAGCGAGCGATCCGCAGCTGAAGTCCGCTTCGCAGAAATGCAATCCAGGCTTAATGAGGTAAATAACACGTCATGCTAGAACCACCGAAAGCCATTTTGGCCATTTTTGTTCTATTCCAATCTTTGTAACAAAATTGAACAAAAGCATAAGGCAAAGGAAACAGTTACTTACCTACATAATTCGAATTTATATATTTCACACTTCAATCCGTTTCCGCTACACAGTACGAAGAAGAAAGATTGCTGACATCAGGCAGAGCGCGCGTGGCAGGTCTGGCGACACGTATGGAACTTGCGTGGCACAAGGAACGCGATGAACAGCAGCGGCTACTGCAGGAGACCTCCACTCTCGCCAGGGACTTGAGGCAGACACTCTTTGAGGTATCTTTATACTTAGAGAATATCTAAATTAGCATTATCAAAGCAAAAAAGGTTTGCTTGGTAAGATGCATGTATGTGATGGAAGCTAAAGTAGGAATAATATATTAGAATGATTTCATCAAAGGTTTCAAAAGGATTTTATCTACTTGAACGATTAATTATGAAACAAGTTCTAATCTAAACATTTAATTTCCATATTCAGATAGAACGCGAAAGAGAGAAAGAGAGATTAGACATGAAGAGAAGAATAGAACAATTGAAGAGAACTACCGAAGAAGAGACGGAAGAGGCTAAAAAGAAGGTAAGAACTAACAGTGAAATATTTTTAGGTAAAAAAAAATCTCATTCGTTGACAAAGCAAAATACAAATACACCAAGCGGTCACCGGTGACCGCGACCTATTGTTATTTAATTGTGTCTATAAATACGGTACTCGACGAGTTAAGCATAAGGTTCATTTTATTATGACCGATGGATTATAATTAATAAATATTTCTTTATTCTTCTTTAGGTGACAGAACTGCAGTGTGATCTACTGGAGCTCCGGGACGCGCACGCTAAGTTACGTACCGCAAATGAGAAGCTGCGTCGCGATAAAGAACGACACGACCGAGATCGTGACCAGAACAAGCTTCTTGTTGGTTCACTCAAACGTGCTCAGCAGGTAAGCTTTTGGCATAATTAAATAATCATCTTGGCGTTAAGAATAGTAAGTAGTCCAGATTTCACATTCTTTGTTCCTCCAACAATCTGTTCTATCATAGATAACTTTAATTCCAAACGCTATTATGAAATATTACTTATCACTATTTATAATCTCTTACCTACTTCTAAGAATGTCAAAAAGTGCTTGCAGTACTTGCCCAAGTCTGAAGTTCCATGACTATTATTAGTAATTTCAATGAGAAAACTTAATTCTGTCTTAAAAGATGATAACATTTTAGTTTTTTGAATTCAGTTTTTAATGATTATATTTTTACAGGAGGATGACAGGATAATAACACAACTTCTAGAAACTATAGATGACCTGATGAAGCAGAGTCCTGATTTGTTCCGTAATCATACTCCTGTCAAACCAGAGAAGAACTTGCTGACGCCTACGCCACCAAGACGGAATAGGGTACGTCAAGAAATACTTAGTCACTTTTGATCTTGCGGAAGCCTTTAAAACAGCAATGGTGCCATAGTATAAAGACACTTGTATTTTGTCTTTTTACAACAATCATGTACCTACCAATTTCTCTTCAGTCATCAAAGTCCCGGTCTCGGTCGGCGACGCCTGAGAACGGTGTGAGTGCAGTGGACACGGCTACTACTGCGGCGCGACTGCGACGACTCACTGATGAACTGCGCGCCTCACGCATCGCCGAGAGGCAACGACGACATCAAGCCACTGCTAGGAGGTGAACTCCTTCAAATACTTTATTTTTACTGTTGACAGTGAATTTTGGCAGGGGCAGGTCCTAGGACGTTGGGGATAGAATCCAAGGGGTACATTTCACATTTGACCTTCAACTACTCCCCTCTCTGAATCTATGCTTATATTTCTCAGAAGCTTAAGAATCTATCAAGCCCAATTTCACTAAAAATGTGCTGTAAAATAGAAACATAATGGATTTTATTTAAAGACAATAACATTTTTTCTGAATTCTATTTTTGTCAACAGAGCGATGTCAACGGAGCCCCGCGACACACTGTCCGTCTCACCAGCTACGCGCACGCCATCTCGTGCACCTTCGCTCAAGAAAAGATCCATTTCTCTTGAACAGACTACTAAGGATCAGGTAAGTTTAATTACGTGGTGTCTGTGAATTTTAGTATATCTCTCCTAGAAGTTGTTTTTTAGTAAATATGTCAATGAACAAATATTGTCTTATTTTGTTCATACAACAGAGCCTAATATGGAAGTCGGTGGATGAGAGCAGCGTGTCTTCGATGCAGTCATTGGACGGAGACGCGGACAACCGGCTGTTCACTATGCAACGAGATGCTAGTCTAGACAGGTATAAATTATACTCAATGCTATCTTTACTCTCCTTTTTTTTTATTCGTCTTGTCGGCTTCTTTAGTTTTACATAGTTTTAGAGCTAAATAAAAACTACCCGTCCTAACTCATAATATTTTCCCACTTCGATATTTATACTGGCTTTAGACAACAATATTTACTTTACCGTCATAACATAAGTTAACAATAATTCCATGTCTCTGTCATTTCTCAGTCGGTTATCCGGCGGCTCAGCTCAAAGCGAAGTACTTCCATCAGAAAAGAAGAAAAAGAAGAGCATTTTCGGCAAATTAAAGAAACTGACCAAGTCTCGCTCTATTGACGACCAAGTTGACAGCACGGAGCATGTCGAGTTCAGACCTATTGGCACTGTTTCTCAGGTAACAAATGACTATTAATGAATACTGATCACTTTTGACATTTCCATGTTATATTGTACCCCTATGTAGTAGTAACACAGGGTCAATACACATGTATTGAAAGCCAAACTTCGCCTTTCTAATAAAGGTAAGGATTTTATAGAATAATAAGTTATTTACAATAATAGGCAATTTCATAGAATTAGAATAATAAGTAATAGAATTATTGTATTATTAGTGTATACCCGCCCAATTTCGCGGTATCCCATTTGCATAAAATTATCATATAAATCCATGTTACCATGTCAATCAGCAGGGATCGGATTCGGACATGAGTACAGCAGGCAGCAAGCGTGACCTGCGTGGACGACTGTCCGATATGTTCAGCAGGAAAGGACCAATGTCACGTACAAACAGGTTTGTTACCATTACCAGCAATATCTTTTACATTACCCATTATTCCTAGTTTATTTCCCAGATCTATGAGTAGCGTTATTTACTTATAGATTTTATTTTTTATGTATTGAAAGTTAAATATCAGTTAAACGATAATAACCAAATAAGATTTTTTCCTTGTCAAAATCGGTTGTGAAGTGAGCATTTCAACTGCAGCAGAAGAGTGATATGTTTATTATATTTCAGTAAAGAGCTGAGTCCGGAGCGGCCGGCGAGTGCGATGGGTAGTATGACGAGCTCGTCCCGGCCTCCACTACGTAACGCTAGTAGCTCCACTCTCGCTAGGGCCTCGCCTGCTAAACCGGTACGTCATACTGAACCTTTTATACTGTATTCATAAGTGTTGCTATGTGAATTTTAGTCACATTTTCGCAATTTTCTTTAATTCCACAGAACGAAGTGCCGCGGCCAGCGAGCGCAACGCCTGCAGCCAAGAGGAAAGGGAAATAACTGATACTATAAGGATTTCGCTTCATTATAGTGTATTTATCCATTTTCCTATGATTTTTCCACATAGCTTGTAATATCACAATACATATCAATAAAATAAATTATTCTGTATAACTATCGATAGAACGCTACCGCTAACAGCGACTAGTAGTTGTCTATTTAATTTATTGAGTACTTTGAAAGCGTATTAAGAACTTTAGCCCAGTTATCGATAGTTATGCAAGTCTGATTGCCGCCGTCACGCTATAGTTACGCGACTGTGACGAGACCCAATTCCTTACGTCCTTAGTTTCCTTGAGAGCACCGGGCGCAGTCGCCTACAGACGTCAACATAAACGTCTAGAACGCGACGAGCGACACCAGTGCAATGTTTTAGTTATGTACTTTGTATCTTTATAATAAAGCTGTTGAATTAAACTTACTCTTATTTTAGCTCAATAAAAAGCGAAATTAAAATATCGTATTAAACTAAACTTCTATTCAATTTCAATCATTTTTACATTTGACATGAATGAAAATAATATGCATTCTTACAAAAACGAAACAACAAAAGAGACCAAAATAAAGTAGAACCTCGAGGTGTTGGTCGCAGCGTGGGAGAGTAGATGCGATACGTAGTACTAGTGGGCGGCTAGCTCTGGTCCATCAGGTTCGAGTCCACGCCGCCACCGCCGGTCGAGTCCTTCAGGATGGACTCGAAGATAGGCTGCAGGTCCGGGAACGACTTGATTTGTGTCACGAAGTCCATCAAGTGAGGATTCTTTTCTGTAATTAGAATATCACATTTATATCCCCCATAAACCTGTGTGTTTACAGTAATTGGCCGTTATTGGTCCTTGAACAATTTCCTATTTTAGTGGCACTTACCAGCTTCTGGTATCTGTAGGAGCGCCGCGGCTGCCCTGAGCGCGGACCTCTTGAGTTCATCTTGTTTCTCATATTCTTGTTTGACGGAGTTAGCCTTTACCTTCATTGTGCACGTCGCTCTGAGGGGTTCTACTAAACTTTCTAGCCCTGAAAACAATACAATGTGATTAATTAAATAGAAAAAAATATACATATATTTAACTAAACATTTCATCTTGTTGTTTGGATGGGTGACTTCTAATCGCGTTGGATCCTTGTTCTGGCTTAAAATTGCGCGAGGTAATGTACTCAATAGCACAAAATAAATTGAGATCTAAATACCACCAAAATAAAGCAAAAAGAAATCTAAGTTAAACTTACTCTGCAATACAACAGCGGGGCACAACTGAGCCAATCTCGCGCACATGAGGTAGGTGAGCATCTTGATGTCGTAGTGGTCGCGCAGCCCGTCCTCCACGTGTCGCAGGAACTCGAACACGTCGAGTCTGTCGAGGCACGTCCCCAGCAACGTGTACATACACTCGAACGCTGCCTTCCGCAAGTCTAGGCCATCGTCTACTGAATGCTTGAACGGTCCCATTTCTACCTCGCGGATTAGTTCTTTCTGTAGGAATAAAATAAGATTTTTTAGGACAGGAACGTGAATTTACATTTTACAAATGTTTTCATTATGCAGCACACTGTTTCGTTATTTGAATACCGAAAATATTTTTTTTTTAATTTACTAATAAATAAGTACATTTCATCAATGGCACGTACCTTAACTTTAGTCTCGCTGTAGATGGTGGGCAGTACTTGTGGCAGTAGGTCGCGTATGAGCGAGGGCTTGTTGTGTGCTGCCGAGTTGAAGGCGACCAGCGCCACGCGCCGCACGCCCAGCTCGGGGTCGCGCAGCGGGACCAGCAGCTCCGACATACAGCCGCGGAGCAATGGGTCGATCGCTTGAGGCTGCAATACAAGAAATGTATTGGATTTGACCAGAATATTTGAACTAGACCCCGAGTCGGGTTAAGACTGAATTTTTGGCAATAAGCTTGCTCCTATACTCGGAATTTTAATTCGATTCCAGATTTGACAATTTCAGTGTTGCAACGTTATGACAAGTACTAAATAGTGACGTTGCGAAATTATTCGATATGGAAATGCAATATTTCTGGATCGATTCTTCTCGTTTATAATTTTACTCTCGTAAACTAAGTATATCAGGAAATTAAATATTTCTGAACCGATAATTTAGTTTTGACGATTAATTAACGATCTGAGACTTTTCTTTTATAACTGTGTGTGAAATAAATACAAAAAAGTAATCATGAAGGAACATGACAAATAAAACAGATGTATTATGGTAATAAGTTGTTTTATAAATTGTCGCCGTCATCGCTATCGCTATCCTGTCACTTTCTGTAACATTTATTATAAAACACACACACTGATTGTTTATCGATTTTTGTGTTCATCACTACACTACATAGAGCAACACGGGCCACCGGCGGACCGGAGGGGAGTAGCCATACGCAGGCGTTCCCCTCTGTCAAAGTATAAGTCCAAATGGTCCTATGCGTACAATAAAACTAGTTGCAACTCAACTGCTCACCAGACTAAATCTAGTTGCGTTAGTGAATCGACGGCGTCGTAAAAATGTCGAATTGTTCTGTTTTTTGCTGCAAAAAGAGATCTGCCACGTCAAATTTACAAAAACATGGTGTTACCTTACATATTAAGTAATTTTTAATCACATTATTGCTATTTACTTCTTATAAACTTAAAAAAACTACAATATTATCAATCGTCTTGTTTCGGATTTGTTTACCAACAAATCCGTGCGTCCTCATACAAAACGCGGATCGGTCGAGCGACAGATCCGAGTTTTTTTCCTAGAATTCGCTGTCGCCGAGCGATAGCATTGTTGCCGGTTTGTTTGTAGATAGTTATCGATAAAAATGTAAAAGGTGAAGTCAAATGTGAGATTTTTTGGGATTAAGTTTTCTGATTTAAATAAAAAATACTGAGTGAGAACTTAAACTATATTTATTATTATTATTATTTTATTTATCTATTGCAGATTTCCTTAAGATCCAAATTTAAGAGATATATTATGTAAGACATTTTGTTATAACAGACCAACCTGGGTTTCCCACAAGAAATATTGCCATTTGCTCAAATCAAGATGAATTAGCAAGATTAATAATGCAAAAATATACTGATACAATAATTTCTAACTTATTGAAAAAAACAAACCCCCAAAAATGTATTCGTCATATTTATAGAAAATTAATCTATTTTAAAAACCAGTTATAGTTCCGAATCAGTATTTCATCACTGGTTTTTAAATGGGATTAGTAATTTAATTTATTTCAAAAAATGAAAATTTTACTAGTATAGTTAATTATTTTCTTGATGATTGTACTAGTAGGTAGTTAAGGGTATAATAATTAAAGTCAATAATAATATCTGTCTTTGAATAATTTTTTAAAGCTGATTTCCTTAACGGAGTTCTTGAATTTATCGATAATGCGTATCGATAATTGTTACAACTGCGTGTGCAAGTGTAGTTGCGTCATATTATTACACTATAACGACAGGCATTGTTTAAATGTGTGTGTGAAATTGTCAGTGTATTTTTCAATTGTCATAGTGTGAGTTTCGTAGTGACATAGAATGTTTTTGTGTGAGAATTTGAGAATGTGTGATTTCCCCCCGCAAAAAATGACAGACAGTTTTGTATCGGTTTATAACGCAATGGCTACTCCCCTCCGTGTTGCTCTATGCTACACTATTATAATGTGGTATCATTATTTCACAAAATGACAGTAGCTATTGTCAAATCTGGAATCTAATTAAAATTCTGACTATAGATCGTAATCTCTCATTATAGTAAGCTCCTATCACTTTAGACACACAGAAAAACCAACAGTACTAGAAAAATAAACATAAACCTTAAATTTGATCTTATAAGAAAGTACACCGGCTGTCTAGGCAGACTAGATAGTATGTATTTCATAGCTGATTTATTTACTTGATAAAAAGCCAAGATAATGCCACATACCTGGTCTGATATCGTGAACTTGACGGCTGTGACTGCAGTTGTCCTTGTGAGTGGCTCGGGCGACTTGAGGAACTCCTTCAGGTGTGGTAATAAGTCTTGTGGCTCTAGTAAACATAACTTGCCTAAACATTCCGCAACCTGCAAACCGTTTAACATTAGTAAATTCAAATAATAATAAAACAGAATTGAACATACTTTCGAGTGACCGGCTTGAAATGTCAAATTGAAACAAAAATTACATACATTTTATGCATTAACATTGAAGTTTATTATACTCACAACATTGCGAGATCCTTCCTCTGCACATTGACAGTGTTTCGAGAGCTGCACCCAGATCTCGGGGATAAACGGCCTCAGAGCTTCGACACCCTCAGGAGTACAGGATTCACATGAGATTATCTAAAAATAAACAATCATTTCGTAGCTAATATTGACTGGCTCATGTTGACGAACATAAAGTAGTTTTAAACTCCATATACATATTTTGTTCGTCGTTAAGTCGTCAACCCTAGGTGATATAATATCTTCAGAAAGAAAATCGAACATTGCATCTTAACTAAGACTGATATTTTTCTTACCTCCCTCAAAGAGTGTAACAAAAGGTATTGCCTCTTAGGTTGTGCCTCGATCTCGCCCAGTATGAATGGTAGGAACTCGGGCAAGTTGCCCACTGCTACTGAACCGAGCGCATAACTAGCGGCCGACTTCACTTCTTCAGATGAAGGCGTGAACGAACTTAGAAGCACCTCCTTCAAATTCGGTATGGAGCTTAAATCTCTGTAACAATATTTTTGTTATAATTACATTCTTTATAGTTTTTTGGTATGGTTGAATGTAGGATAAGAAAGTATGACTTCAAACTTCTAAATAAAAGGTTTTAAGGTTACTTTTATGTTGCTTTTGCAATATAATTTATCACCTTTAAGAACAATTAGGTGTTTACTATCAAATAGATAAAATAGGGATGTTTTCATAATCAGAAATGTTATTATTGATTTAACTTTTATTCATAAAAATGTCTAAAAAAGTTAAGAGCAAGTAAGTGTACGTACAAGTGGCGGCCGATCTCCGCGAGTGCGAGCAGCGCGAACATGTGGTGCGCGTCGGAGGCGGGGCGCGCGATGTCGCGCAGGAACCCGCGCACCACGTCCAGCGCGTCCGCGCCGCCCTCCGCCACCACCGCCGCCACGCACTTCGCCAGCGAGTGGAACGCCTGCGGCCACACACATACTACTGCACACTCGCTAATTATGGACTAATTAATATTGACGCTGGTCTTTGCAATTTCTGCATAGATAAAGTCGATGTTATGTTGATACCAAAGAACAAAGAAATTTGATCGTCTAAACATAAAAGCAAACACCTATAATTATGTGTCAATTTCGATTCATACGGAGAAAAAGGCAAATAAGTAACCTTGCAGTTAAGTTATTGTCCAAGGAATGTATGGGCGTACCTGTTTGATGTGGTGTGTGGACGCCGTGTGGTCGGTGAGCTTGTGTACGGGCGCCACGAGCAGCGCCAGCAGGTCGCGGCGCGAGCAGCCCGCCACGTCGGCAGACACCAGCGCGCTCAGCACGCCCAGCATCGCCTTCAGGGCACCGCCTGCACGACAGACAATATTATAATGGGCCTCCTTCACAACTTTCATTCAGGTTGCTTTTTGGAGGGCGGAAGGAAATCCAATGACTTCTCCCGCCCAGATGAGGCGAGAGGGAGTGTCAGACTCTTACTGACTAAAAACCGCACCATTCCTACTCCTGCACTTCAAGCCAGAGTCCTGGCAACCCGTAAAGTCCTCCGCAACTCCGTATCGGCATCAACCCTATTGAGTCCCATCTATAGTGGTCTGATGGCTCTTTGAGGCGAGCGCGGATCGCGAGGCGCCATACGCTCGGGTCTGGTTTTGGTCCGGCAGCGAGTCACCCATGTTCGCCGTCCGTAAGCCCGTCATTCAAGTTGCTTAGGCGATCTTATGATAAAAATAATAATTTATTGCAATTTGGACAAATTACACAGCACATACCTTGCAATAACGGTGACTTGGCGAGTGCGAGTATATTGGGAGTGAGTGCGTGTCGCGCCTCGGGCGTGAGCGCGGCGGGCAGCTTGATGCAGGCGCAGCGGACCAGCGTCAGCGCGGTCTGCGCGCAGTGCAGGTCTGCTTCTACTACCAACGCTGGGACTTCCAGTAATACCTGTACATAATTATTTGTATAAATATATAGCAAGCAATAGTTGTTGTATTTTTTCTAAATAAATGATAATGACTCTGGAACGTGGACTATGTTATTGAAATAAATAATTAATTATTAACAACCCATTCATACGTAGTTTCAATGATTACGATTTTCGACAATTTGTATAAATGTGTAACTACCTACATTATGGCTTGGCGATGAAGCTCATAAAGCTATTTTCGCACGAGACAACAATTTGTACCAGATCTGGGCACCATGTGTAAATGGATTTCGTGAAGAAAGATTAATAATAATTTACGAAAAATATTGAACTTACCTTACTCAAAAGTTCTATACTAATTGCATTGCTATAGTTTTGTACTAAAGTATCCAAAAGCACTAGAGTAGACAACTTCAAGGCTCGTTGATTTTTCCTTAGGAACGATCCTAGAATAGGTATGGCATCGGACTGCAAAAAACAATTACAATTTAATTTCAGTACAAAGTAATTTTATAAAATGTTAAAATATTACTTACAAGAATAGGTGAAAGGTCGATTCTAAGTGGCGATGATGCGACCTTAGTGAGTGCTTTGACTGTGGTTAAACGAGTTATCTCATTGCGCAGGCGTTCTAAAAATATTGGGAGACAGACCGGAAGCTCGTGCTGCAAGGAAATGATAAATATTTTCACATCTATGTCTAAAGACTTCAAAGACAATCTAATAACAAGAATTTTAGGTAATTTATGCATGCTATGAATCGATAGGAAACAGTAGCTCCGTACAGCCATAACACAGACCTTACGATTTAACTGTACGATTACTATGTGACTTTAAACGAGTCAATATTTTCTCGAATTGTTCACTTACGTAAACAGCACTTTTAAATTAACTTAGTGCCTATTATATTTCACAATAGTTATTAACAGAAGAACTGTACATACTTGTAAATAGTCACCGAAATGACAGAGAAGTTGTCCGCAGGCGGCGATGGCTCGTTCCTTGACCTCCTGGTCCATGTCAGTGGCGCGCAGGCGCACCAGCGTCACCTCGTACATGCCCGGGACGTACGCCGCCAGCGCGGGGGGCGCCGCCTCCACCGCCGCGCCGCTCGGCACGTCGTCTATTATAACGACCGCAACAAAAGTGAAATGGAATTCTCCTATTTAGTGCCGCAAAGTCGCATACAAACACTTCATCTATTCAAGAAGATTTATCTAAACGATAGAATAACTTAATAAAACATGACTCTAAATACAATAGATTTATTAAAATACGGAACAAACCATTAATCACTATTTTATTTACAGCATTAGCATTGCTAATACCCTAACAAAAAAAACATGCGACACAAATAAAAATGGGACAAAACTCACCTAACGGGCGCATAACTTTGACAAGAGTTTGTAGAACTCGCAATGCCTCAGCAGTGACTTTGTAGAAGGGATCGTGAACACAGCACAGCACGGCGGGCAACAGCGCGCCCACGTGGGGACGCATCGTCGCCGCCGGGTGACCGCGCACTAAGCACACTACAAACACTAGGGTCTCTATCTTCATTGATGACGCTGTGCTCTTGTCACTGTTGGAGAAAAAAAATATTTATTGATGTATGTACATACATACAACATAAAGGACAACACATATATAAAATTAAAGCACAAAGGTACCACCTATTCCTATTGGAATTTCTTCCTTTGGACCCTGGGCAGGAAAAGTTATAATGATATAATGACACAATGTGTAATAATAATTAGACAATTGAGATAGAAAACGGACTTAAAACTAAACAGATAAAAAAGAACCAAACAAATACATACAGTATATAAAAATACATACAAAATATAAACTATAAAACTAAATGAGAGACATTTATCAGTATCAGGAGTAGTGTTTTCTCATTTAGTTTAAACTTTAAATCAAAAAGGGATTAGGTTTTGGTCATTGTTATTCAATGAAAGGATTGGATTTCACTAACATTGGATTGTTAGAGAAAGAGGAAAATTAAAGAGAGGTAGAAATAAAATTACTTTTTTGATACATGAGACTAAAAGATTACAGTGGCAATAAGTGCCGTAATGTACACCTCTGCCTACTCCTTCGAGGATAAAAGTCGTGATGTTATGTGTGAAACTGAAAGATCAGAAGTCATTGACAGACATTACACCAATCAAAATTACCTAAAAAATGGCTAGAATAGTTAAGATGATGATGTGATGATTCAATGAGAAGGACAAGAGAGTAAGCTAAGAGTGATATAAGTAGACAAGTGTATTCATACGTGAGTGCGGGAGTGAGAGCCCGTATGACCCTGGCGGCATGGTCAGCGAGGCAGCCGGGCGCCGCGGCCAGCAGCTCGCGCAGCAGCGCTAGCGCCGCGCCGCGCGCGCGGACACTGCGCCCGCGGATCACACGCAGCGCGCCGCGCACTACGCCGGACACCTGCAACACAAACATATCGTTTAAACTTCCAAATCAAATAATATTTATTTTACTAAATAGGAGAGAAAAGGCACTTTTCTCAATGATGCTCCCTCTTAAACTTCTATTCTATGCTTGAACAATACAAAGCTTGTCAGTATGACCATAATCTTAACTTGACAACGAGAAATAATAAATGTATGTTGCTTTAGGTAACTTTTTTAGTTTTACTCACTCTTTGTAATAAGAGAGCTTGCGGCGAGTTGTCCGTAGGTATGATGGTAATCTGCAATGCCGGAGGTGGTCTAGTGGCTCTCAACAGGGCAGTGTACGCACTTAAAATATCGCACTTCACGTTCTCTTCGCGTTCTAAATAAAAGAAAAAAGAAAATAAATAAATAAGTTACATGAATTTAATTACATTGGGCACATTAATCCTTACTAATATTATAAATTTGAAAGTGAGTTTGTTTGTTTGTTCCACCTTCACGCCGTAACTACTCAACCGATTGCTTTGAATTTTTGCAGATGTTAAGTTAGAAGTCCGAATTAAATAATAGGGTACTTTTTAACCCGGAAAAATTGATATTCCCGAGGAAAAACAAATGTATTGGTATAGATGGCGCTGTGTGTATTGGTATATGTCACATAGGCTACTTTTTATTCTTTTGTGACGCGAGCGAAGCCGCGGGTAAAAGCTAGTAATCAATAAATATTAATAATTTGAATTCAATGTACCTTTAAATCTAGCAATCAAAGCAGGTGACACAGTTTGGTACATTTCTCCAAGGAGCTCATGACGAGTTGCGATGACAGATTCTAAGCACTTGGCCGCTGCACGCCTCACCTAAGAAAGTAAACTAAATCAGTCATGCTATCAATTTTAGTTCGTTATCCACTATTTGAAAGAAAGAAGAAAGAAAAATCGTTTATTTGCACACCGTCACAAGGTACAATAACACAAAAAGAAAACAATACAGTGAAAACGGCGCAAAAAGGCCAGAGCTCAGCTTAAATGCCGTGACCTGAGTGCGCTCGAGTCGCGGCGCTGATTTTCAGCACTTGCCCGTGACTATTATAATATTATACATATAATAAATAATAATATTTTGATTTATTTGCCATATTTAATATTTTAATTTATTCGTAATTATGTGTATAATATGTGTAATAATAATATGTAAGTTTGTATTCGAATGTTTAGGCGAAACTGATAACCTATCGCGTATTTCGCCGTTGAAGCACTTTATCTCAACAAACTTGGATCATAGTTACAAAACATACCTTCCATGACATGTCATCATCATCAGAGTACTCCTCAGAATCCGACTCTGGTTCAGCATCAGGTGCAAATGACTCGTCTTCCATCTCCTCATCTTCACCACCACCATCTTCCTCCTCATCTTCGTAGTTATAGTTAGGATCGTAGGTGATCATTTTGAGGCAAAGATCAATAATCTAGAAGAAAGCAATGATTTAATTAGTAATTGCAAAAGTGTCATAAGTAAAAGTTTTTTCTTAAAATGTTTTTTTCATATCTGTAACATGACTGGCAAAGTTCAAGTGTGAGTCATCTTATTTATCATACAATACAGAATTTTGTATTCAATGACTTCACTAAAAACGAAAATTATTACCGTAGGGATGTGAGGCTGCACTTCCTTAGGACATTTAAGTACAAAAGCTTCAAGTGCTTGCAGACAATGTTCACGGAGTTCTTCATCGGCATCAGTTGAATATTCCAGAACTTGTGGAGCCACACGCCACAGCTGCTCACCAAACCTGTGTCCTGCTTGGCGACTACAACATAAACTAATTAGTATTACATCCTGTACATTACAAATAAAAAATCTCAAAAAATCTATGCATGCTCTTACCAAATAGATGCAATACATTGTATGTGGGTACGGCTGACACTAGATGATGTAGAAGAACTCAGCCCTTCCAATAGGTGATCAATAAGTTTGTTGTAAAGAGATGCATTGCAGGACATGACCAGATGGGACAATGCAACTATGGTGCGTTTACGGACAGCCTGTACAAGTGAACTTGGAGTTAGTATGAAACTAATGAATCAAAACAAGTAATAAAGACATTAATCTTTTACAAACTTATGTTTCATAATAAAGTATACAATCTTATTAGAATATTGTTTGAGTCTTATTAGATTTAATTATTTACCTGACGTGGAGAAGCTAGTTGTGGCAGAAGAGAATTTAGCAACATTGGATGGAAGGTAATCAGCAAGCCACCGAATCTGCTTAGCAGGTCAGCTAGTATATCCAGAGCCTCAAGTTGAACTGAGACATCTTCTTGCTAAAACATTAAAATCTAATTAGAAATATTGCCTTATTAAAATTAAAAAGTTAGAACATTTCAATCAAAATATTTGAAGTTTTTCTGCCTACCTTACTTGAACCTGTTTCTTTTAACCATAATAGAGAGGAAGAAAGTTGTGAGTCTGTGTTTAAAAAAACCCTTATGTAGCTTATTAGAAAAACTTTCCTGCTAGTTTTGGAATTGCATACAATTTCTTACATAATTAGTAGTAGGGTTTCAAATATTTGATATCAATCACAAGCTTAGTAAGTCATGTTCATTATCACTATTTCACCACCAAGAATAAATGATCATCTGCCTGAATATATGAATAATATTTTAATGCTTCTAGTATACTACAAAAAAAAAAAACTAAAAATCAACATATTTTGTTGGAAAAGATTTCAAATTTACCTTTTCAATAGCACTGCTTAGTTTGCCAGTAATTTTCTTGCACACATTTGCAGCCAAAGTATTAGAACCTAGCGGTAATTCAGAAATGACAGTCTTTAACCCAATGCTACTGATATCTCGTAGTTGTTCAGTGTCTGACAGCATGTTAGCACACAGAGTGTCCACAATACCTTCTACTTGATACTCCTTCACTTTATTCACAAGTGGGCCGAGACTGAAAAACATTTTAATCTTTATTATTCCTCCCCTACAATTGCACTTCTAGATTCCAATAAAGGCTCACATACCATTTCACAGCTAAATTTTGCACTTCACCGTTCTTGTCTTCGAGAAGACGGAGGAGCATCTTCACCACTTTTCTTTCAGAGTCATCATCAAGCTTTATACTGTCTTTTTGTAATTCAGTCATCAAATCATTAGTAGCCATGAACCTAAAGTCTTTGTCGTTGGATGTCATCTGGAAACATTGTTGGTATTAACATTAAAAAAATTGGCAATTGGAATAGTGAAATTCTACACAGTGTTTTTATGCGAACGCCGGCTTACCTTCTCCAGAAGATTTGCAATTTGATAGGATACACTAGCCATTTTGTAATGTGTTCAGTCTCTGGAATCACAATAGAAATCTACAAAAGCCAAATAAAGATAAAGTTAAGAATTTATCATGAGTAATTGGTGAAGAAAAAACATTTGAATGATTATTCGGGAAATAAAAGCGACGAATCGAAAACTTGCTTCGTGGTGCTTCGCTAAAATTGTATAGACAAAATAGGATAAAGTTACGACTTGTCAAAATCTTATCGATTTGCACTATGTTATCATCATTATCTGTTGATCGATTGTAGTCGATTTTTTCATATACTTATGCCAAAATAAAAGTCTAGCCATTTGTTTACGCACACTGTTTGCTGTAAAATACGCATTTATAGGTTTAATTGTTTTTTAAAAATATTAAAATCTAAATATTTCTCGTGATGTAGGATAAAGGTAAGAAGTGTAGGATAGTGTATGGTTAGTTTAGCACTCACTCTACTAAGAAAGGTAGTCGATTCTAAAATAATAAAACTTTAGATTTGAAAATGTTAGGTTCATGGCCCTTTTGTTAGGTATGTAAATAGAAAAATAGCACATTATTACAATAGTACCTACTGTGTTGGTTTCACATTATTTACTATATTATACTCAAAAGACTTGTACTCATAAAATTGTGATAGCACAGACAAACGTTACAGTTTATATTACGATTGTCTATAGATGGATAAACGTCAACATCAAAGAGTATAATAAGTATAGGGGTAAAGAGTTGCCACTCGTCAAAATTTATGCCAATCAATTTGAAACGCCATCTGAAAATTGAATCCAAGTATATTTTTTTTTTTACTAATGTCTACAGATAATCCTAAGTATAGCTAATGCCAATACTACCAACAATGCACCTTGCAGGTTGGTACATTGAAGGTAGTATTGGAATTAGCTATGTCTGGTAGCTGCAAAATCAAAGAAGTTATTAATTACAATATTACATTTATTTTACAGTAAATACAAATTAACATTTAAAAATTATCAGCTAGTAGGGAAATATCAGACGACAGATTTGTTCAAAGTATAATTCAAATTTTAGTTCTTTTTAATTTTATGTTTACAAATTTCAGATATAAATATGTCGTTCAAAATTTATTTCAATTAGTTATTTTTTTAATTATTGATCCCACAAAGAACTAAAATTAAAAATATTTACTGTTCACCGTTGTTTACACAGTACCTAACAGTAGTTAACAATCTAATGATATAAATTAACCGTAATACCTACACAAATGTAGTACATTTTACCATCGATTTGAATCGCTTACAGTATTCACAAAAACACAAAATTATTATACAATTTACATAACATAACATACATAACATCACGCCTTTTTATCCCCGAAGGGGTAGGCAGAGGTGCACATTTCGGCACTCAATGCCACTGTACAATGTAACACCCACTTTTCACTATTTATGTTATAAGTCCCATGTAATAGGAGGTGAGCCTATTGCCATATACCAGACTACTCTACTACTACTGAGATTTTTTTAAAACCTAGTAATACTTTGCCCGACCCGGGTATCGAACCCGAGACCCCTTGCCCGGCAGTCGCACTTATTATTATAATGTCGAAAAATATAGTGCTTAAAAATAAGTCTCAGTCTGCCTCTCAGTCAGTCTCAGTTTTTTAGTACTTTTTTTTGCTAGTTGCTAATAATGCCTGACTTAGTCGTTTCCTATATCTAGTTATATTACAGTCATTTTTACTAAACAACTACAGATTTTTCCTATCCTCAAATATAATATTTTTATAACATTATAATGAAACAAAGTAATATTATTATTATAAATACAAATGAAAATGAAACAGGCAAAATAATGTGGGAAATCCCAATTCAGACAGACTTCACAGTTGCCCACAACAGACCGGACATAATATACACAAACAAAACATCCAACATCACATACCTCTTTGACATAACTGTACCATGTAACTACAACATAGGAGCAAAAGAAATTCAGTAAATACCACTTTTTAAAGACACAACTCAAGGCTAGACGCCTTGAAATATTGAAACGCATGTTATTTCTATAGTAATTGGAGCCACAGGAGTAGGTACTAGCCAAAAGCCTTAGCAGATACACAGACAAACTAGAAACATAAATAGACATTAGCCACCATTCACACAATAATCATTCTTAGCAAAGTACTAGGAGACACAGTTTTCGTCACATACATTCCAGATTCCGATCAATTACAACCATCTCAAGCACAAACACCACATACCACTCAGTCAACCATCACATGAAGCTCACAATCCACATCTGGCACACAAACTACACCCAGTAAGTAGTCAAGTAGTCAGCAGAAGAGAAAGAAGGAGATTTATAAGTCAAATTTAGAAGGGGCTATGAGCATCGTTTTTCCTGCGGGTTGCGGGAAGCGGTGCCCATTTTCACCAGGTCAAGCCCAAGAAGGAGAGACCTCTACATATATGAATACAAATAAGTAAAATCTAGAATAATGCTGCCAGTTTTTTGGGCACCCTACTCCACGATAGCGATGAAAAAGAATTTTTTAATGCCCTAAGGTAACATTTTTTTTAAAGTGTGAATATGTACCTATTTTAGTTTATCTATAATTTAATATTACTTTGTTGTGCGTAGGTACTTAAAATGTTGTTCTAATTATGATATATACATTAATACATAGAGCAACACGGGCCACCGGCGGACCATTAATACAAAGATAAAAATAGTTTTACAAAAATAATACGGCTTTAATATTTGCAGCGATCTATGGGTTTCTTGTTTCTTGAGACAACAATATACGTCTGAATGTTAGAATAATTCCAAATAGTACCTGAAAAAAAAAACTTTATTTTTACATGCAGAAATATGTATTTTATTTATTTGTTTTCTTTTATTTATCTAAGGTAGGTGTACCTTACGTGATATTACGGATGTTACAAGAATAATATAGTATTTACCATCTCTAAAATAGGTTTCAAGCACTGCTGGTATAGATCGGCACTTTATCCGGACATCGTAAGACTCGTAACTGCCGATAAAAAAATGCACTATTGATATTCTGCAATGATGATGCTGAAGTAATATCGATGCAATAGCAATTCCAAATATCACTGTAACAAATATACAAAAGAAAAAGTAGAAATTTATAAAAACTACATAGTTTGGTATCTCAATGAATCAAATAAAATGTATAAATAGGTTCAATAGCAAAAATCATTAACTTGTTGTAGGTTTTACCTTCAGCAACATGATTGTATTCTTCGTATTGATGTTCTTTATTATAAATAAGATATATACGCAAATTAAAGCGTTCCTTTGTAACATCAAGTCCAATGAATAGACAAACAAACACAATGTACTTTTGTGATTTGTGATACACATGTATACAAAAGGTCCTTTATAGAAAACACAACACGCATCGCAGAACTTCCTTTTTTAGAAAAACAATCACAAAATCCCATTACAAATTATTAAATAATTTAAAATATTTTTGGCAAAAATTTTTACAATTTTGACATTTCAAATTTTTGTTTTTGTTTCTTTTCTTTATCAAGCAAAAAGTAGGTATACATATTATATGCCAGTATTAAAATAGTACAAACTACATGCATACTATTTTATAAAATAAGGAGATAATATAAAAAAGTATTTAACATCAATATCTAATTATTAACAATATTATTTTAATAGTTATTTATTATCTAAATAATTTGGAAAATTATTATTGTAATGTTTTAATATTTTTTTAGCCCCAGCGTTGCCGTAAAAAATAATAATTTGACAATCCATATAGTACAAGAGCTTATGAACCCCAGACCTTTGTTATTTATAACGGACTTAAAAAAAGGAAAAGTAATATACCTATAAGGTTTTTTTATGTTCTTGACTATGACTTGATTTGATGATTCTTTTTTAACCGACTTTAAAAAAGGAGTATCAGTTTGATCTAAATGTATATACATATGTTACAGCCAAAGTGATTAATTTGATATTATTCGTAATGACTAGTAATTAATCAATTAATGACTAGCTATTATGAATAATATCTTCGAAAACTTGGATCAAATGGAAATGAACAGGGCTGACGTCTGCACAAAATGTTGAATTTATCGTCATGGGTGTCGTTTTCATGGTTTTCGAGGGTGATAAAGCCGATGGTCCTGTCAAATTGTAAATCCAAGATGGCGTGCGCACAACATTTTTCAATTTATCGTCATGGGTGTCATTTTCATGGTTTTCGAGTGTGATAAAACCGATGGTGTTGTCAAAATGTAAATCCAAGATGGCGTCTGCACAAAATTTTGAATATATCGTCATGGGTGTCCTTTTCATGGTTTTCGAGGGTGATAAAACCGATGGTGTTGTCAAAATGTAAATCCAAGATGGCGTCTGCACAAAATTTTGAATATATCGTCATGGGTGTCCTTTTCATGGTTTTCGAGGGTGATAAAACCGATGGTGTTGTCAAAATGTAAATCCAAGATGGCGTCTGCACAAAATTTTGAATGTATCGTCATGGGTGTCGTTCTCACGGTTTTCGAGGGTGATAAAGCCGATGGTGCTGTCAAAATGCAAATCCAAGATGGCGGCTGCACGATATTTTCAATTTATCGTTATAGGTGTCGTTTTCATGGTTCTCGAGGGTGGTGAAAATGATGGTGCTGTCAAATTGTAAATCAGAGATGATGACTGAACGAAATAGAGTTAGTACATTTATCGAGAAAGATTAAGTATGTGTGTGAATGTGTGTGTGTGTGTGTGATAGAGAGACAGAAAGAATGCATGCAACCTATTTTATAGATTTTCTATGAAAATTGAGTATTTTCATATAATATTAGTTTTTATATAATAAAAACGGTGGCCTAGACCTGAGGTTCACAGGCTCTTAGGTTAACGCTTTTGGATGCAGAAACCTGACGCAGTCACTTCATAGAGTTTAGTTTGTCATCCATCACTTAATATCTTTTTAATCTCTATTATTAGTAAAGAGGCTGTCATCTTTGATCGATTATGCCAGCATAACTGTCATTTGATCTAAGTTTAAGGAATTATTTTGTAAAAATTGCAATATAGTATTAAATAAATGTGTATAATGTTATTTTACTATTTCCAAAAAATATTATTTTAAGCCTAAATTTTAAAATAATGTTGCTACCTTGCTTGGAACTGTGTGGCCACTGAAAATATTAGTTTTGACAACATTTAATTTCAGGTTCGAAAACTAGATGTAGTTGACGGTCCGATTTTTTAAGCTGTCAATGGCTCTAAGTGTGACGGCCCTGGAGTATAATAAGTATAGGGGTAAAGAGTTGCCACTCGTCAAAATTTATGCCAATCAATTTGAAACGCCATCTGAAAATTGAATCCAAGTATATTTTTTTTTTTACTAATGTCTACAGATAATCCTAAGTATAGCTAATGCCAATACTACCAACAATGCACCTTGCAGGTTGGTACATTGAAGGTAGTATTGGAATTAGCTATGTCTGGTAGCTGCAAAATCAAAGAAGTTATTAATTACAATATTACATTTATTTTACAGTAAATACAAATTAACATTTAAAAATTATCAGCTAGTAGGGAAATATCAGACGACAGATTTGTTCAAAGTATAATTCAAATTTTAGTTCTTTTTAATTTTATGTTTACAATTGATCCCACAAAGAACTAAAATTAAAAATATTTACTGTTCACCGTTGTTTACACAGTACCTAACAGTAGTTAACAATCTAATGATATAAATTAACCGTAATACCTACACAAATGTAGTACATTTTACCATCGATTTGAATCGCTTACAGTATTTACAAAAACACAAAATTATTATACAATTTACATAACATAACATACATAACATCACGCCTTTTTATCCCCGAAGGGGTAGGCAGAGGTGCACATTTCGGCACTCAATGCCACTGTACAATGTAACACCCACTTTTCACTATTTATGTTATAAGTCCCATGTAATAGGGGGTGAGCCTATTGCCATATACCGGGCACATTTCCAGACTACTCTACTACTATTGAGATTTTTTTAAACCCAGTAATACTTTGCCCGACCCGGGTATCGAACCCGAGACCCCTTGCCCGGCAGCCGCACTTATTATTATAATGTCGAAAAATATAGTGCTTGAAAATAAGTCTCAGTCTGCCTCTCAGTCAGTCTCAGTTTTTTAGTACTTTTTTTTGCTAGTTGCTAATAATGCCTGACTTAGTCGTTTCCTATATCTAGTTATATTACAGTCATTTTTACTAAATAACTACAGATTTTTCCTATCCTCAAATATAATATTTTTATAACATTATAATGAAACAAAGTAATATTATTATTATAAATACAAATGAAAATGAAACAAGCAAAATAATGTGGGAAATCCCAATTCAGACAGACTTCACAGTTGCCCACAACAGACCGGACATAATATACACAAACAAAACATCCAACATCACATACCTCTTTGACATAACTGTACCATGTAACTACAACATAGGAGCAAAAGAAATTCAGTAAATACCACTTTTTAAAGACACAACTCAAGGCTAGACGCCTTGAAATATTGAAACGCATGTTAATTCTATAGTAATTGGAGCCACAGGAGTAGGTACTAGCCAAAAGCCTCAGCAGATACACAGACAAACTAGAAACATAAATAGACATTAGCCACCATTCACACAATAATCATTCTTAGCAAAGTACTAGGAGACACAGTTTTCGTCACATACATTCCAGATTCCGATCAATTACAACCATCTCAAGCGCAAACACCACATACCACTCAGTCAACCATCACATGAAGCTCACAATCCACATCTGGCACACAAACTACACCCAGTTAGTAGTCAAGTAGTCAGCAGAAGAGAAAGAAGGAGATTTATAAGTCAAATTTAGAAGGGGCTATGAGCATCGTTTTTCCTGCGGGTTGCGGGAAGCGGTGCCCATTTTCACCAGGTCCAGCCCAAGAAGGAGAGACCTCTACATATATGAATACAAATAAGTAAAACCTAGAATAATGCTGCCAGTCTTTTGGGCACCCTACTCCACGATAGCGATGAAAAAGAATTTTTTAATGCCCTAAGGTAACATTTTTTTTAAAGTGTGAATATGTACCTATTTTAGTTTATCTATAATTTAATATTACTTTGTTGTGCGTAGGTACTTAAAATGTTGTTCTAATTATGATATATACATTAATACATAGAGCAACACGGGCCACCGGCGGACCATTAATACAAAGATAAAAATAGTTTTACAAAAATAATACGGCTTTAATATTTGCAGCGATCTATGGGTTTCTTGTTTCTTGAGACAACAATATACGTCTGAATGTTAGAATAATTCCAAATAGTACCTGAAAAAAAAAACTAAGATTATTTTTACATGCAGAAATATGTATTTTATTTATTTGTTTTCTTTTATTTATCTAAGGTAGGTGTACCTTACGTGATATTACTGATGTTACAAGAATAATATAGTATTTACCATCTCTAAAATAGGTTTCAAGCACTGCTGGTATAGATCGGCACTTTATCCGGACATCGTAAGACTCGTAACTGCCGATAAAAAATTGCACTATGGATATTCTGCAATGATGATGCTGAAGTAATATCGATGCAATAGCAATTCCAAATATCACTGTAACAAATATACAAAACAAAAAGTAGAAATTTATAAAAACTACATAGTTTGGTATCTCAATGAATCAAATAAAATGTATAAATAGGTTCAATAGCAAAAATCATAAACTTGTTGTAGGTTTTACCTTCAGCAACATGATTGTATTCTTCGTATTGATGTTCTTTATTATAAATAAGATATATACGCAAATTAAAGCGTTCCTTTGTAAAATCAAGTCCAATGAATAGACAAACAAACACAATGTACTTTTGTGATTTGTGATACACATGTATACAAAAGGTCCTTTATAGAAAACACAACACGCATCGCAGAACTTCCTTTTTTAGAAAAACAATCACAAAATCCCATCACAAATTATTAAATAATTTAAAATATTTTTGGCAAAATTTTTTACAATTTTGACATTTCAAATTTTTGTTTTTGTTTCTTTTCTTTATCAAGCAAAAAGTATTTTATTATTCGTTCAGAAAATTTACATCTAATTAAATATAACTACATAAATATTTACAACTTAAAATTAACTACAACTAAACTATTAAATAAAAAGAAAGTAAAAGAAAACAACAAAAATTATACCCTTAATTTAGGCGTCAAAGTATTCGTCCGCATCACTATCACAGGGGAAAGTTCCCAGAAGACTGGCAGCATTGCCACGTTGAATGGCAATGCTTATTTTCTGTCCGAAGAAAAAGCCAGCCCTCTGGTCACGTGTAGAGTCGATAAGCCTACGGGCGATGTCTTTAAACACAGAGTGTGCACTGGGACCCCATGGCCCAAGTGTTTCGACCCCAAACGGCTCAAAACAGTAGTTACCCACTAGATTTGAATATTTACGCCGTTTGAGGGCCTCTGCCGCGGAAGCAGCTGCACCAACGCATGCAGCGGTGCTTAAAAGATGTGATGGCGCAAGGGTGTCTACACACGTCGCGTCCCACACCAAAGGCCTACCCATCTTCCAAGGCAGCAACGACATACCATCTGGTCTTTTGCCGTCATCACGTACCAAACCATTAGGTTCTAATACGGCTGGTACACCGGCTGAGGCAAGAGCACGACGAATGATGTCGTTGATGCTGGCATGGCGAGCTATGCGGCCTGCACTTCTGCAACAAGAAAGACCATGGTGTCCCAAGCCATCGACTCTTTCTCCACAGTGACAATAATGCGGAGAAACACAAGGAGCACCTAAACGTAGGCATACAGCTAGGCGGAACGTTATGTCATCCAACATAGTACCTATGAAGGGTGACGGGAGTGCCTGAAGCCACAATCCTGATTCCCATTCTCCCACAGCCAATAAGCGAGCTCGCTCTGCAGTATTAGGAGACGAGTTGATTAAAGACTCACGAATAACACTGCACAGCGGCACGTCCCACTGTCTCTGAGAAGATGGGTGAACAGGTAAATCCGTAAGTGGGCAAGCCATTTTCCACGCTTCCACTGCATCAGTCAAACACGGCACCTCAAAACTGGTCAGTGACGAAGAAAGAATTTTCCTGACCAATTCAGAGGTACTGTGGACCGAAGACAGAAAAGCTGGTAAACTAATACTTGAAATTTTGCGGACGCCGAGCCCTCCCATGCGAATAGGAAGAGTAGCTTGTTGCCAAGCTCGGTCATCCAAAGCCACATTAAGTATGGATGACAATGTGTGTCTGATAATTTTGTCTACGTTTTCTAAAATGTGTGAATGTTTCCATAGATGTGAAGCGCGGAGAATATAAGTAAATTTTGGTCCAAAACAACAGTACCGAATTAGGGTGAAAGCCGAATGTGTGTTGATTTTGTGTAATCTATCCGAAATGTGATTGAAATTTTGTATCTTGTCCTCGATGAATTTAGGAAAACATTCATCGAATATTGGTGAACCTAGGAGGTGAAGTGAGTACTTATCAATAATTTTGATATTTGGAGCTATTTGATTAAATTTTGCTAGAGTCGTTAGTCTGTCTGTAGAGTCAGGAATGTATAGTTCACATTTTGATAAATTTAGGTCAAGGCCAATAGAACTTAGTTTTTCTTTCAATATAGTCAAATCTTTTAAAACAATGTCAACGTCACCTCCTAGATTTCCGTCGTCTAAATACCATACATTAAATTTGGAATTTAGTTCACGAATAATAGGATTTATAGCTAAACTAAAAATGGCAGGCCCAAGGGGGTCTCCTTGTTGACAACCAACAGCCGATTCTATTAAATTGTCCTTATACAGTAATTTTGAAGGGTTTCTATAACATTGCCAAAGAAAACTGTAAATTTTGGGGATTTCTTTTAGAATTTCAGTCAACAAGGCGTCCCTGCTTACGGAGTTAAAGGCGTTTTTAATGTCAACCTTTAAGACGACCTCACCTTGGTTACTATTTAAAAATGTGGATAGGGCATGTACCGCAGCCTCGCAGCCCCCTTTGCAACCAAAGCCTAGTTGTGAGGGCTGGAATTTGCTGGCCAAAGACTCATTGTAATAGGCGCAGCAAATTTTGGCTGCGATACGCCTGTATGTACAACCTACAGCAATGGGACGAATACCGCCATCCTTCTTACGCAGGGCACATAAGTTAGCCCCGTATAAGACATCGATGACGGATTCGTTCACATTGCCGGAGAGCATTAGATTGATTAAGGCCGTCAACTCCTTCAAAAGGGACACCAGCCTCCCCGGCGCTCGAACACACGAGATCTTTCAGATGTTGTGGTGTCAAGCCGTCGAGGCCGCCAGCTGAACCATTTCGAAAGGAGTCAACGGCCTCGCGAACCTGTTGGGCAGTAATCGAAAGTGAATGGAGTTGAGGGTTTGGTGGGTCAGGAAAGATGAGGTCATCTGCCGGGGAAGGATGTTTACTCTGCAGGGTTGTAACTACCTCTGCAGAGTACGTAGCGACCACATCACTACTAAATAGAACCCTAGCAGCACCACGGATATCGCCATCCGCTATTTTGGACTCTACATGATGCAGCAAACCTTTGTGAGTAAAGTGTACTGATAATTTAGGGTCGAAAGTTTGGGTTTGAGAAAAGCAATTATCTTTAATTTGGGTTGTTAAAGTTTTTTTGTTGGCCAAATCTTTCTGCACATGTAGAATCCTAAATGGAAAGGTTAATAATTGCTCCCAAGCACTTAGAGAGTTCTCTCGAACCACAAGACCAATGCAGCGTGCTAAACTTGAAGCTACGGATGCTCTTGCACCTCGAGGAACTCTCTTTAAAACTGGAGTTGTGTTTTTAAATTTTGATAAGGTTTGCCAAAGTTGTAGTTGCTGGACAGGGGTTGGTGAAGGAGCTGAGGCTGTCACCAGGCAAGGAGCTACATTTTTGGGTTTATGTACCTTGCCCAAATGAACCCTCAGACCCCGTTCACCCTTAAAAAAACGTGCTTGAGAGCAATGTGGGCATCTTACCAGAGTCCCATCCAGGGGTGCGGCAGGTTGACTGGCAATCTGTCCGGCGTAGCTGCTGCATCCAGGCATACAAAAATAATCTTAAAACTACACAATATAACTATAAAATACACTTAATAAAAATATAAAACCACTATTTTACTATATACAAGCCGTCACTCAGCCGTCAAAATCCGTCAAAACTTTACATTATAATAAAAAACAATAAAGCAATCCCGTGGCCAGTACTGCATAGGGCGCTGCCGAGCCGCGTGAGGCGACGCGGCGCCGCCGCGCCGCCGTCGACGCGCCACCGCGCTGCGCTGCGGTGACCACTGGGATGACTTTCTTCTTGATTTGTATATATTAGTCTCCAAAGATATAGTCGTAGTGGCGTCGTAGTGGCGTACAGTTATCTTGATATGGAACCTGCCTATTTAGGCTGGTGACATCTCTCGACAGATCTGAAGAGAAGATCCTCGGGAACCCCGATTCAGAGTACAATTTTTATTTATTTATTTTACACCACAACCACAAGTTACAATAAAGCTAAATCAATTATATTGATTGATTTGAAATGTGAAATATTGAAAAATAATTAATTTAATTTATTTGACATTGCTTGTTACGTTACCACGTTACCAGTTTCAATCATCATTTCAAGCAAAAAGTATACATATTATATGCCAGTATTAAAATAGTACAAACTACATGCATACTATTTTATAAAATAAGGAGATAATATAAAAAAGTATTTAACATCAATATCTAATTATTAACAATATTATTTTAATAGTTATTTATTATCTAAATAATTTGGAAAATTATTATTGTAATGTTTTAATATTTTTTTAGCCGCAGCGTTGCCGTAAAAAATAATAATTTGACAATCCATATAGTACAAGAGCCTATGAACCCCAGACCTTTGTTATTTATAACGGACTTAAAAAAAAGGAAAAGTAATATACCTATAAGGTTTTTTTTATGTTCCTTCAGGGATGACTTCGTCGTTTTTTAACGTATTTTGATGATTCTTTTTTAACCGACTTTAAAAAAGGAGTATCAGTTTGATCTAAATGTATATACATATGTTACAGCCAAAGTGATTAATTTGATATTATTCGTAATGACTAGTAATTAATCAATTAATGACTAGCTATTATGAATAATATCTTCGAAAACTTGGATCAAATGGAAATGAACAGGGCTGACGTCTGCACAAAATTTTGAATTTATCGTCATGGGTGTCGTTTTCATGGTTTTCGAGGGTGATAAAGCCGATGGTCCTGTCAAATTGTAAATCCAAGATGGCGTGCGCACAACATTTTTCAATTTATCGTCATGGGTGTCGTTTTCATGGTTTTCGAGTGTGATAAAACCGATGGTGTTGTCAAAATGTAAATCCAAGATGGCGTCTGCACAAAATTTTGAATATATCGTCATGGGTGTCCTTTTCATGGTTTTCGAGGGTGATAAAACCGATGGTGTTGTCAAAATGTAAATCCAAGATGGCGTCTGCACAAAATTTTGAATGTATCGTCATGGGTGTCGTTCTCACGGTTTTCGAGGGTGATAAAGCCGATGGTGCTGTGAAAATGCAAATCCAAGATGGCGGCTGTACGAAATTTTCAATTTATCGTCATGGGTGTCGTTTTCATGGTTTTCGAGGGTGATAAAGCCGATGGTGTTGTCAAAATGTAAATCCAAGATGGCGTCTGCACAAAATTTTGAATTTATTGTCATGAGTACCGTCTTCATGGTTTTCGAGGGTGGTAACAAAGATGGTGCTGTCAAAATGCAAATCCAAGATGGCGGCTGCACGATATTTTCAATTTATCGTTATAGGTGTCGTTTTCATGGTTCTCGAGGGTGGTGAAAATGATGGTGCTGTCAAATTGTAAATCAGAGATGATGACTGAACGAAATAGAGTTAGTGCATTTATCGAGAAAGATTAAGTATGTGTGTGAATGTGTGTGTGTGTGATAGAGAGACAGAAAGAATGCATGCAACCTATTTTATAGATTTTCTATGAAAATTGAGTATTTTCATATAATATTAGTTTTTATATAATAAAAACGGTGGCCTAGACCTGAGGTTCACAGGCTCTTAGGTTAATGCTTTTGGATGCAGAAACCTGACGCAGTCACTTCATAGAGTTTAGTTTGTCATCCATCACTTAATATCTTTTTAATCTCTATTATTAGTAAAGAGGCTGTCATCATTGATCGATTATGCCAGCATAACTGTCATTTGATCTAAGTTTAAGGAATTATTTTGTAAAAATTGCAATATAGTATTAAATAAATGTGTATAATGTTATTTTACTATTTCCAAAAAATATTATTTTAAGCCTAAATTTTAAAATAATGTTGCTACCTTGCTTGGAACTGTGTGGCCACTGAAAATATTAGTTTTGACAACATTTAATTTCAGGTTCGAAAACTAGATGTAGTTGACGGTCCGATTTTTTAAGCTGTCAATGGCTCTAAGTGTGACGGCCCTGGTCAACATCATGCTGTATTTTGTTGATTGGAATATTTGAGGTTATTTCCTAAGTTGTTTAACTATTAATCACTTTATTATTATTTCTTATCATCATTCAGTTCCATATTTATAAATTAATAATCACATAGTGATCATGGACTTATTCGTAATTAATAGGTGAGTTAATAAAATATATATTATTGATAAAATTACTAAAAAATGTCTTCATAAACATAACATGTGAAAATAAAATAATTACATTTAAGATATCGAGATGTAGAAGAAGATGCGTCGGTAGATATAGCAGAACAAGAAGCCAAACATTTAGAGAAATTAAAGAAAAAGATTGCAGAACGAAAATCTGCATATGCATCAAAGCGGACTTCTGATGTGATAACTCTTAAACCACAAAAACAAATTGAAGTTGTAGAACCTAAAAAAGAAGATGCTAAAGATAATAAGGAGGCACCTAAAACAGATGAAGATACCAAGACCGACAGCAATACTGATGTAATTCAAAAACCAGATAAAAAGAGAGCTAAACCCTCACAAGAATTCAAAGTATTGGGTGTTAATGATTTTGAAAAGAAAACCAAGGTAATTATTGATGTATATCGTCTACAAAAGACATTAATAATTCATTATTTTCTATGAACTGTCAATTATTGTGCAACTTTTTATGTTTTAGGTTTCAAGAGTACTACCGTTCTGGCTATCACATCCGTTTAATATTTCTACCAGTTTGAAATCTTCGTCTTGCAAAGTAGAAGATCAAGATTGGCTACATAGTACACTCAAATCTACATTACAAAGTGAAGGTGTCACTACTTTGTTCCCAGTTCAAGAAAAAGTGGTACCTTTTATTTTAGATCAACATAAATTAACTTATCCATTTTGGCCACATGATATTTGCGTTTCTGCGCCTACGGGCAGTGGCAAAACACTATCATTTGTCTTGCCAATAGTTCAGGTACTTATAAAATATTTACGGTATTAAACCCTTTAAAATCAAAGTCTAAAATAAAGATCAGACTTACTAAGCGAATGTTTTTCAGATTCTTATGAATGAAATTGGGTGTCATATAAGAGCCCTAGTAGTGTTACCAGTACAAGAATTGGCAGCTCAAGTGGCTAAAGTTTTCAAAAAATACTGTTTGAAGACTAGATTAAAAGTAGCGTTATTGGGAGGATCCACACCACTACAGCAAGAACAACAGAGTCTTGTTAGATATAGTAAGTTTAAATTGGAACAAAATAAGTACAAATGAATGTAATAACATGTTAATGTCTGCAGTGTAATATTTTTACTTTTAATTCCAGCTGAATCATCTGGTTGGGTGAGTGAAGCAGATGTAGTAGTATGTACTGCTGGTCGTCTAGTAGAACATCTACAAAATACGGAAGGATTTTCTTTGAAACATTTAAAGTTTTTAGTTATTGATGAAGCAGACAGAATTATGGATCACATACAAAATGACTGGCTATACCATGTTGACAAACACATCAAATTGGAGAATGAGCTAATGACTGGACGTCATTCTAATCTAACATGGTCTAGTCTTATTGAGCAAAAGCCACCACCCCACAAACTGCTATTTTCAGCTACTTTATCTCAGGACCCTGAAAAATTAGAACAATGGGGCTTGTTCCAGCCAAAATTATTTTCTGCTGCCAAGTCAAACAATTATGAAGATGAAGACCAAATTAGGCTTTATGCTACACCTGAAGAATTGACAGAACAGTATGTTACTTGTGATGCTGAGCATAAACCACTTATTCTATATCACTTCTTAGCTGATCAAAAATGGGACAAAGTCTTATGCTTTACTAATGCCGCAGAAGCAGCACATAGATTATCTGTACTTCTTAACACTTGGAGTAATGGGACATTTAAGGTTGCGGAACTATCTTCAGCACTAGACAAATCCACAAGAGAAAATGTATTGAAAAAGTTTACACAATCTGAAATTAATGTGTAAGTAAATTAAATGTATTATATACTTATAGTAATATGAATGCTAGATTATTATCTAATCTAGGAAATATAACATTTTCCAGGTTAATTGGTACTGATGCTTTAGCAAGAGGTATTGACATCACAGACTGCAACTACGTCATCTCTTACGATCCTCCAAGAAATATCAAGACTTACATTCATAGAGTAGGTCGTACTGGAAGGGCAGGACGCAGTGGTCATGCAGTTACTATCCTGTTACAGAACCAAGTAACGCAATTTAAGGTACTGGTAATTCTTATGTTATTTGTATCAGATAATAACAACATTTGCTTTTTTCTAAAGCAGCATAACTCTCTGATAACAGTTCAATCAGATTAATTTCCAATAATTTGTCTAGACCTATTATGCTTCAGACCAAATTATTATTAAACCTATGAATCATTATTATTACAGGAAATCATACAAGGCGGTGGAAAGGCTGAAATACCACAAATCGAAATAGAAGTTGGCATTCTTGATCGTCTAACAAGCAGCTACCAACATGCTATGAGTGAAACTAAAAGGCAAATTCATGCTGAAATAGATACAAAAGTGAAGAAATCCTTAGAGATTAAAAGAAGATTAAAATCAAAACCACAAAAAAGAAAGCTTAATACATCTTGATGTAACCGAAAAGTATATCTAACAATATATTAGTAATAGTTGTTTAATTTTGTTTACCTATTTGACCTATTCCTATCGACCTTTCGATCATGAAGTAAATCAAGTGTTAATAAAAATTGAGTTAATTTTGTTATCAAAAATTGGTAACTTAGTAATAGATACGAATAAAGTTAAGCGAATGTAAATTTTAAGGGACCTCTGCTTACGTACTCGTGAGGATTAAATATAAAGTAAATGATGAAATATATTTTTATTTTGCTTGTGATGAACTTAGTAGCTAATCCTAGAAATCGTATGAAATAAACAGTCCGTATTATTATTTTTGCCTTTTTTAAAATATAAAATAGTCGATTATTATTATTTATTTTTTTTCTTTTTCTTTGGCAACTGAGTCTCCAATACGATGTTGTCGACTATACTGCCAGTGTCGAGTGGTGACGGCAGTTAATGCACCGTCGAACTTTAACTTTCTGGTAGTTGTTAGTAACGTTATATTTTAATACAATTTTCTTTAATAAATTTGGACAAGCACTTAATTAATTTGGGAGAAAAATTTGTTAGGAGGGAGTGGAAGTTGATTGGAAGACAATGAATGATTTTGTCGACGCGCCATATTTGATTATTATTATTGCCAAGACGAAAAATCAAAATGAACTGTCAGTCTGACAGTTGCGTTTATGACATAAACTTACGTTGGGCACGAATGTAAAAGTTTGAACTTTGAATATTAAACGAACAAAGATATAAACTATTTTGAGTTATTGAGACATTTTTACTGTGAAGTTATATTACGCACATTTCTACAACTTTATACAATCATGACAATAACACTGTCTCAGGTAAAGAAACTAAATACTACTTGTAATGCCAATAACATCGAAGCTAAGCTACTGTACCCAAAATTATTAATTTTTGAAAACAATATCTGTCTTGAAATTGTGAATTTGCTGAGCAACAATGAAGAAAATAATGAGGAATATAAATTTGAACAAGAAATTGTGAATAAAATATTATTTGATCATTACATTTTGCTTGTATTCAAGTCCGGTGATATTTTAGCAATTGATGTAATAAAAGATTTGCAAATTAAAATCACAAATGACACCAATACTAGCTTGAAGATCTGCATGATCGAGAGAATTGGAAACCATTTCTATTTCATTAGTGAAAGTGGTGATACTTTTATAATACCAATACACACTTCAGAATTGTTGAAAAAATTGGATGGAGGTGCAAACGAATTGTCTGTTCCTTTCAAAAAGGCTCAAGTATCTCACTCTAGTATTAAGGAGAAGTTTAATACAATATGTGGTTTGAATATTTTCGTTGAAGATGGCTCTGTAATGGTAAAATGTCCTTTAACTGGCTTAGTGGAAGTAGTTTCTTCGGAAGTGAATTTAAATCATATTGTTGCTTGGAAGGACCAGGCTGTTATAGCAAATGATACCAAAATGTGGATTACTGATTTAAGAGATTCTCAGATCATTTATGAATTTGAAAAAACTGAAGCTAACTACTACCCTGTATTGGCCCACAATGATTTATTCTATTTTCTAATATGGAACAATGAAGAGGTAAGTCCTGATTTTTTTCTTTAACACATTAAAAATTATCACATAATATTAAATAAAGAAAAACATGTTGCCTTTTTGATTAATTATTATTGTTTTTTATTATCCTAGTATAAAGTATCTATCTATATTGATGACTAATCATAATTATTTCTTTATCTTCAGATTCAAGTTCATTGTGCTGGATTTGCTCATAGTCAACAGGCTGGAGCAGCTGACCATTCAGATAGTTTTAACCAAACACTTACATCTCAAGACACCCTCAAGTCTCAGCTCAAGAACTTGTTCGACACCATCACATCTGCTACAAAACCAGGAACTGTACTACCACAACTGCAACCACTATTTGAAGCTGTTGAAGATTACCTATTCCTTATTGAAATGACTCAGAAACTTTGCCAACTTAATATCATTTACAAATCATTGCTATACCCACTTCAAAAGAAAATATCCACAACTAAAGATACTGATTTAATCAATATGGTAAGTGACTTGTCGATCAAAATAGATTTAATTGAATATATCCATTTCACAGGCAATAGTTCATATGATAATGTCAATGTCTTTGATCAGAACTGCACACAGCTTTGTGTAACATTTATATCCAAGTGTGATTTTGATATTGCATCAATTTGTTGGCTGAAATATTCTCAATTAAAAATAATTATTACTCCTGATGATATTGTTAATATACTTAATGCTATCAACAACAGTACCAAATTGTCTTCCATACTGATTTGGTTAAAGAATTTCATTCCGTCATTGTTGGAACAAAATCCATTTTTCATTGACTTATTTGTTAGGTGGGCTAGTGAAAGGGTTTTTATGTTAGAACAGTCAACATTTTGGCCAAAGATTGGATTGAAATTTGTTGATGAAATAATAATCATACTGGAAACATCTTTGAAATCTATTTCTTTAAGACCTATATCCATGGATGATCTTGATATACTCAAAACAAGAATCACATACATAATGGAATTAAAAGACAAATACAGAATCAATATGTTCCTGAATGAATTGAGTTCACAAAGTCCTAATGAAGTTGCTTTAATAATGTTACGACGCTGCTACACTGAAGACCTCAAAACATTTTTAGAAAATTATTTACCATCATATGCTATGAAAAATTTATTTGATTTGGATGAAATTTTAAGTTCATACATTGAAAGTGAAGCAGCTAGTAGTGGTGGCGGCATTGATGGTGTACGCTTGCAAATTTTGCTAGAGAACTTTCATTCATATAATAACAAACTTGAATGTTTACTACAAGTTTTAAAAGTATTAGATGTGCCTTGGAACTCCAGTGTACTTGAACTAGCAGTAACAACAGTGGCAAATGCCACCAAAACCTTTACAATGTCAGATTCAGAAAGACTGCTCTCTCAAGAAATCCAAAAAGAAATTAATTATGCAAATGTGAAAGTAGTCTTGAAGAAATATAATTATCCAATGACATGTACTGATTACATGTTAGTCCTGCATAAAATTGTAAGCGCTGCAGTAATAGAATTGGATGATCTAAAATGTATAACTGGTGTTATGCCTGTTTATGCAAATTATGGAAACACTCTGTATATTGAAAGATGTCTTCAAGATTGTGAAACCAGAACAGCACTGAATTACTTCAACAGTTTATCCACTAAGGAAAAAAAGTTGTTACTCAAAGCTGTTATGGCCAAATATGATCAAATTATTTGTGGAGCTACTCATAATCTGACCATTGAAAGGAATTACATAGACTTCTTAAAAGGTACACAGCTTTTAAATGAGATTGAAATTAAAAATATTGAAACACTTTACAATTTTAAAAATTCTTACAATTTGTTACTAAACATGAATGATATCTACAATGAAAGTGTTTGTGAGACTGCAGTTAGTAACTGGATACACCAAGATGGTTCTACTGCTAGTTCTGGGCGCGGTGGAAGTGTTATTCAATTAATACACTCATGTCAGTCACAACATTCTGTGCTTATTGCCTTGTTAAGAAGCACCTCCACCTGCCAACAAGTGCGGTTAGTTGTTGAATATCTTTTAAGATCATTTTCGACAAAAGATGTATCTGTTGAAGATTTTATTGCAGTTTTATCACAATTTCAATATGGAGAAAATTCTGATCTGTTGTTAAATTCTTACAATGTGTTAATTGAGCTGGTTCTTAATTGTAATGAAGAGTATTTGCACAATTTAATAACGCAATTGTCTTTGTTACACAATCTTATAAATGCTAGTATTATTGTTAAGAATTTATCAATAGCCTGGAAATTCCATTACATATTTTTGCCCATTGCATCTACAACAGCTATAAATGAAATAATAAACTTCTATAAAATAACACAGTATCCAGATAAGTTTGATACAGAGTTTTCAGGCATTCACAGCAAATGTGACTTCACTTCCTTACGACTAGTTTCTAACTCTCTAGTAAACTCTGAAATAACGAATCAATCATTTCAAGATTTGAAGTTTGAGTTAACAAAGAAGTTGGTGTGTAAAGTAGTTGCAAACCAAGAGCTTGATGACGTATTGATAACAAGTTTATTACTTGTTATTAAAAGTTACGACGAAAATAATTGCATTCTAGAAGTTCTAAGAGGGCAAAATGAGTTTTTACCACCTAACATTCTTGGCTACCTTTCATCACCTTCAATGCGTCGCACTTTTGTTATGGATAATGATTCATTTTATAAGGAAATTGGAAATTCTGTATCGTATCCTCCACAATATATTCTTAAATCGAAATTTAACATCAATTTGGCAGATGTTGCCTTACCAGATAATAGCGAAGAGACTTGGGATGTCAAAGTTATTTTATTTTATGTTCTGCTCCAATACCCAAATACCAACTTTGATCGGCTTGTAGAATTGTGTCGTGCTCTGAATGTCTCAACAAACGATGGTCTATCATTACAGTTGATAGCTTTACTTTCGACCTGGGAATTAAAGTATAAAACATTCACAGATGAATTGGGACACAGGCAGATGATCGTAGAAAACGACGAAAGTAATTTAAACAAATGTTTTGTTGTTTGGGATAGCATAGAAAATAAAGAATTTTTGAGGGATATACTGAATGATTTTTGGAAAAATGGCGAAGTAACTCTACATGGTCGCGCGGTATCTATAAATCCATATTACTATGAAGTGTTCCTTAGCATTTACAGATTGATTTTTGGTACAACTATCGAGGTAAAGAATACAAAAGAATATTTCTTACTACATTTCTTGAAAGATTATAAACGTAAAAGCACTCCTAAACAATACGAATACGAACTGTTTTCTGTAAAGGGTATGTTTCCTGAAATTGGACATTTCAGGCTACCTTTCCATCTTTTCATGCGAGAAGACATGTGGGCTAATTTGAAGTCAGAAATAACTTTAGAAACTTACGAACGCTGGATCCCTGCGGTTGCTTTGCTTGCTCTTGACGCTGATTCGCAAACAGCAAAAGATATGATTTGCAGTAACGCAGTCAAGCAAACAATGACATCACGAAAACGCAGCGATGAACTAGACTCAGAAACTAAAAATGAACCATGGCGCCTAACCAGTCAAGAAGAACCTTTATTACGTGCAGCCCACAGATGTGTTAGACATATTGCTAATATGGAATGGGCTGGAGCATGCCTCTTCTATGTGCTGCAAGGGTGTGCTCGAGGAGCAGACCAAGTCGCTGCTGCTCATTTATGTTACCAATTTGCGCAACGCTGGGCTGCCCTCCAACCTGGTAATCGTGCTGTTAGACAAATGGAACGTTTACACGCAACCTTATCTACTCGACATGCCTTATACAAAATTGACTGGGCATGTGAGGAGCTCTTAAAACTTTCTACAGAACCAGCACAGCTCATCCGCAATTTATATTTACATCCAGATTTTATTTCTAAAATGAGCCGTCATGATGTGAATCGCGCTGTGAATGAAATAGCAGACAAAAACGGCATCAATGTTAGCTCCATAAGAATTCAAATATTAGAAAATATACTTGATAAAGCTAATGGAGATAACAAAACTGTTACAGTTTTAAATATAAAAGAATTATTGACTGCTAAATATATTCTGAAAGCAACTTGCCCTAAAATGGGCGCCATATATCTGTCCCGCATTGCTTTTGACGATGAGAGTGACAACAATAAATCTAAGAAATTAAGAGCTCTTCAATGTTTAATGAGTGTAGTAGACTCTGATACAGCAATTAAGGTAGCTAACCGTGAACGGGATGCACTATGGATGTCGCTTTTAGAATTATTAAGTATTGTGAGCTTGGAGAGCATTGATATGCCATGGGTAGCAGCTACATTCACGCAGGATAAACTTCGAGGTCTGGAACAACTACTTCAGGCTACTGAGGGAAATGCAGATGGATTAAAAACAGCTGCTGAACTCGCTCGCAAATTCGGTTCTTCGCATATAATACGCAGTCTCATTCCGCTTTTATTACGTACTGGGTTATATGAAGAAATGATTCCATTATTACTAAAACTTACTTCTCAACTCGACAGTACGACATGTACCGCATGGCGTGCCGTCATTTTATCTCCATTTCAACGTGCCGACTATCCTATAACTGAACGTCAGAGGGCGAAATGTTTGAATGCTATAAATTTATTACCCATCTGCCCTATCATAAAAGATGAAGATTTGGTAGAAATATGGAAAAACTGTGTAAGGTGTAAAATATTTGGATTAGGTTGTTTAATTTTACCATACATGACTACTGAGACAAGACAATCATTATCTGAATTACAGAAAATTGATAGGAGAAATCTAATTGCTAGTTTGAAAAACTTACATAGTGATACTTATTTGGTATCTGGTGCAATGCATGTTATTGAAAGAATGGCCTCAAGAACTTACAGATAAAACATAAGTGATCTGTATCACTATTACTAAAATTCATATTCCTAAAACTGCCCTAATGTTGGACAAAATATCTAAGTATCTATACATACCAATGGAATCAAAAAAATAAAGAAATAATAATGTTTTTAAATTGTACTGTATTCTGTGATTTTATTTTAGAAATTATAATAAAGTATCTGTCACAATGCAAGTTGGGCGCTTGTATGTAGATCTAGTTTTGTCTTATGTAAAAATGTATTATATATAGCATATTATATAATAAAAAACATGTATTTCATTATTGGTTTTTGTTTAAACACTATTTATTAATTGATTTCTTACATTTTTATAATTAAGATATAAGAGTACATATTATAAGTAGGTAACCCACACTATTGTCTACATCATAATATAGATTTTAGTGAAATAATATGTAAATAATTATCTACACAATATTTTATAGGATAAGAAAAATAACTTAAGTTTTATATTAAACAGATTTTAAGTTATTACATTAAATAAATAAAGGAAGAGTTTAACTGATTTTCCATTTTTTTTATTTATATAGTTTTCTGCCTCAAATAAGGATTACATGTAAATGATATGGATTTTATGTATGACACTGCTGGGGTCATCATCTCAAAGAGAGGACCATAGATTCCGTGTCTTTGAGCCAGCTGTTCTGGAGTTTCATGTGCATTATTTGTTTTATGCGCAATGTCTACAGTATCATCTCTTAGGAATAAAATTAATAATGTTGACTTACAATGACTAATAGCTGCAGCTAAGTGCATTGGAGTTTGACCTGAAAAAGAAATTAAAATTATGAACATAACATGAACATAACATCACGCCTTTTATCCCCGAAGGGGTAGGCAGAGGTGCACATTATGCCACTGTACAATGTAACACCCACTTTTCACTATTTATGTTATGAGTCCCATGTAATAGGGGGTGAGCCTATTGCCATATACCAGGCACAATTCCAGACTCCGTGCTACTACTGAGTTTTTTTTTTAAAAACCCAGTAATACTTTGCCCGACCCGGGAACCCGAGACCCCTTGCCCGGCAGTCGCACTTGAGACCACTTGGCCAACGAGGCAGTTAAAATTATGATTGCTTACTTAAATTACAAAACAATGTTAACTTCGTATTAAACATTACTTTGTGCCTTTGTGTAATTTTACCAATATTCATCACACACTATATTAATTTTCTGACTAAAAATAGGATAGATTTTGTATTATTACAAAAATACTAATTTGTTAATTTTGTTACCTCCATCAGACAGAGCCCCAGGATCAGCACCAGCAGCTAATAGTCTTGCAGCAGCCACATAATTATTCCAGTTTGATGCAGAATGTAAAGCTGTCCATCCAAGCTGTGTTTTTGTGTTGATATTGGCTCCAATGCTCAGCAAATACGATATCACATCAGTATGGTTACTGTATGCTGCTCGGTGAAGTGGTGTGTACCCATCACCATCTTGAGCATGAACCAAACCTGGCTGCTTTTTCAGTAATTCACGTAATATACAGATTTCGCCATTTTCTGCTGCCCACAGTACGTAATCAATGGGGTTTGCTGAATAAAGAATAAAATAAAATTATTGTATAAAATAAAGTAATTTAATACCTGAAGTCCTGTAACATTTAAGTATATAATGTTCACCTTTCGGATCCTTAACAACTTCGACGTCTTGATCTGCATCGTCCCACCCAGATACAAACATTCCCGATGTCTCTGGATTTCTTTTATATTTTTGAATTTCATCGTGAATTTCTTCAAAACTTTTTACTGTTTGATTCTCATCTTCAGAATCGGACATTTTCATGATACTTTTTTGTTGTAAAACTAAGTTGTTGTGAAAGGTATTGACTGATTTTTAGTGATTTATACACGAAAGTACAATTTCGAACATTCAATATTATAACAACAACACAAGACAGAAAATAGAAATCAATTTGTAATTTAGTTCTGACTTTGACAACTTTGAAATGTCAATCTGACAGTGGATGTCGGGTGACAGGTGTTGTATCATCCATTCATTAACACATCGAAGAGATCTGAATCTGAATCGATATTCACTCCGATTTCTAATCGGATTGGAATCAAAACATAACAATTATAAAATATTTAAAATACTTTAACGTGTGCCTAACATAACAAGTTTTAAAGATCAATTCAAAAACTTAAATGAATTATATTTGAACATTAAAAACTTAGTATTACAGTCAATTTACCGTCTGTAGTTAAACGAAAGTTGCTGAAATATTTATAAAAAGCGAAGAAGTTACATAATTTACTTAGGTACAATATTATGATATCTCATACAAAATTTTATTATGTTGAATACCATCGGATTAGAGCTGTCGTTTTTTGGTTTTTTACATTATGTTTATATGTTCAACTACTATCAGTTGTAGTTGTAGGTATCACAAGTCTCAATTTTAAATTCTTCATTGATACCATTACATTGACAGATTTTCAAATTCAATGGCAGTCATTTTTACTAAATTTAACATTCTTTATAGACTTAAAACAGATAAAGTTTAAATTATTTAAATTAATATTTGAATTTTTTAAACAAACGTACATAATTATAACTTTTATAGTACTGTATCCTCTTTTTGACGTAGTATTAATTAGGTTTTTCTATTTTTAGAACAATTAATACTTACTACTTTTTTAAGTAACAACACCAACAGTCCGCCATGATTGGAATTTAGAAATAATTTCAACATGGCGCCCGGTTGTTCAGAGTGTGTGTGTGTGAAAGTGCAGTGAAATTATGTTATTATCTAGAATTTTTAGTGATTATTTTAGTGTTTAAGTGAAAAGTGTGTGCATTAATGCAGTGGTTTTCTTATCATGGCTTTGGATTTACGCCTGCATTCTCCTGCAGGCGCGGAACCTGTTGTTTATACATGGCCCCTCACTTCAGGTCATGGCTCGGTAAGGAAATCGTATATTTTATTATCGTGTAGTTAGTTACAGTGACGCTCGTAAGGCTTTCTAGGTTTCTATTTTCTATTTTTCTATAATCTTGCATGTAATCAATTATGATGTAACTAAATTGTTTAGGAGTCTCGTTGCTCCTATTGTACAACAAGTGACTATCCACACTAAGTACTTGCTCGTGTTTAGTTGAATAATGTAGCGGCCGTTTTTATTATACTATGATATCAGTGAAGGTTTTCCGACGTGCTTATATTGATTAGAGCAGTATCATGGAGTCAAATAAATTAATAGACATAGGTAAGCTCTTCTTCACGTCACATGGGTATTGCAGTAGAGTGTATTGACCTCGTGTTTTGTCAAGGTGTCGGCTTTTTTTAGATATGTACACACTGTTGCGTAGTTTTCATTCGTCATTTATTTACATTTTATATGATTAGAGCTATGCGAGTTTCTGATTGTAAAACTCAAAGTTATAAATGTTGATTTAGTTAGTGTTTACTACACAAACAAATGTTTGTATTATATGATAGTAGCTACTCTTTTAAGATTTACTTATTTCAAATGTTGTTTGATAAGTGAAGTTCATGCTTGAATTGATATGATATGTTTGAATCTGGGAAGTTTCAATATCAAGCAGATATCTGACCAAGAGGAGAGGCAAGAGGTCTCAGACCTCTAAAGATACGGGCCTGCGGACGGCGAGCATGGGTGACTCGCCGCCCGACCAGAACCAGGCCCGAGCGTACGGCGCGTCGCGTTCCGCGCGCGCCTCAAGGAGCCATCAGACCACCACAGATGGGGCCTAACAAGGCTGATGCCGATACGGAGCCGCGGAAGACTTAACGGGTTGCCGGGGCTCCGGCTCGAAGTGCAGGAGTAGGAACGGGGTGGTTTTTAGTCAGTAAGAGTCTGACACTCCCTCCCGCCTCACCCAGGCGGGAGAAGTCATTGGATGATTTTCCCCCCAAAAAAAAAAAAAAAAAAAAAAAAAAAGACCTCTAAAGATATCTGTATAACAAATATACATGAATTTAATGGAATTCGTATTGAAACATAATTATGATTCTGATTCCAGGAATAAGAAATAAATAAATGTTAGTATTTGATTTTCCAGTCCATTGAATTGATTTTTTTTACTTTACATTATTTTCTTACAAGTCATAAAGTTGTGATATTTCTATCTAATGAGTTGTTGATAATATTTTTATTTAATTTAAGTACCTACCTATGTAAACATTGGTTATCATATCATTAAAAGATTAGCTAAGATTGTTGCCACCAGTACAGTGTTTGTTATTTTAATTGTATTTAATGGTATTTTCATTACATACAATGTATGAATTTCATCAAATCTTAATTTAATTGAATGTAGGTAAATAATATAAATAGTTTTATCTTATTTATGTTTAATTAATTTATTGTATTTTTTTACAATTGAGTGATTTAATATTAATTAAAAAAATATGTTATTCTGTATAAGCTCTTTCCTAGCTAAATCAACAATCAAATATCTATTCTAAATAGAACTAAATGTGAAAATCATCCTTTGAATGCTTCTATTACAAGCCGTAACTAAACATTATACCTCTGATATAAGTACCTTTAAACTTTTTGTTTAATATCTTTAACACTAGCCAATTAATTTTTGCAAACACCTGCTATGAAACACAAAGACTGCTATTGTTTTAAAATAAAATTCATGTTTCCATTTCAGTAACATGTATCTTACCATCATATTTAAAATTTGTTGTAATTATTATTGTTGGAATTATTCCTATTTGTATTATTTTCTTTTTTCATTCCATAAATTCTTAATTAAGTACTTCTAAGCATCTTTAATAGTGTTATTTTCTTATCTGTACTATGATACATTTTAATAGTACATTAACTGTTAAATGCAGGATAATAAACAGTCAAAAAAGTATTTCCTTAAGCATAATTATTTTATAAAGAAATAGTTGTTACTAACTCATAAACATATTAATGACCAATGTTGTTACAATATTTAGGTTATCATTCACAAATTCTGTCAAATATTTAACATTTCAACTAGTGCAATGTGAGCTAATTGATTAGCGGTGTTACTGATAACGGTTGTTCCTGACCTAAATCACTTTTAGATATAAATCAACCACACTGAAATATAAAATTGACATTATTGTATCAGGATTATAAAATTTGTGTCATTTGTTCCAGGACAAACACGATGGGGCCTTGGAGATAGTAGAAACTATAAGGTAATTTTTTTAACTTAATTTTTATCCTAATTTCTTATAAATGTTCGTAGAATAAAATAAATGTGGTTTAAGCTGAGCAATGCCAGCTACGTCATTAGGAATATTGTCTATAACCTATTATAATTATCTCTCATGTGAAAGATAAAGTATATAATGCATATGTAGTTCACTGGATAAAAACTGAGGTCACGAAGTTCATTGAATATTATACTGTGTAACATCATATTGAAAGTATTTGCTTTAAATGGTAACTTAATCTTTACTGAAATGACCTAGATATTCATATTGTATCATGCATTCATCGGGTTTGTAATACATATTTCATTTATGAAAACCATTTTTATTGTCTACAAATAAAGTAGTCAAGGTCAGACACATTATCATTATGTTGACATGCAATGATAATGTGCAATTGCAGTATAAAAGTCATTAATATTCCTTGTACAGAAGTTATTTATTTATAACTTATAAAGGAGTATGATGACTATTACAAGTAGGTACTTAAATATTACTTTGGCGTGATACAACCTTATCAATTAATTGTTTCCGTAATGTTTAACAACACTCACAATGAGCAGTGGGAAAACGGGTTTGTAAATACGGCGGTTTTCTGTTGCTCGGGGCTATAGGGCTATAAGGCTTTATAACATTACAAGAATAAAGCAGCGAAAGAAAGTGACACGTGAAAGGCTATAGTGGTATACACGTGCGTTGTTTTGAGATCGTAGATAGGAAACACCTGTCCTGTCGGGCACGAGCCACCCGGCAACGACGTCGGGACCGACTCACCAGGCTATCAAACAATTTTATTTTTATAAAAAAAAACATTGATTTATAACATTTACGAAGAATCGATATATAGTATAGAGATATTATATTTAATACTGCTTTTTTTTACTTTTAAGTAAAAAATCGTCATTTTTACACGTCATAAATTGTTACTATTCTTTTTTCTGTTTTTCTATGGAAATTTGCACTCCAACATAGATAATTTGCTTATTGATATAATCCTAAATTAGGACTAAAATGAAAACGAGTCTTGCAGGTCGATTCGGGCTTGAGTAGTCAGGAGCGCGCGAGAACCTTCAGTGTGACCTCTTTTTGTCCGGACGCGCTCATTCACCCGTTTGTGACCTTGAAATCGATCCCTATTATTTCGAAATGGCCGCGCCCTTACTAAAATTCTTTATGATCCTTCATCTTTATGTAAAAAAGCTGGAGCATAGGTATAACTTCCTATCTTTCTAACACAAATATTTTTGTTTGAATGTTTGTGAATTATTTATTTTTTCATTAGACAAATACTTTTCAAATTAGATTTAAAACTTATCTGTATAAAGCTTAAAATTACCATGGCGAACTTTAGCAGAGAGTTCGTTGACATAAGAGGTCAAATCGAGGTATATAGCTGGCTGTTTGACCCCTCGTAAATATGTTACATAATTTTAAAGAAGAACTCAATTGTTCTAGTTAGATCCAGTCTTCACTCGACCACACTTTCTGTACGAAATGTTTCAGTACCTATTTGTAGTATAAGGTTCATTGAATGTTGATAAACGGCCATTTTATCAACGAGCCAAATTATCAACAAAATATCGTCTGACATGGAGACAGACAAGTGTTATCAGTCAAATACATTAGTCAACAAAACCAATCGTACATTTTACGTGCCCTACTACTTTTTAAAGAGGACTAATATAATAAATGGCCAAGTGAAATAAATCGGCTAGAAAAACAATGAAAATCCTTCTAAATTCCGTCTTTAGGAGACTTTTAATAGCAATCCGACATTTCATTAGCACCAACAATAATATACGCCAGATGTAGAATAGAATACTATTTTGACGCATATGAGAGGGGTATAACTGGACTCAAGTGATGACCATATGAATCCTACTTTCAGTTTGTGACTCCTCTGTTATACAATCCGTTCCATTTTGAATACCACATAAAAATATACCAATGTCTAATAACAATCGAATAGTTAAGATACGTAAAATGTTGTATTTGCTATGAGGTTCTTCATGTAACGTTTTATAAACACGAGATTTCACGGTTTTTTTTCCAAGGCCGTTATCGTCAGAGCAAACCGTAACGAAGTACTGCTAAAAGTAACATAATTCACTGTTTTATTTAGAACCCTTACAATTCATCGTACGCAGTGATTGACTTAATAACTACCATAACCTTGACCTTACAACTTATAAAGTAGAACATGCTTACGTAACGTACAACGTGACAAATACTTATTAGGATTTACAGCTACTTTTCCGCGTTGCCATTAACTTTAATTAGTTTTGGAAGTCTTTATGAGATTCTGCGACTAATATTATTTTAATATAGTACTGATTATTGATTGCTAATAATTTTTTTCTTGTTATAGATGGGTGTGCGACGATTTACCAGAGATGAAAGCGGCTCTAGAAAACAACATCTTGTGCGACTACGACACCCACTCGTACGACAGCATGAGAGCCCTGTGCGACCGTTTCAACCGCGCCATAGACTCCGTCGTCGCTCTGGTAAGACAAATTTTTGTTTTACGTAAGTAAATGTAATCTTGTTAACAGTCGATCCAAATTATTTATAAAACATGTTTCTTAAGTGCAACTAGTTCCTTGCTATCATTTTAACGGGGTAACCGTATCAATCGTGACTTATTAACATCAATTGAACCACCATACATGGTATAATGACAACAAAATTGCAACACAGACGAAACACAGTCGTTATTGCAGCTGGCGTTTGTAGAACAAATGTTGTAGGTTGGGTGGTGCTGGTGGTAGTGAGTAATTGTGACATTATTTCGATAGTTAACACGAATCGCAACATAACGTTGTTACGTTGTTCCTATCGCGATAAATGCGTTATACTTATAAATGATATGTGTTTACGTAACTGGAAGAAATATGAGCTATTTATGAAACTGGTTTTTATAATAGTGCCATAATGGTGTGCACTTGTGCAGTTATAAATAATGATTTATTTTCATTTAAAAAATAGAATATTAAAAGTTGACTCTAGAAATTATTACAAGTCCATGCTGTTATTATCTAATTACTTTTAAACTAATTTCATATTTACATGAGCCTTATCTACCTAATATCAATGTAATTAGGTGTGAATTAATTTAATGTGATTGCTTCACTGACGAAACATACGTTCGTTTTTCGTGGGTGTGACATACTTTAAGTGCGTAAACCAGCTGTAATATTCTGATGGAACAAAAACGATTGAAATAAATCCCAGCGGTTAGCATCACATATAACTGTTACTACCTATCTGTCTAGGTAGGTTACGTAATTACGAATGAGCGATAACAGGTAGGTAGAGAACAAGTTACCTACGAAGATAAAAATAAACAATCTGTGTCGAATAAATAGCTCCCTTGACATTGAACTTCCATTCAGAAGGCTTCTTTAGTTTTAAGGTCTTTTTAATCTCATTTAAAACAACAGTTAGATACACACGTTTTTTTTCTTGTAATTTATAATTAGAACACAAAAATGCATGACTTTTTGCCGACTTATTTTTATCACATGCAGGGCAGTGCTGTATTGACAAATAAACTGACAATTAATTTAAAACTTTTGCACTCCCTGCGTGTTTCTCCGAATAGCGTTTTTTATACTGGAATGGACTGTTTCTATGCTTTAAATACGCATCTTAAACAATGTACAGTAAATATACAGCCCAATAAAAACAAGTCCGTTACGCTCCTCAGTAAATATGAATGGGCCTCGAAGCAATTTTTTATTTTATTTTCGGTATTCTATCGCCGCAGGTAACAAACAATTGTGTAACAGGACAGGAATAAAGATACATTCTTAAGGCAGACCGGCTGAAATTGCGCAAAATAATGTTGGTATTATACTTAAAACATCACTCGTATGTGTGGTAATGCGGCGCCCTATATTTTCTTATTAAAATAAATTATGTAACATTATTCTCGCCCGTGGCCATGACAGTGTTCCGTGTGGCTAGCACGAAAACTATCGAGAAAGTATTCGTATCGACGTCGAAAGCATTTTCTATGGGATTTGTAAAGCGCCCCTACCGTGCGTAAAGGGAACTAAATGCCGCAAGCACGAATGATTTTGACAACTATCGTATAGTAATCGTATCGTGTTGCTATCGAAACTTAGAACATTTTGACACAAATTGGAAGCACGAACGATCTTTTGACAAACGGTAACGTAAATTTCGAAGGCTGGCTATCGAAAACTGTCAAAACATTTGTCACTTAAAATTTGCCGGTGAGAAAGGTTTCGAAACATTTTAAAATTAAGATTTTATGATAATTATAAATTAAAATGAACCAAAACAAGTAGTATGCGTATGAAATTATTCATCAACATCAATGTTTTCGCGAAACATGGCAATAATGATGCGGAGAATGCCACTTGTTGTTAAGTTTGTCGTCGTGGATGGATAACCATTGACAAAACTTTTGGACGATGCAAAACCGATGGTGTTGTTTGTGCAAGGAGCATACTCCACTGTGCCACCGAAAATTGTGCTAAAAGCAATAACAGCTTAGTTGTGTTACAAATTTTAGCCTTATATTTTGATATGCCCAAACCGCAAGCACTATAAACTTTTAAAGATAAGTATATATGCCTCATATACTTATCTTTCTTTGAACATGCATTATATAGGATAGGATAGATAGAGGATATATATTTTCAATGTGCCCAAACCACGATCGCTAGATAATTACCTCATATACTTCCATACTCTTTCTTTGAACATGCATTATGCAGGATAGAATAAAAGGAATGTGTTAGAAGACAGAATAAGTAGATTCAATACACAATACTTTATTAGAATAAGAATAATTTATTTCATAAGACTCCACTTACAATTATATTTTACAAATGTATTGTTAGTTTTGCAATTTACAATATTAATGTTTTATTATGATTGTTTATTAATTATAATAACAATACATTATTTTGCTTAAAAGTATGGACGAAAAAAACAAAGGACATGTACTAATATTTGTAGCGATTTGCTTGAACTAGGTTTATGCAACTTTTGTTTCAAGACATCACTTTATCACAAATCAGTATAATTTAATTTTAGCAAATATTCTGTCAATATGTTACTATATTTCCTATGAGATAGACTGTATGTATTTAAAGACAAATTTTATTGTACAAAGAGATTCAAGAAAAAAATAAAATCTAATACTATAAGCATGTTTATTTGTCTCATTGTATTCCACATGACGAAACGTAGGTATAGGAGCACCATGTCAGCACTATTAGGTATATTTCATTATCTTCCCTCACACTTCCTAGCATCATCACTTGTTTTATTATCAAATTGCAAGAACTATTTTCGTCAGTTCAAGTTTAGTCTGGTCTATTCATTCTCTAATGGAAAAGAAGTGGTTTATGGTGTCGAAAAGCTGGCTTAGACAAACTCCTGGAATCCTGGAATAGACATTACAATGCATATTAGGTCAAACACAATGAAGAGAAACTATTCAAAACAATAATAACCCGACTACGAAAAGCAATACTCTTATATTGCTTTTCGCGCGTATTTTATGTTGAAATTTTTACTTACGATACTTTCCATTAAGTCCTCCCTTATTTCGCTTTAGAATTGAGTTATTTTATATTAATTAAAATAGAAATCATAGCGAAAGTTTAAACAAACAAATAACTTGACATAGTGGCATTTGAATTTGACCTCTGTCAAACACGACGTTCGGAAATTGTAAAATATTTTATGAAACAACAAAACTAACTAGTACCTTTTTGGTTGTAATAATACGATTATGTCACTTTATGTACCCGTAAACTCCGTTCTTGGCCTTTTTTTGCTTAACCAATATATCTTAACAAATTATCAAAGCCTTAATCGTGCAGACAAAGATAGAAAAATATTTTAAAAATGGTTTAGTTTTCAGACGTAATCTTATGTCATTCAATTCGTTCACTTGGGTGCTTCTCTATTTTACATCAGCATGACGTCACTAACGAATTTGATTCGAGCTCTCGAAAGACGATACGATAGGCTTCGTGCTGCGACATTCCGTTTTCGTCACATGACGTTTCGACGTCTCGATACTATTACGTTACGAATGCGATAGTTATTCGTGCTAGGCACACTGTAAGTTGTAGACTTGTAGTTGACAAGCTGACGTTCAACGACGGAAACATTGTATACAGAAAATAATGTTCAGTTGCGGAAATATCACCAATGTCACCTTAGTTATTTGTATAGACTATAATGAGCTCTGACTTCTGTATGCTACATTACCATTACTACGTAGTTACTTTTTACAATTCAATTGGAGGGGAGTACCTAATAATTACTATTTCTCCTAATAATGAAGCATGCTTGAAATAAAACAGGCTCACCTCCTATTACATGGGATAAATTGTGAAAATTGGGTGTTAAATTGTACAGTAGCATTAAGTGCCGTAATGTCTCCTCACCTCTGCCTACTCCTTCCGGGATAAAGGGCGTCATGTTATGCTTGAATAAATAAAAAGTAGTTTTGTAACAGTTATTTGTTTGGTTATGGTAAAATAATTCTGATTTAATTTAGCTAGATAGTCCGTTTTATTTATCGAAACTATGTTAGAAAGTTAGGCTATACAATAGTTAGATTATATAGAGTTAGCTGAATAAATATAAATTTTTATTCAGCTATTACTCGTACGTCTCTCAAAGATGCGTCCTCTGTTTGCTCGACCTCCAAACGTTAAATTAATTTTAAGAATCTAGCTAGACAATCTACCTACATAGCGGCAATGTCATAGTTCAATAGACTTTTGCTCCGTGCTAAAGTTCAAATAAGAAAGAGAGATAGTGTGTGTTTAAAATATATATATGCAGATACTAACAAAAACTAGAGATGCGTATAAGCTGCTCCAGTGCTTTAAAACATGTTAAAAAATTATTCCCATAACATAATTATGGTTTTAAATAATATGTAAATTAATAAATTCATGCATACCGCATACTTATCACATGTCATGTTAAATAGTGATTAAAATTGATCTGAAATTTTATAATTTAAAAAGGAAACACGGAAATCGATCATTGTACCTATCTCCTTGAAGATGTTTATTTTTGTTGAGCTGCAAACTCTACCGCCAAATGTTGAGTCAGCTAGCTAGAAACAGCGGACATGCCGCGTAGTGTAGCATGTGCGAAACGGTGCGGTGAATGTGGGGCAGTGAGGGGCAATAGAGGCGAGTGGGGCGCGGGCTGCAGGAGGGAGACACGAGGGCCAAGATGGCGGCGAGGACGCAACGATCGATGTCCGCAGACGCCGCGCGAGGCTAACTCTATTTATACACGTTGCATACCATTTTCACTATGACATGGAGAACTGCCTACGGAGAATACATTTCCAAATAATAACATAGATTTTGTGTTTTAAATATTGTTACTGTATTTTGTAACGTAAAATACAGGTTTATTAAGTTAATGAAATGTATAATGGGCCTTGTTTTAATGGTATAATACAAAATGAGAAGGAAAACTTAAAATTAATTGGAATTATTGTAATTAAAGTGATGACGATAGTATCAATCATGAATACATGCATTTACCAATTTACAGCTTTAATTTAGACCTTGGTTTTACATAAGGCGGAAGACGACATTCAAAATACCTATATAAAATTCAAAATAAAATTGATTTGTATACATAAATAATTTACAACGACGTATCTGTCTACAGCGGTCATTTCGTAATAATAGAATTATCCTTTGTATTAGAGGTGATGTCATTTGTGTTACTTGGTTAGAGGACCAGCATATTGAGAAGTTAAAACGTTACGTCTATTCTTTAAACGTGACTCGCATAAATAGTACTGGTTACATCTCTACATAACGTTATTTATCACCATCGGGCTTTAGACACGATCATTATTAACACCGTAGAGAAATAAGTACACGGTGAAGACCGGCTAATATTTTTTTAATTTGATCGCCGTATAGAAAAACGTGCATTCTTGTTCAGGGGGATGTAGTTTTTGCAAAAGGCGGCAATAAAAATTTAAGTACGTTTATTTACTGTCTTGACATATTGAGTAGGTCATTTAAATACGAACGAACTCTAGTCGCGTGCATAGACACCTTTAAGTTCAGTGTAGTGACCTCGGTCACGTTTATATTTATCTTCGGATTATTAATATCTTCTACTTTTTTGTTTTAGTCTACTCTGAATTAAGTTTGCTAAGAATTTTTATGGTGAACTTACATTTCATATTTAAAGCATGTTGAACTTTTTAGTTAAGCAAGCATAATGGCTTTTAAGCCATTAATCGGCATTTTAAACATAGGCACATGCACGTCATAATGTGCGTTTAAATGCGACTCCTATGTTTTTTTTGTGTAGCTATGTCAGTGTAAGTGGGCCTTCTGTGTAGGTTAGATTGAATTAATGCTGTTCATTAGTAAGAAATACGATGCTGCAACGTATTATGAATAAATAATATCTAAGAACTGTATAATAATGTGGGTATACAATATAGCCTATCCTAATGTGACTGTACACATTTAATTAGATACAAGTTTGCTGAACTATTTATATATAATTCTATATTTTATAAATCTTCATAAAGTTACACTTTAGTACGAATTGATTTTATGTTGCGACATATATTGTGAGGGAGGGAGGGGAGGATTGCAATTAATTTTACATAGATCATAATATTCGGTAAGAATGGACTGCGATTCGTATTGTTATAGTGAGTGGCTCAGTGCGGGCCACTTGCGGGGGCGTTGACCGCAATATTGAACGAACGCGAATGTCCCGCGTAGTGTTAATGACCTTTTTTTTCGGCTGCGCCAGCGTCTTCGTTCGGGCTATGAGTTTAAAACGATTTTAAATGTAATTCTGAATAATGTAGTACACTTTATATTTTATCAATCATATTTATGACAGCTAAAGCTTTCATTCTAATTTACATGTACGAAATTGATTGCACTTTTTACTATCTGAGGTACTTACCTATCTAGTATGTATGTGGGTACGTGAATACATGTCATTATTTACGGTTCGCGGTATTTAGATAGAAATATTGTAATTAAATAAAAATTGTACGAATGCAAACGTTATTGAATCGAAATAAGTACACGTGTTAGTTACTTTTGATAAGTTTCTAAGTTTCGTATTATGAAATGTTTATTTTTTATTGATAAACATGTTATTCCGAGAAATACCTGAAACGTACGATAACAGAATGTCATTATTTAAATTCCTATAATTTAAATTAATCTGATAACACAAGCACTAGCGTCATTTAAGGATCTTTATTGTTTTTATTGTTATCGTCAAGTGAACGAAGCCTCACCTAACGTTGTTTTAACATAATACATATTAGTAAACGCTGTGTTTATTGCATGCACTGCGCTGAATTAACGTGGGGCCGCTTTCTAATTTTCACCGAGTAAGTAGATAGTGAATGACGCAATGGTTTAGCGCCATATGGACTGTTTGGGCAACGGACGGGCATGTGTGTGAGAACTGATTGCATCACTGGCCAGAGGCTGAGATGCAATGCCTTCCACACAGTCTGAGTACGCACATTGTATGTAGATTGACTGATGTACCAACGTTGTTATGACAAGTATTATTGTCAATAGCTCCTTGCTGCTTATTGACTGTACATAAATATGTGTAGTATGCGTATCATACATAAATACAATCTATTGTTTCAGTATAATGAGGCCTATTTAAATCTACCTATGTACCCTGGTACTTTTGATGGTATTACATGACTATTCTGTGTTGGTACAGTACACAAGAATGGTAGGTACATAATAGGTAGGTAGGCACCTACAGATATTTTTCCTCAAAGCAACTTATAAATGGCGGAAGTTACGTCAAGCTTCTATAAACGGACGAGAAAAAGATTGTTTACATTTAGACTTGGTATTGATTTCCCGAGCACGCCTGCCTCCCCTGACCCCATTACCTCCTTCAATTTAACGGGAGCAAATTATGTGGGGTACGCACACCACTTCGTTTGCACTTTATTTACACAAAGTGATATTAAACTTCAAAGGAAGTAACAATGGCCCTTGTCCGATAATGTTGCGTACACATAAATGTTGTGTACAAAGTAATACATAAAAGGACATGACAATGTTTTATATCTACACCTCACTGTCCAGTTGTACGTTTCATTTCAGACACTATCTATGTACATTGGTACCTTCTTCCTATTTATTTGCTACACGGACATGCGTGCTTAAATGTAACTGTAATTTCATATTGAATAATATGTTAAACAAATGGAAGGTTATTTGGATACATGGCTTTATCTTTTATGAATGAACGCATCAGACAGAATGTAAATAAATACATTATAACAGATTCGAGCAAGGTCATGTCCACATACGGTAACTCCTTCGTTGTTATTACCTGTTATGGTACATTTATCGTAAATAAAACAGTATCTATGTAGGTGAGTCTAAATGATTGCAAAACGATACAAAAATGACTTAGCAACGACCGCAGCTATAGAATGTGAGCAAACTTTATATCACAAGATAGATATTGATTTTTTGTGTGCAGTAAATACCACATAACTTATTTAAAAGGCAAGAAGTTATTGACCTCAAGCTTTAAGTTCAAATTGGCAGGTACCTACTCTTATGTTGCTTGCTACATTTATTAAACCTTGAACCGTGAATCGGACTCAAGGCCATCGACATTGCTCTCAAATGACGCATTTGCTTGTATCGATCGGTCATTTTGCCATGATAGCAATGTCAAGGTTTGGAACCAACTTACTATTGTAATACGTTTACAGCTTAGTACTTAATGTACATTATACAGCTATGTTATCATTGTAAATGTACTTTACATTCAGCATTGAATGTCGAAGGTGTTCCGTGTGCGTACAATTAAATAATGAAGTTTGTTTGTGGAGTAGTAAAACATTGCGCCATTTATTTTCCAAAGGGAAGGCGAAGGTGCACATTAATAACCCACACTTCGCCAATCTAAATTATGCTCGTATTTTTAATTACGGTGATCATTTATGTAAAAATTTAGAAAGGTAATGGTCAATAAAGTGGTCTTATCGGAGCGTGGTGTACCATGGCAAAAATAAAAAATATACCAGCAAATGAACTAACGATACCAGAGCATTTCAATTTTATAATTTGTGCTAGCTTTATGTAGTAAAATGCTCGTATTTATGTTCGTGGTGTACAATCGTATATAGGTACCTATTAGGTAAATATGCACATAATAATAATGTGAGAATGGATAATGCTATCGGTTTTGGTAAGCTGCAGCATCACGTCGCCATTATACAGAACAATAGATAACCACAATGTTATTGAAACAACGAAAACTATATGCGAATTTTGAACTGAATGGTATAATATCGACAATGTGTAAATAAATTATTTGTTTAATTACAGGAAAAAGGCACGTCGTTACCAGCTCAAAGGTTGAACAAGTATCCGTCAAGAGGTTTGCTGAAACACATATTGCAGCAAACATACAACCAAGCAGTGTCTGACCCGGATAAACTCAACCAATATGAACCCTTCTCACCTGAGGTCAGTACTAACGGTTATTTATTACGCAATCTGTATTGTTTATACCGACGCCAATTATGTCGTGTTGCCAACTTAGGCATTCGCTATTTATAGTAGTTTGTAACTAACGAATTTAAAATAAAAATATACGACTAGCGGCAAGCGTCACGGCACCCCCTAATTGCACAACAAAAACAATGCTGTAATCATAATAACAGAGGGGTTCATGTTGACAATTTTGAATTTAGCAATCTCTTTCTTTCGTATATTTGGGCCAAACTTTGTGCTTACATAATGTATTATGAAGGGTAATAGACAATTTCGTAATTTGCGCAATACGGCTAAACTCTTGTTTAAGTGTGACCCATTTCTAGTTCTTTAAAGATATTTAAGTATAAGTCACTTACTTAGGTAATTATTATTTATTTGTGATATTTAACAGATTCAGCAATATATGCAAAATATGCACAGATAGATAAAGAAATGTAAAATATTTAATTAATAAATTAAAGTACATTATATTATAGTGGGAAGCAGGAAGTTAGTATATGACGTTAATAAAATAAAACAAATTCACAATGATAACGATATGCAAATACATAATATGGATAATATATAATACAATACATTGTATAATAAAACGCAAATGTGTGTAAGCAGAATGGTCATTATAACATCCACTGTTATTAAATTTTTATACAGGGTTGTATTATAGTCTATTATTTTCTAAGAGAGACGGCGGAGTCTTGAAACGTTATCTAGTTAGGTATTTAAACAGATAGTCAAACACTCCTTGTGTTTTGGTATTAAATATGTACATTAATTTGATTTGAAAAAAAATTATAATATGAGACAAATAAAAGGATACATAAATTATTATTCATAGACATTACAGGTGAGGGAGTTATGTAGAAGGCATGTGGCAATAAATGAAGTAATTTACATCGACAGGTATACGGCGAAACATCGTACGAGCTGGTGTGTCAGATGATAGATCAAATAGATATAACATCCGACGATGTGTTCGTGGACTTGGGCTCGGGCGTGGGACAGGTGGTCCTACAAATGGCGGCTGCAACACCTTGCCGCGTCTGCCTTGGAGTCGAAAAGGCGGAAGTTCCCAGCAAATATGCTGAGGTAAAGAAATGTTTTATATAACATTCTATTTTAAACCCTCTTGTCTATAATTTATAAACCGAGCATTGTGTAATATACCCATGTTTTCTTTTTTTTTTTCAGAGCATGGACGGTCACTTTAGAATGTGGATGAGGTGGTACGGCAAAAAGTTTGGAGAATACAAATTAATAAAGGGTGATTTTCTTCTGGATGAACACAGAGAAAAAATAAATGCGGCTACGATTGTTTTCGTGAATAACTTCGCGTTTGGCCCGCATGTAGATCATCAGTTAAAAGAAAGATTTGCTGATTTGAAAGACGGTGCTAAAATAGTATCATCGAAGAGTTTTTGTCCTCTAAACTTCAGGATAACGGACAGAAACCTGAGTGACATCGGGACCATCATGCACGTGAGCGAGATGTCTCCACTAAAAGGATCAGTCTCGTGGACGGGGAAGCCAGTCTCTTACTATTTACACATTATAGATAGGACCAAATTGGAGAGATATTTTCAAAGACTGAAAAATCCGAAACTCAAGGTCAGCAAAAGGGTCTGTTCCAATCACTTTACCTTTTATAAGATAACTAAGATAACATTAATGTCCATGATGATTTGACTGTGAAAATAACTTATTTGCAAAGTATAAATTGTACAAAACTGAAGAAATTTGTAATGACAAATTAAACAATATAGAATGAAGTAGACCCCAATAGAGAGGCTACATAAATTATTTATACAACCAATCGTCATGTGTGTCAGCTATGTTAATTCGTGTATGTGTGCTATGTTAAGCTATGCAGTAGAGAAAGGTAGAGTGGACATTGAAAAGAGGAAAAAACTTTTTCATTAGGCTATTCCTGTTTGGGCTTCCATAGTATACAAGTAATTGTTTCATGTCTACTTGTTATCTTTGATTCTCCAATAACTTGACCCTTATTAAGTATGAAGTAAGTACTTAATATTTTAAATCTAAAAATTTTGCAGGCATTCAGTATGAACTTTGTTTCAAATTAACACTTCTTTGAAGTTGAAGATTGCTGTATCAAGTTACCTAGCTGTTGACCCTGTTAACTTCCTTGGTGGTTGAATTAATTAAATTTTGGCAAGTTACAGATTTCAGTGAGAATGTCTTAAGAAAACTAATATTTTTATGTTTATTAATGTTATCCCAAACTATGGACAGTGATTTCGGAATCCTAAGTACAGGTTTTTTACTGTTCCACATAGCAAGGTAGATTCGCTTTTCTAATCAGCTACATTGCTTGAATATTGCCGTATATGGTTTCTGATCCATATTTAATTTTGTTCCTATCCAGTTCTGAATTCCGAATTAATTTGGGCTTTTCCCCTTTGTTCGAATTATGTTCATGTTCTATGAATGTGCTGTATTCATTTTAACTGACCCGTATTAAATTCCTTCATATTACACTTCAAAGTTTAGCTGCTTCGGCTTCTGATTGCTTACCAATATTTAATATGTAGTAATTAATTATTTATAATATGTTTATGAAGACTTGATATTAACAAACGGAATAAAAAGAAGCATGAGTGATTAAAGTAGATACTTAGTATGTAAAATTTCATTTTAATAGATAGTTATAATAATTTATAACTAGACCATCTGCTTTTATAAACATGGACGAGTCTACCCGGGAAACTTCTCAGTCGATATCGGAGTCATATAGGTCATGGGTTATCTTTATTTCAGCATACTAGATATTTGTGTTGTCTAAGAATGTAAACACGTGTGGAGTACTTAGGCAATAAGTAGAGTGGTGTTGTAATCATCAGGGAACGCACAACGGTTGCGACGAGGGCGAGACTAGCGGCAAGCGACATCTCAGCGCGCCGCCCACGCGACAGCCCACGCCCGACCTGCTCAACGGGAACAGCAACCACAGCACCGCCTCGCTGCCCGAGCGACGTCGCAAGGTCGCGCGCGCGCGCCCCGCCAGGTACCACCACCTCCACTCTCACTGCGCCCTGCAATGCACTGGGGAACTCCAGCCTCTACCCTCGCGTCTGTTTTGTGGCAGGGGTGAGAACGGCAGGACTCGAGCGAGAGCAGCGGTGGCCAAGCGGCGCGTGGTGCGGCGCTCCAGTGACGACAGCGACGAGGAGTCCAGCGGCACCGACGACGCGCCGCCCGGGCCCGAGCCCGCGCCGCGCGAATGGGGAGCACCATGGGCCTCCTCATCCGATTCCAGTCAGTATCTTTTTAATTACACGCGTATAAGATTACAATTTACGTATGGTCTATGTAGTAGGCTTATGTTCTGTATGTTTATTAGTTACTAGCTTTTACCCGCGGCTTCGCTCGCGTCACAAAAGAATAAAAAGTAGCCTATGTGACATATACCAATACATACAGCGCCATCTATACGAATACTTTTGTTTTTCCTCGGGAATATCAATGTTTTCCGGGTTAAAAAGTACCCTATTATTTAATCCGGACTTCTAACTTTACGTCTGCAAAAATTCAAAGCAATCGGTTTAGTAGTTACGGCGTGAAGGTGGAACAAACAAACAAACAAACTCACTTTTAGATTTATAATATTAGTAAGGATATTCTTTAGTGTATTTTTGCGTATCACAGTGCTACTACGTACACAATCTCATATTCATAGTATATTTTATAAAGTGACTGCTATAATGTCAGTATGATATTCAATGTTTATGTTCCAACATGTTGAATGTGTATGTTTGTGCAGACCGCAGTCGGCGGCCGGCCAGCAAGCGCAGTGCGAGCGCGGGCGGCGCGCGGCGGCGGGCGGCGCGAGCCAAGCGACGTCGCGCCGCGCCCGCTGCCATCGCCGGCCTCGACCTGCTGCACTCCACCACGCTGGCCTCTACGCTACATAACGGCGCCGTGAGTATACTTGCCCTCGTCACAGGTATCGTACGTAAATAGGGCGCCGATCTTATTTTAATTTGTTTTATTTTGTTTTTGTCGATTGGCTCTCAAGTTTTGAAAATGATGATCAGTACAAGGAGTATGGTCAGAGTGTGAGCGTGTGTCTGAGCGTGTGCGTGTGCAGGTGACGGCGCCGCCGCCGGGCTGCGTGGAGCAGCGCCTGTCCGCGCTGGGCGTGTCGCTGCAGCCCATGTCGCGCGTGCACTCGGAGCTGGACATCCCGCGCGCGCCGGCCGCGCCCTACAGCCTGCAGCTGCTGCTGGACATGTTCCGCGACCAGTACCTCGCCTTCATCGCGCGCATGAACACGCCCGAGTACGCGCACGAGATACGACAACAGATCGAAAAGGAAAAGGTATTATATCTCTCCACTGCTACTCGCAGGCATGTTTTGCTTCCACTTTTTGGTGTTCTTACAAACAACCCTGCTTTCGATCAAATGTCTCACAATTCATTCGGCCCGTTATCATCGGCTTAATATCGAAAATTCCATTTGTGATTCTTATTAATATTACTACTAGTTACTGGCTTACAATCTAACTTATTTGTTTTAATCTATACTTTATTTCAGATGATAGCAAACGATAATACTATCTCCTTTTAAAAGATGAACATTACAATACCGATTAACACACATTCTTATTTTATATAGGATATTTTTGGAACCATATTAAACATTATCCAAATGAACAGTCCTTAGAAAGCAAAGCAAACAGTGATACATAAAGACATGCTTATATTTGTCCCAACTGATTATTTATAATTGGCTGGTATTGATATTTTTATCTTTTAATAGGAAGGGAACATACATTTATTGAATCAGATAATCTGATTGTGAGATATATTGGTTGGTTCACTCTTCCATGTAGTTGCTCACTACTTGGGCTTTGACTTTTATCTTAGTTGTAAAAGTACTTTTGAAAGGAAACATAAGCTTCAGCACAACTGAAATTTTCATATATCAATTTTTAGTGAGGAAGCTGTAAGTCGTTTGTAAGACCATGAAAAAGTAAATATGTGTAAACTTAAAACTTAAAGCCAAGTATTCGATACAGGAGAGGAACCAGAAACTGAAGTCGCGTGCGTCTCAGTTAGATAAACAGATCAACGTGCTCATAAGCGACAGTGTTGCTCTGTTAAAGGCGCGCATGAGTGAGCTGGGCATTCACGCCAATAACACTGTGGATCTCTTGGCCAAAGCCAAGGAAATTGTGGGGAGACACAAAGAGCTGCAGAGCAAAGCTAGCAAATTACAAGCACAGGTACTGTTCCTCAATGCTATATTTGTGTCATAGTATCGTGCATTGAAAACAATCAGCTTTTGTTGTAACGTCTAAGATTATAGTGACCGGACGCCACTCCTGCTTCTGTCCCTAGGTACTTTCGCTCTTATAGCTCACTATCACTCGGTCATGCACCTGATAGATAGTACGGTCTCGGTTTCGCAACGGCTTAGACTCATTTTCGAAGAGTACGTACATCACTACGGTCGATAAAACGGTACTCATCATTTTCATTATTATAATCACTTTTAAACTTGTTTTTTTTTGTTTTTTGGAATACTGTATGTATTATATCATTACCGTTTTTATCGTAAATAAATGTTATACTTTACGTTTTTATAAAAGTTATATATTTTTTGGTTTTAGCTCGCTGCTTTATTTAATGTCATTTTAATTTTCTATGTACGATATTATGCCATTGAATTAGTTTTATTTTTACGTGCATATTGTAACAATATTGTGTAATAAATCATCATATTATGAGGTCTGTCTTTTACTAAAATTGTTTTATGTTTTAGGTGAATAATATAGAAAATGACCAGGCCGTGCTAATTAAACAAAGGACATTTGAGATCACGGAAAAGTATCGTCAGTTGGGTCACATACCTCCTGACGTTGAAATCACGCAAAGTATAGCCCACGACTGCATACTAAAAGAAATATCTGCAACACTAGCGCATCGGAAAAGATTACATGCACAAGTAGGACACCTGCAGAATGAAATTATCCAAATGGAAAGATCAAACGAGCAAAAAGTGGCACCGCCAACTGTACCAGTTGCTACTGTAAAACCTCATACAGTTAATTCAAAACCCAGAAAGTCCAGAGAGCACAGATCGCGCTCTCAGGAGTGGCCAGATGTTCCAGATGTTGGAAAAATTGAGGAACAGAATCCAGAAATCCTTGCTCAGAAAATATTAGAAACTGGGCGGCAGATCGAAGCTGGTAAAATCTCGAAGCCAAATGTGGCAGTGAACGGGTATCCAAGAGAATCAGAGAGACACGTCGAACATCATAGACATCCAAAGACAGGTGCACCGATACACCGCACGCAACCTCAACGGCCAGGACAGCCACCACCCAACCTCGCTCACAGACAGTCACCGGTCAAGCCGCAGAAACCTCTCAATGTCGTCGGTAAGGTGCAAGAATCGCCAAAAGTGATAAATTTTGAAGACAGGCTCAAAAGTATAATAACCTCGGTGCTGAACGAGGACCAGGAGCAACGGAAAGCGTCCCGGCCTTCGCAGAGCCACGCCTACACAAACGGCTACGTGCGAGGTGGCGGCACGCACGGCTCGCACGGCTCGCACGGGTCGCATAGCTCGCACGGGTCTCACGGGTCCCACGGCTCCCACGGCTCGCATGGCTCGCACGGGTCCCACGGCACTCACGGCTCGCACGGGTCCCACGGGTCCCACGGGTCGCACGGGGCGCAGTATCGCGGCGGCGGGCTGGCGCGCGCAGGGCGCGAGCTGCGGCGCGAGCGCTACCCGTACGAGCGGCTGAGCGCGCTCGAGGCGGCGCCCGACTACACGCAGGTGAGGCTCGGGGCGGCGGGGGACGGCGCGGGTGGCGTGTGAGCGCGTGTAACGCTGTGTGCTGGTGCAGGTGTCGCCGGCCAAGCTGGCGCTGCGCCGCCACCTGTCGCAGGAGCGGCTAGCCACGCCCGGCGCGCGCACCATCGGGGACCTCGTCAACGGGGAGATCGAGCGCACGCTGGAGATCTCCAACCAGAGCATCATCAACGCAGCCGTCAACATGAGCGCGCGGTACCACGAGCCCGCCGCCACCAATCAGCCGCTCGAAGGTAATTGGCTATATCCTAATTACATTTTCAACTCTGTAACAGTAATTATAAACAGTTCGTATGATACAGACATTTACATTTATTCTTCGTGCGCGTGCACTTCGCACGCTCAACCTGATTTCTAATGAAATTGACCTATTTTGTTGTACTCTGGGTGAATTCACAAGGAATGCATTATATGTAATATGCTATAGGTAGATATTAAGATGAGCACGTTTATCGCATTGGGCATTAACCTGTAAAGATAAATGTAAGTGGAAAAATAAATAAATAAATGTTTTGTTTATCGTCATGGTACGATAGATTGTTAGATATCGATAGATGATTAGATAGATCTCAAGAACTTCCATAAAATTTACACATACTTAGCAAATAAATGATTTTATTTTATTTGAAGATACATCTTCGATGGTAGACTTGTTAGTTTACGTATCAATAAGATTATTATATATTGCAGGTTTAGCAGCTTGTTTACAAGCTAGAGTTCTGGCGTCTGATTACTGGCGCGGGCGCAACGGGTCAGGAGCTGCCGGCGCCGGCCCGCCGGCGGGGGTAGCGGGCCCCGGTAGTGCGGGCGCCAGCCAGGGCGCTGCGGCCGCGCCCGCCGCCGAGGACGAGGCGCGGCGTCGCACGCCGCAGCCCGACCCGCACTCCAACACGTCCACCCCGCTGGTGGACGAGCTGCCCGACGGCGCGCGCCTGCCAGGTAACGCGAGCGTCGCCTGCGCCCCGCCTGCGCCCGCGCCGTCGCACCCTCTCACCACCCGCTCCGTTACAGAGGGCGAAGGCGGCGAAGAGGTGGACGAGAGCAAGTGGCAAGACCGGATAGCTTTCCGGTTCGACCAGATCATATCGTTCGCGTCGACGGCCATGGAGGACAAGCGGCGGCGCTCGGACGAAGCGTGCAACACGTCGCCCGACTCGGGCATCGGGCACGGCGAGGCGGGCGCGGCGGCGGCGGCGGCGCCGGCGGCGCACTTCAAGAAGCGCTTCTTCCGACGCGAGCGCTGGGGTGCGTGGGGCGGCGCGGCGCCGGCGCTGGACTGGGAGCGCCCGCCCATGTGACGCCGCAAGCCCTAGCGCCCGCGGCCCGCACTAGCGCAATTATGTAACTAGCACTGCCGACAGGGACGCGAGGACGCGAGGACGCTCGTTAGATTGTATTCTATGTAAATAGGGTCACTCCCGCCCCGCTCGACTCCCCCTCGGATGTTGACTGTCGATTTTTTGTTATTTTTTTCGAATATATAATGTAATTATGTATATTATTGAGTTTATTTTACGTTTAAGATGTGTAATTATTTAATGGTAGTTTTATGTCGCCATTTTGTTCGGTGACGTCGAGACGTTTGCGCCGTGGCGGATTGTATTTCATGTGTTCATTTAGGTCTTAGAGTTTGAAATACATGATTCGGTGAATTTGCAGCGGATCATTCTTGCGCCGGTCGTTTGGTGAATGTTTGTTGTTTTATGTGTTTTGTTTGTCGATGTTACGGAAGCTCTTGTCTGAATAATGTTAATCATGTCTTTGGGAAATCTTAAATTTTAGTGTACTTACTTATGTCGAGTTTGTATAGAATAGATCATTATGAATTTTCTTACGTATCGAATCGGAAAAGTATCGCATTAGGAACTCTTTAGTAAATTATAGTGCAATTACTGTCATTGTAAAACGTATCGAGGTATCTCGTATTGTCATATTCGAAGCGATGAGGTCGTCAATCATCCTGTGATACACTAAGCACCATTATTGTTATCTTTTCAATATGACTACAATAACTTAACTAATTTGTATATTTAGAGACAGTGTTGTTTTGAAGATGACCACATTAGGTAGTTGGTTAGATTGTAAAGAATCGAGTTATGAAGTCAGTAAATAAACTGTATAGTGTACTAAAAAGCTTAAATAATACTAAAATCCGACATAACTTATGTTAGAGTTTCCCTTGAGGAAACATCATGGTGCAGATAAACAGTAGATATTGCATAGTGTAAATTGACACGCTATTTTTATACGGGATTATTTTAGATAATATTATGCCCCATTTCCAAGTCAAATGTATGACAGTTGCAGTAAAGTGTGTATGTGTGCTTCTCCGTAATAGCAGTAAGGGAGTATACGTGCACATATTGTTCGTGTCCCTATATAAACATTTTTTGTAAATTGGTACTTAAGATGCAGTAAGCCATTTTAGATTTGTTCCAAAGTTGTTATAGATTTTTGACTGTTGATGATACTCCGCAATTTTGCTTCTATACTGCAAAATTCATAACGCAAAGATTTGTACTTTTATAACTAATTTCTAAAGATTCTGTGGTAGAACAGAAGGATCAACATGTTTACCAAAACGTTTTTCGTTTTCTTTTCAAAAGTAATTGTAAAATCGGAATCATAAATTTACAAAACATTAATCAATGATTATATATTGTAATACTCAACTTGACGAGAATTGAAATTCGATATTAGCATGATTTTGAACATTTTAATATTTATTTATTTATAAACAGAGCTAAACATTGTCTGCATCGCAAAAAGTACCTTCGGTTGTACATACAAATCAATTGGACATGTGCTTTCACGTTTACTTCGACTAAATATATTCACATAATAATGTACCTAGTTGTATTTCTTTATACACATTGTAGCTGTAATCATAGGACCAAAGAGTTTCTGGCGACGTGCCTAAATGTATCAATATTGTAAATGCCCCCAATAATCCATACTAAATATGTACATTAGTAGTATTTTGCTGATTTCAATCTGTTTTGTGCTGTATCGAGTATATGGTGATTAGAACCGATAACTGATTAGTCACATTCACTGCTCTACTATTGACCAGTCAATTGGAATTTTTCTATGTTACTAAATGTATCGTAAGGAGTGATTCGTAACTGTAGGAAGAAGGAGGCGGCTAGCAATAGTTCCTATTATGGCACTGAGCCACGTCAGTGCCTAAACATACCTTGAGAGACCCTGCTTCATTGTCCATGTATCTTTTCTTTGGGGCTGTATCCTTAGTATTCCAACACATATCTGCGTTCCTTTGGGGGTTTATCTTGAAGTTACTTTACAAACAGCGGTTTTGGTGATGAATCACGAGTAACTTAGGAATAAACTTTTTTTCGCTCATGACGATTATCCGCCTCTTAGGAATAAGATTTAACAAAAATAAGCAATTTGTTATTTAATGGGGTTTCTGAAGTCATTGTTAATATTCGAAAATAGTGAATACGGTTTTATACTTTCAGTCGATAAAGCAATTTACAAAATATTTTTTGTGTAAGTAATTCGAAACTGTATAAATGTGATCGTGTATTAAGCGTATAAGAACCGACTTGTTTCCTAATTAGCTCGGCCGGCGCAGCTATTGTAACCGATGATGTAAGACCAATCTTATGTTTGAAAACTTATAATTTTATCGACAAAGAATGAGCTAATGATTAGAATTAATCCATGTATTAAACAAAGTTGTAACCATGCTATCGATTGGTTATCATTTCATTCTTGCGATATATTGTAAATACCTTAAATACAGGGTCTAAATTGGAAATTAATGGTGAACTCCAGTCATATCTGTTATAATAGTTACACCGAAAGAGCAATGCAGCCTTATATTTTAAAATGTAGTCATACGATTAGAAGTCAGGACGCGCGTAACGTATTAATATCGAAAAGCTTAGAAATTATATTCGTTTCAGAATAATTAATAGGTAGCTAGATCGTATTTGTAACGATTTATCATAAGACTTGTTGGTTAAATAATGTGCACTGACGTAAGCAGATTTAAATTATAAGAATGTATCCACATTAATTCAGGGCTCACTAATACATTAACTCTAAAAACACATGAATCTAGAATTTTGGAACAACTGGTTCCTTTGGGATTATCAAACATATTAGTTTATTATTTAATATTACGGCTACGGCCACTAAGAGAGACGTCAATGAAGTCGGTTCTATTTTTTTAAGTTATTTTTGTACAGTATGTTTACTTACTGTACACAGTGTAATGTTTTTTATTAGGTAAGATTTTGAAGAAAAAAAGAACACGAGAATTGTACGATTGTAATAGGTAATAATTACTGCAGCAGTTTTAATCACTTGAGATCGATGAATATTACATTCTGTAAATGCGAAATTTCAGACATGTTTATAATACATATACGACTCTAAAACGTAAATATCTAAATTCTAAACCAGGATTACATATGATACTTAATGTTAAATAAAAGTGTCTAATACCTAGTGTCGTTTCATGTATTTTAAACATTGGGGTGCACTGGTTTGATTGTGCCTGAAAACTCATCAATGCCGCTCCAAACCTCAAAATTATGTATTTGTATATTGATAAGTAAGCTTAAAATCTAATCTGACGTAGGTACCAATAGTAATTTAGTGTAATGTCGGCAATAAAACATCTATTTTGGTCGGATTAACTCGAAGAGTGATTACATTATTCAGTTATGATTAATTTTATTTTTTGATGGGGAAATAATGAGCTAATCTGTGTGACGTTATAGTGTCTAAAATAGTACAAATGAGAAGACTTATCGTCGTAAGCCTCGGACTATTCAACATGCAAATGCTAGGTTTGAGATGTATCCCTGTGTACTAGTTTTATTTTGTACTAAAAGTTAAAAATAAACGAATAATTATAATGTGTTTTGTTATTTATGTATCATGTTTGTATCACTAAAATCAGGTTTCACTACTTCGGTGGTAAGCGCGATTACCGAGCAGGGGTACCGGTCCGGTCCGTTATCATTAGGGGGGGAGGGATACCGGAGGCAACAATAAAAAATAAGATGCACATTTTAAGGAGGTTCAACAAAAATACTCGCAAAAAATTAAAAAAGTGTCCTAAACCCAAAGTTTGGTTCAAAAATTGAGCCGTGTAGTGATACGGCTTTTTCGGCATTTAATTTATTGAGAGATTTATCTCAGAAAAGAGCAACAGATGGGCAGAAAAGAGCTCAAAATAGCAGTGGCTCTCAACCAATAAATAAAATATAGATGCTAATAAGAAAGAAGAAAAGAAAGAAAGAAAAACCATTTATTATCAATAAGTTACCTTGATGCTTAAAAACGCGGGAGGATAATGATTTTTTAAATAAAAGTTAAAGTTTTCGGAGAAACATCCCTTTAGATCACTAAAGGTTTGTTTCTCCGAAAACTTTGTGTAATAACAATAGTATTTATTTTATTTAAGTATTTTTATTATTTGTAAATAAACAAATGTACACAGGCTTTATCTTTTACATTGGTACTACCTAAAATACTAGATCCCAAACTTATTCCTAACGTGAATAATGACAAAACTGTCAAACGTCAATTAGCACAGTAGACAGCTATCCTGTCACAACCGTTGTCATTTTCGTAATTTCATTGAAGCAGAGCACTGAAAGAGGCAATTTGCCAAGTTTTGTACATACGTTTCCTTATTGGAATCAAAATTAGTGTTCATCTTTATGGTTAAATGAAATCTAATTGTTCGATGATATGGTGACAACGTGTTGATAGTGGTTCATGTTGAAATTGGTGAGCCGTAACTGCGAATTTGTTGATGTTTCTTAGAAGATCTTAACACTCTATGTACAAATGAAATGCAATATTCGTGAACTTGCTCAATTGAGCGATCAACCTTGTGTGATAGAAGGAAGATTAAACTATAAAAAGATTTCCAATGGCAGTTATCGTAATCAGACAGGTGAGCAGACAGGAAAAATGATTGTAAAAACTATTTACTTATAATCCGTTTGGTTGATGTTTTCCTCGATTTTGGAATGAGTCATAAAGTCCTTTTCAGCAAAATGTGGATACTAAATATACTATCATTATCTTTCATATTTATTCAGTAACACTCTTGGTCATGCTCATCCATTGTGTTGACAATGACTGGTAGCATTGTTTCACCGAACAGAATAAGAACTGATTAATCAGTTGGGTCAGATTTAAAAGTTGTCTTGGTAATCATAATAGAATTATAATAGTTGTGATTAAGTAATTTTTTAATTGGTGTCAAAATGTATCTTCTTTGATGTATTTCAATATGTTGTTTTATTTCTTCCAGTATTCAAAGAGAGATGGTTTCGGCTGATTAACAATTATTTATTTTATTTCAAAATCAGTGAAATGGGAAAGTTTGATACAAAATGTCCCGCTGGGATGTTTGTGTTAGAGAATTCTTCCATACAAATGGAACATGGGCAGAGCATACCATTTTCATTTTCTATTTCTTTTATGTAAGTTTTTTTTATTAATTTAAATATGCTTTCTCAAGTATTCTACTGGATCTAAACAATATTTATTTACATTAAGCAAAATTTAAATGGACAGAATGTAGTGTTTTTTGTGCCTTAATAGTAAAATAATCACTGTAACATATCTGGAGATTCAGTTTTTACATAACTAGACCACAGGTCTGTTTTAAATTTAATATTCACCTACTACTCATTAACTATCTGATTACCTGTTGCATCTGAATGTAACCTTAATACATATACATGTGCATATACATGCAGAATCTGGAATTGTACTGGGCTTTGTCAAGAGTACTAGCCACAAACACTAGTACCTACTATCAAAAGGTAGGTAAATATGTAATAACAAATGTAGTAATGTTTCAGAGATGAGCCCGAAAAACGACATGTTTTTGCAGCCCGAGCTGAAGATAATGTGGTTCAGTGGGTTATGAAACTAAGGCAGAGCTCATATGAATATCTACGCAACAGACTTCATGCACTGCAGTCCAAGATATTTGCAATCACTGGAAAGGTGGGATCATTGTTTTTATAATATAATATTAACAATGAAAAAAACATTAATTTAATTATATTATATCTTTACTTGAACATCTTAACAGTAAACGGATTGAGGTCCCAAATTGTCTTATCTAAAGTATTTGTTTGGCCATTCTTTAATGCTGATAAGATAGAAAGAAGTCTTTGTTTATTAATCTTGTGACAGATACTAAAGGTATTTTATTTAAATAAATGGTTATTGATTTTTTGTTACTAAGCCAATCTGAAACGGATTGTTCTAGTCCACTTTAAATTTTAATCACAATTTAATTTTCTTTTCTAGGATCCTTTGCTCCTAGTGCCAAGGAATGAGGGAGCATGTTTGTGGGCCCCATCTGTACCATTCTCAACAGCTCCAGCTTGCACTGTTAACACCAGTTCATTCAGTTGCCATCTTCACACAAATGGTGGGTTTACACTCGAAAGAAGCAAATCAGATGTTCAAGCTCATAAACATTTCCATGCAGAATACTCTCAAAAATCTACATTTTATACTGACGACCACAAGAAGGTAACTGAGAGACGAGAGCATTCCAATGAAGTGTATTCTCTAGAGAGAAGTAAAACTTCGGCGCTTTTACCAGGTAGTGCGAATCCGATTGATAAAACTATATTCGACAATCGACCGCTCTACTCTAGAGCTGCTCCGAGTCCGCCAGTTAGAACGAAGCTATCGCCAAGCAGTCGACGTGTTGAAATGAATCAAGACGTTAAGGTTTTTGCTGAACAAAGTAGAAATTTAGGTATAACAGGTATTCTAGATGAAGCACCAATTCCGCCTAGAAGAAAAGTGTCACCAAAAAATTTGGATATTCCAAACCCTACCATTGAGATTACTAACAATATTGCCAGCACAGCCCCTGATGATGGCAGTGATGATCTGATTAAATTTTAGTGTGTCCACTTGCTGGAAAGGAATCCCACCTATTTATTATAATAAATTATTTAATAACTTGCCAGTTGTATAGTTAATTTCTATGTTGTTTAGCTGGAAATATTGAATATTGAACAGATTTAATAATTACATTAATCAATGAAAAGATTGAAATGTGTAATTAAAAAGTTATTTTTGTATATTATTTTTTGTAATTAGTGCTAGAATTGACCTACTCATTACCGTGATTCTTAGGATATACAATGTACATGACTTTGTATGTATATGTAAGTCTACATCGAGATTTTTATAAATTTATAGTGAAATTTTGTAAGTTTTATAGGTACTATATCTAGACCAAAACATAAATATACATAAAATAGATCCTTTTTTTTTGAGGGGGGAAAATCATCCAATGACTTCTCCCGCCTGGGTGAGGCGGGAGGGAATGTCAGACTCTTACTGACATAAAATAGATCCTGGATAGCATATTCAAAGCCATTTATTATAAGATATGAGATATCTATGTACAAACCGAACTACCCTCATGATGCTATGTCGTATATTATATTTCATAAGCAAAATTATTGGAACAAATTGCATAGTCACATTATTGCTTGAATAATGCTTATTTTAATAGAAACATTGTATTTGGTGCTTTATGAATACAAGCGTCCATTAAATTGCATTGAATTTACATCTATGTGTTTCTTTATTATACCTACCTAAGATACCTACTTACCTCATGGAAAATATTGTACATAGAGATCTGGGTGCTTACTCTTGAAACCAATCTCAATGCTAATGCAATTTCAATCCAATGAAATCTCAATAATTACTCAATGTCAAAACTATACAACCCCTATTGTAGCTGCTAAAGTAGCATTTAGAGTACGGAATATAAAACCGAACTCAATACCATTTAGTTCATGAAATATCCACGCAATACGGAGGCAATGGGCGCTAGTGTTACAATTCAAGAGTAGGAAATTTCACAATATCAATGTCGATCGATCGGAATTGGATTCAAGAGTAAGTGCTTACTCTTGAATCCAATTCCGATCGACCAGGTCGAAAGTGACAACTAATTATCATGGATTCGATTCAATTACTATTTTAAAGGTACCTTTTTTATTCTACTATCATTTAGAGGAAATATAAAAATGTACTAACACATGTATATAAAAATAAGTAATTACGTATGTAATAATTGGATTATCGTGAGTCGTGCCAGTTCAGCACTTAGTTACGTTATACGTAGTGTGTTATCTGTAGGTATGTATTGTGGTATGAGTCTGTTTCCGCTATCGCATTTTTGGTGATTAGAAATTAGTCCCTCATAGTTTAAACCACATTATAGACTGGTAACAAGTCGAACTGCCAATCCACTCATTCATTCATTCCATAACATAACTTAATATCACGCCTTTTATCCTGAAGGGTAGGCAGAGGTGCACATTGCGGCATTTAATGCCACTTGTACAATGTAACACCCACTTTTAACTACTTATGTTATAAGGAGTCCCATGTAATAAGGAGTGAGCCTATTGCTATATACCGGGCATATTTCCAGACTCCGTACTACTACAGAGATTTTTTTTTAAAACCCCGTAATACTTTGCCCGACCCGGGAATCGAACCCGAGAGTCCTTGCCCGTTGCGAGAGACATATCGGGCGTCCGTAAACATGGGTCTGCAGACGGCGAGTACGGGACACTCGCCACCCGACCAGAGTGCTTACTCTTGAATCCAATCCCGATCGATCGACATTGGTGTTGTGAAATTACGTACTCTTGAGTTGCAACACTAGCGCCGATTGCATCCGTATTGCGTGGATATTTAATGAACTAAATGGTATTGAGTTTGGCTTTATATTCCGTACTCTGAATGTTATTTTAACAGCTTCGATAGGGTTTGTATAGTTTTGACATTGAATAATTGTTGAGATTGTATTGGATTGAAATTACATTGACATTGAGATTGGTTTCTAGAGTAAGCACCCTCAAGGAGCGATCAGACCACCATAGATGGGGCCCAACAGGGCTGATGCCGATACGGAGCCGCGGAAGACTTAACGGGATGCCGGGGCTCCGGATCGAAGTGCAGGAGTAGGAACGGGGTGGTTTTTAGTCAGTAAGAGTCTGACACTCCCTCCCGCCTCACCCAGGGGGTAGAAGTTATTGGAGGTTTCTCCCCCCTTTAATAAAAAAGACCCCTTGGCCGTCTGTTGCACTTGCGACCACTCGTCTAATGAGGCAGTTAAGGTTAGGTACTATATGTTGTTGCTTGGACTAGTTTTACATAGGTATAACTACCCTGCTATGTATTATGGTATAGTGTGATTGATGCGTTATTTGTTCCTATGCCTGAAATAACTGATTTATTATTTACTAGCTTTTACCCACGGCTTCGCTCGCGTCACAAAAGGATAAAAAGTAGCCTATATGACATATACCAATACACACAGCGCCATCTATACCAATACTTTTGTTTTCCCTCGGAAATATCACATTTTTCGGGGATAAAAAGTACCTACCCTATTATTTAATCCGGACTTCTAACTTTACGTCTGTAAAAATTCAAAGCAATCGGTTTAGTAGTTACGGCGTGAAAGCGGAACAAACAAACAAACAAACTCACTTTCCGACTTATAATGTTAGTAATGATAAGGACTATAGTTAGTACAGACTTTATTATAATTTCAGGTAAGTAGCCAGTTATATATTTATTTTAAAGCAAGCCAATACATTTTCAGTGATAGGACACGTTCACGACACAGATGTGCTGTTTACGTACCTGCATAGGTACAATCACTGGGTATATAAATATTAAAAACCTCGTACAATGTTTTCTAAATTGTCAAGGTGATAAAAACACGACTAACGATGGTCCTAATAGCTTCTAGTAGCAGATACACTTTAAATACTAGTCGTACATGTGTGACTCGGCTCGGCAGTCGCACTTGCGGTCACCCAATCTTTAAGGCAGTTAGTACTAGTTAATTGGTATTTAGGTATAATTTTTTGGATTTCTCTGATATTCTATACAGCACGTGTCTATTTAAGTGCTCTGCTCGTATTTTTTTTTTATTTTTTTTTTAATGGGACAAGCCCGCCACAACCTCCCAAAACCGCTGCAACTCCTGTAAGCCAGGATCTACAGTAGATACAACCATGAAAACACCGGAACACTGAAGTCCGGCGCGTCCCAGGGACATGAGTAACTGTCTTGGTTCCCGCAACGAAATGAATCAGAAGATATTATAAGACGAGAAGAAAAAACTATAGTTTCCACTTCCCTCGGTGAATTTCTGCAGGAGACAGAATGAATTAAGCCTAAAGGCACAAAGAAGAGACTGTACAACTGGGTGAAGCCCAGTCGCCAAGCACCACGGAAATTTGACTAAAAAACTAAGTGGGTCCTATGTGTGAGCTGTTATACTTGCTTCCAATAATAGGTATGGCAAAAACGCCTAAACGCACGGAAATTTGTTCTAGATTCCACAAGGTCCGTATAATGCTCTGCTCGTATAGGTACTGTAGCAAATTGATTAATCAAAGCTTACACCCTAAGTACTTTGAAGTGGATTTATCATCGCGTGCTTCTCTACCTATTCCCGCGACACAAGCCGTGCCTAAAAAATTACTAAAAATTGGCCTGCTTCGCTTCCTCACTTTAGCACAAATGTATCGTGTGCTTATTTATCTATTTTTTCTTTTCTATATTATTCCATCAGTGTTATTAGCTAAGTGTGTTTTGTTTGTGTTTTGCTGGCCACCAGTTTACCACTTCCCATTTATGGATTAGGTCTAGGATCGAGTAGTTTTTTTAAGTGTGGGAGAGTCATACTTCTGCACGAATAGGCCGACTCGACCGGAGTGATACCACGGCCTCACAGAAAACCGACGTGAAACAACGCTTGTGTTGTGTTTCGTTGTATGAGTGAGGTACCGGAGGCAAAATTATCCCTCCCCTTCCCCAATCTACCCAATCCTTGAATTTCCAACAATCCTCAAATTCCTAATCACCAAAACGCCGGTAACGCACATGTAACGCCTCTGCTGTTCCAGGTGTCCATAGGCGACGCCGATTGCTTACCATCAGGTGATCCGTCTGCTTGTTTATCGGCTAGTCCCATAAAAAAGGATTATAAATAACGTCTTAGAATAAAACAAAACATTACTAAATATTATGTTTATTGTGTACATTGCTTTTAAGCTTCATCGACACCTTATGATTAATAACATAAATACATTAAAATTTATCGTATGACGTCCCAGTTAACATAACTATGACGTTTATACATTTGAGGCACTCTTGTTTTAAGGTACATACAATACTTAACTTATTTACGTATTATGTAAGTTGTTCAGTCAAGACACTGTTTGACCACAGTCGACTTTACCTAGTGACAAGCCCGTCACTACTTTTAACTCAGTTAAAAGAAAGAGATCAGTGACCTAACATAAAATTGCAATTATTATTTGTCTGGATGAAATGTAATTACAGATCTTATGTGCTTGGGGTGAATAAATAAAAGGAGATCGAGTAGATCTTATATAAATACGATAACTTTAATTGTTCGAGACATATGCATGGAAGAGTTTCATGTCAACTCTCATTTTAGTGTTGGAGATAAATGCAATATTTTCGGTGTTGCTGCCTGCTGCAGCGTATATCTGCTTATTGTATTAAGATTGTAATTCGCCACGTGTTCAAAAGAACTCGCAAACTGAAGGAAACCTCGACACAACATCGAATATAATGCTATCTCGCTGAGGCGGCTGAAGCCAGTGCTGTGGACACTTCCATGTTTCATTTGATCCATTTAATTTCATCAATATCTATTTTATATGTTAAAAAATCGTTAAACTTAATATGTACATACACAGATACGTAAGAGTTAATGAAATTCTAATTACGTCAGTACCTATAGGTACCCACATATGCCTTCATGAATTTCATTTACATTTTCTTAAAAAATATCAATAATTAGTACATTTGAATTTTCTTATTTTATTATGTAAGTATGTGATCTTAAATAGTAATTATAAATGTTATTTACATATTTCATTTAATATAAATTTCAATATAAATAACATTTGATTTTAGTGTGTAGTGTAGAGGCACTTGATAGCTAGTCGTGTCTACATGCATAGGTAAGCTACAGTTATATAAACTTATACACACACATCTCAACTCCCACAGTCATATCGAACTAATATGTACTAGATATGGTTACCTTGATTAACGTGATAAATGCGAATGTGTTTGAATGTTTGATATCCAAATAGGAAGAACTACGCAACGAATCTCTAAATTTGTAAAATGTTGTTTATTCCGTCTTTGTTTTAAAATGAAAGAACTCAGAGGCGCCTTTGCACATTTCATTTAGAGTCTGAGATTACTTTTGTCTTAGAACTACAACTAGGTACTACATACATAGCTATGACGAGATTCGTATTATACCTACGGAACATACTAAATTGCGTAGGCACCATTCATAAGAGTTACGTAGCCCACGTGTCTTCCGTTAGATTAGCTCGCCGGAATGCGAATAGAGGCACTAGTTTCAGGAGCAGCTGCGCAGTCGCAGCGCTGAGTGTGATTGTATCGTGATACCGCGTGGTGTGGTGGTGGCGCTGTTAGTTGCCCGAGCCATAGTCGCGCAGCTCGCGGTTGCCGAGCGGCAGCGTGGGCCTGTAGTTGTGCAGGACCTCCATGGCCTCCGTGCCGCACGACGCCTCCCCGCACTTCAGTTTCCGCATCGATGCCAACTGAAATCCAATCAGTTTTGCCATTAATTTACAATGGTTTTTACAGTTAACTTTTTTGGTACGAAGTAGCACAAGAGGAAGTTAATTTAAAACTGTAATTAGAGTCCGCGTCGAACGTTTGTAAATTCTTTCTAGCAAGCAATCAGGCGTTACTGCAATATGCATTTAGAAACATATTCCACATGATTATTTGGAAAGTAGATGCTAAAGTAGGTCATGCGCGGATGTCTGCTATTATTTGGTCCGTAGATACTTGACCGTTTTGTATATCGAAAACCGGTAACTACCGACATATCGTTTAGGTAGTAGCTGTATGTTCTGTTGCATCATACGTTCAAGTACTTACCTACTTACATACATTTGTAATTTGATAACGACTTTTTTAAACTAGTTACTAGAGTCAGGTCGATAACAAATTCAAAGTAGCGGCAAAGAACATTTCAAGTCAACAACTTATTTCGAAATTAACTTTCCTCTTGAGATGACTCATAACTTCATCCAAGTTAAAATAAGAATCTCATAAATTTGTCATAGCGGAAAATAGACAATAATCGTAGGGAAGTATTTTCATCTTGAAATAGTTAAGTTTTGTCGTCACATGCTAGGTAAATAGATATGATCTATCTGTCTACTTGAGCATTATCAACTATTACAAACATGACGAGGAATCACTATCGAACACTATAATTAAACTAAGTATCTTGGGTGCGTTGTAAATGTTTTTTTCAGATGTCACACTTACTTGATCAGCGGACACTTGTACTGGCTGCTTGAACAGGATCCAAGTGACGGATTCAGTGCAGGGTGGGGTGGTGAGGGAACCAGGGTATGTCCAGTACGCGTACTGGGACGGAAGCAGCTTCACGGGGTCCAGGGGGTCAGACAGGGTCACCTTGTCGTTCTTATGCGTAATGAACGGGAGCAACCGAATCACTTTGTCCAGTTCGTCATGCTTTGAACCGACCTGTAAAGTCAAATAAAAATGTATAAATACATAGGTAAATAAAATACTAAACAATGTTATCACTGCATACGAAAATTCAATTCAAGAACTAAGGACTTTAGACTTATTGTTGCTATAATTCGCTACACTTACAGTGGTATTGTTGAATAACGTGTTTATGAAGTAAAATTTAAATGAGACTTATTGTATTCAGATTGCGACCTGTTACCGAGGATTATATTAAAATAGCTGAAGTAACAACCTAACTGACTAAGCTAGATATTACCTGGCATATTTTAACAGGAAAATTATACATCTCAAGATTGATATTACGTAGGTTACATTTTGTAGCTATAATTTTCTAATGACATCTTCATAGTCATTTAACTCCCCACCTTTAATTTATTACGCTATTAATGTCTATAAGTAGACGCTCAGGTTAGGTATCTACATGCGCTATGTGCAATACAATAAAGAACATAATGCAGTTAACAGGATTTAGTAGTCAGGCTTCGGTGACATAATAGCCTTCTTCACATAAAAGTGCAATACATATTATTGGCTTAGCAGAATCTCTTTAGTTTCATGTACTAAGTACGTATTTTGAAACACTTCTAACAACCAGACTGCACTAGCAAAAACATGAGAATTCAATTACAAAATAACGGTTTTGTCATAGGAATAAAATACACATAAAAATCCCGCATATAGCTACTAGACAAAGTGACGCTCGCAAATCTGAATCCACATTAAGGGTGTTGCATATTAAAACGTATTCAAATATTTACAATATTTACATAGGTAGGTACTAGCTGAACGCCGTAAAATACTAAAATTGTAAACAGTTCCAAAATAATGTGAGAACTAATTATTGTAGTTGGTTTGAGTCATACATATAAATCGAATCTTGTTTTTGCATAATTATTCATGTTTCCAGTAGTAGGTAATAGGTGTGTACGAAAGTGATGTTTGTGTAGGTACCTATTTGTAGCTCCGAAACGGCTGAACGAATTTTAATGATTTAATAAGGTTGACTGGTAGAGAATGCCATATGGCATTAAGTTCGCCTTATGTACCATAAACAAATTATGTACATTAAAGAATAAATAAATAAATAATGAGATCAAAACAGGATTTTCGGTCCAACGTGGTTGAAAAAGCAATCGTGGGTAGTTTACATGTTTACTCTCTTCTCTATAAAAGAGAAAAGATACGATTGCTTACATTTAAAATATTTTTTCAATTGACCATTACAACGAAATACTTTCCAGGAAGTTAGGAAGGAATTTTCATTCCGATATTTTTTTACAATCGAAATCTATTAAAATCCGCACAGCCGAAGCCGCTGGCGCTGAAAGTGTTATAGAGGTATAAAGACAGTAGAGAAAGATCCCGTCGTGAAGTGGTGTTAAAAGAAATGTTTAAATTATCTTATTCTTATTATATTGTCAAAGTTGTAGTTGCGCCGTTGTTCGCATTTGACGAGAGAAAGTTACTCTGTAGTGTGAAAGAGCTCATTATCGCACTCATCTCTCACTTATAAAAGGTAGCCATGTATGAAATCAATTCACTTTGTGATTTTAATCTAATATTTTATATTGAACGCTACTGGTTATAGTAATGGAAAAGAAATACTTACTAGATACGTTATGATAAACATTTATGAAAAATTCTATGTAAGTATACATACCTACTATTATAGTACATGCATGAAGTACATGGACATGTAAACAAATTACTATTGAGGGTTAAATTTAATAGCTTGATGAATTTCTAGCAAGACTATCGTGTACAATCACATAATGAATAATCTCATCATCCATTGCCAAACAATAAAAAATAAACTTTTATCAGACGACTGTAGTCTCTCTCTCTAATAACATTTTTTAATTGAGCGTCTATACAGTCTGACCTAGACACGTATATTTTCTCCTATACGTTATATCGTCTATTGCATAATACAGTTTTATTGAATACATTATGCTGATTGTGTGAACTTGTAAAGAGCATTCAGGTAAACAACCGCTTCACTGACTCAGTACTATGTACAATGTAGGCTTCTTATTTAATTTATGTTTGTGTACTAAGAATATGTCGATGAAACATAACATAAGACTTGTAATATTACAGAGGGTTAGCTAAGTGAATACAACTTCTCGTGATTAGTCGCGGTTAACAGGTAAATAATGAGGTTTATGAGTTTACGACCAATTAGCACATTCATAAACTTTGCTAAATTTTTTTATGATAAAGCGACACTACCTTCGTAAAACTTAAATGACTCACCATTAATAGTACGCCTAGAACTGCAAGTCCATCAGGCTGTCCGGCAGCTTCTTGGAAGCTGTTGTACTTTGTAGTGTTCCAGTGCACCAGGTGCAGCTCTCCGGAGAAGGAGCGGCCGTCCACGGTGTGCTCTGAGCCTTCACCATTGACTGCGCCCCAGTGGCAATGCCACTGCTGTAGTTTATACACGTCATGGCCAAGAGGGCCGCCTCGTAATTCTGCAAAAAACCGGTTTATTATATTTTGAGAGTTTGTTCACTTAAGTGCATATGAAAAGCAATAAATTGCATTTATAACGTTGAAAGTTATAAAATGAATTTGTTGTGCAAGCAGCCGTAGAGTTATAATAAATTGAATCGGATCATGCACGTTCATATAAGTATTAATGATGTCGGGGGATAGGATTAAAAAAGGGTTAGAAGTAGTTAGGACTGACGTCATTCAAAGTGTGCAAAATCCCCCAATGAGGTAGGGTAGGAACCCTTTCATTTTCAGGATATTTAATGTGCACATGCAAATAGGTGTTCCCGAAATTGCGTGGGACAGGAACGAATGATACAGTGAGTCACCGCGAGGGGTACACCGCGCCGCCGCGTCGCTCATCGTGTCGATGGAAATGCAAATTGGCCGTCACTTTACACGAGGACTTGCAACTTCCTTTTACACGTTCATCATTTAATCCATTGGAGTTATTGCAGTATAAGCGTTGTCGAATACAAGTCATGTTGATAGGTCATATTAAAGTACTCCAGTCGTATGACCATAGGACACATGATAATTATGTGTCATTAAAATGTTCAAAAAAAACCATTTTGAAGTGATAACCTTGCAAAGCAGTTTTTGTCGAGTTGTTTTGTATTATAATTTACATCAGCAAAACTATTAGTGCTTCCTGCATGAATGGCTCGCGTTATTTATAGGAATATTTAGATTTTTGAATAAATAATATGGTTGTAATAAAATGTATATGTTGCTCTGCAATACAATCAGCTACAAAAACAAAAGGCAATAATAGTACGAAAAGTATATTGGCATTATTTGCGGTGTAGTGTTAGTTGTCATAAAACCAGAGAAGACTGTAATCCTTGCTTTACCTACAGTTTTGTGCTCTTAGAAGACACGATCAAAGCTGGACCATTTAGATTTTTGTTTTTGCAAAAACATAAATTTTTGAAGCCGGCTCCGAATTCCGAATCAGGAAACTTGGCAGCTAATGGTATTTTAAAGACGAATCAAAATACATGTCTCAAAAACCGAGAAGGTGAATTTATGTGCTAGGCATTAAACATACCTGACTCATATCCATTCTCGTCTACTCTCCAGCAGTAGCCGGGGTTCACAACAGATCGGGGATGATTGACGGAGTATTTGAACTTGAGGGCGGGCGCGCTCCCTCCACTGCTTATCCTCGACGTGTCGATGTCTACTGGACTCTGCCGGGCGCCGCGTGCTTCTGGGAACTTCTCCGTCCATGTTGAAGGACCTGCAAATTGAACAAGTTATTATAGACGTAAACTCCTTTCTCATCGCTTTGCGGTTCGAACATGGTTTTTCCAATTTACAAGAACTGCATAATAATGAAGTCTTTCTATCCTAGCACTAGCAAGTCATCGTTTTCCTCCGTGCATAAGATATTAACATAGTCTACTTAACTAGTCGTTCAGTAGAAGGGTTGTCACAGCGTCTAGTTTAGTGAGATTTTCCTGACATAGTAATACCAAAATAGATCAGCGATTAAAAATCGTATTAAAGCGTACGCGGCTTGTACAAGTAACTGTTGTTTTTTGTTTGCCGTTCATTGACACACAAACATTAGGCCGATTGTTAACTGACCCAGAAGTGATACTGGACTACTGGACCAGCTGATCTGATAACTGACGATATCATATAATGACACTGGTTATTTATAGGAGACATGTTTTTATATCTCGCTTATTCTGGAAAGGATGTTCGTGGCATCGTTATTTATTCAATGGATCTGTTTAGAACCAAAATATATGGGGATTATTTTAATTTTAAAGTAGTCTAAAGCAAAAAAATAATATTTCGTTATTTTTCAAAGGCAACCATTTTTTGTACCTATAGATACTTATCTTATTAAGATAATTATGTGTCTACAGCTACTGTGCAGTTGTTGTGACCAATTTTACGTAGTTATGACCTACCTTCATGACTTTAAGGAAGGAAAATAATATTCAGTACCTAAACATCACAGTGATTTTCTGTTTTCTCGTTTAATTTTCTTTCAAATATGGTAAGGTTTGGATCAAAACATTTTAAATCTTCTATTAATAATTTGTTTCTGGTTATTAAAAGTTGACAGCAAACATATGACATTGCGTAAACTAAACAAAAGGAATAGAAAGTCGGTACCAACATACATAAGATTGTATAATACCATAGCTATCTACTTATTAAAATTCTAAAGTCATCCACAAAGGAATTCCCAAGTTTAGAGTAGTATTCAGTTCATGTCATCATGATTATCATTAACTAATTCCGTTCTGAACTGGTATTTAATTATAATTTTTGCGGTTAATTAACTTTTAAAATCGGCTTATATCACAATTGTTAAATGTCTCTTAATCGCTAGATAAACAGGTTTATTTAATTATGACTGTAGATGACCACAAAGTACCGATTTACCTGGTATTTTCTTTTGTAATATTTCTGTACATTTCATCGACAGAAAAATATCGCAAAAACTCCCACAAAGTAATGTCTAATGAAAACCACGTGTGCGTAGGAACTCAATAAGCGTCATTGTCGCGTCATCAGCGTCATTTAGTTTACTGCCAAGGGGGCGTGGCATTACCTATTACTAATTAAGTAGGAATCTACCAGAATGTTTACATATTAGTAAAAATAACATAAAATACGGAAACACCCTAATTTTGTATATTGTTTTCTTCACCAAGCCCCCGTACAGCGAAAGCTTCAAGTTTTAAGTTAAAGATTTATGTAGACTTGATTAAGACATCACGAATATCATAAGTTTTCGTAAAGTGTATTTGTTTAAGCGCCCGTCTCAACGTGAGAGATGAGTGAACACCTCTCGACACACGAATGATGGGCTGACAGCTTGTTTAACTATCACATTAGTGTTATCTTATCAGGAAGCCACCGCACGCTGCTCTACTTAGAAATACTTAAAGAAACATTTTTATAATGATGAATCCCTGTCTTATGTTTATGATTTCCAAACATATGGATGTGACGAGAGTTTGTTATCGGATTTTGAACGTCAAAATATTTAATTTCGTGAAAATAAAGTAAGCCGTGGAGTGATGCTTTTAAAACTCAAGTGTTTGACGTACTTGGTAGGTCTCGAATGGCTTTCTATGTTCGTAACGTTATTTATATAGTAGTATTCGTATTAGGATGTAGTTTAGTATCGAGTGACGATCGTCCCACGTCTAGTTCCGATTCACTCGGAGGCCACGGGCATGAACTTCCTAACGCGTAATTTGTGAAAGTTTCAACGATAACGTTCGCAAGTCTCGCTCGCAATACTTGTAAATATTTTTTTGCTTATTACCAGCCGTCTATCGTGTCAAGATATTCTTTGGCTAGGTATTTCCGAGTGTTATGCCAATTCTTATTTTTATGTTAACTTATTTATAGCTACATACTCATTGTTAATAACAAAATGTCAAGAAACACTTCTTAATGACCTTTCCGAAGTTTTATTGTGGTTTCAATTAACCGTTTTGTTTTTAAACTGGTAAAATGAATTGGTTAAGGTTAACGTAATAAAAAAGAGGTTAAAAACGAGCGTAAACAATATGAAGGTATGTTGTTGATACCACCTGTATTTTTTTATTTTTTGCAGTCGATGGAACGCAAATCAGTCGTGAAGGTTGTCCAGTATAAATATCCATAGATAATGTAGCCCACATTGGCGGCAATGTTCATGAAAATAAATATGTACCGGTCATTTAACAATTGAGCCCGCTCGGACACCGGATGCGCGTGTGTCAATAACAATCACCAATACCGATATTGATCATATACACCGATACCTATAATAACTAGGGATATCTTTCACTCTATACATATTGCAAATTAGACGTATATGTCATTGATCTCATTAAAATATCCGTGATGTTATGTAAACAACACATAGGAAACAGTATGTTTCAGTTTTGTATTTTCCTATATTTCCTAGTTTTATATATTTTCATGTCCTAAGTAGGTATCTATATAATGTTTCCTAGTTTCGTTCCCATGTCATTTAATCGAGGGCTCGGGTGTCTGGGTACGGATGACATCTATCTGTGTTGAAACTCGGATCATGCAGATGTGGTAATGATTGCATCCCGCTCTCGTCCGTCACCATACTGACTGCATCATCACCGTCCGATATAAAATCTGTGTTCAAAGCTCAATAATAATATAGACAGGTTTACTGCCTAGTGAGGATCGTCTATTTGTATGGTTCCGATGTGGTTTGTTAATTTACTTTATAACTCTACATCTGTTCAATTAGCAACAGGTCCATTTGCTATGAAACTTGAAAAGAATAGCATTTGACAACTGGCTTTAAATGTCCATCCTCTTCGGTAAACATTGGTATGATGTTTAAGAATTATCGACTTTACGTCGTCGCTTTATCGTATATATTGCAACTATTTTCCCACATTTTCGTAGAACCGCACCGCCTACGTAATATTCAGCTTAATTAATCTTTTGTTGTACTTGACCACAATTCGACATTAAACCAGATGATTCATTCAATGTACATATTAAATTGTAGCACTGAATCAATTACTATTTATAAAGTATGTTACGAAAACATGTTGCAGTTAGTGCATCCAATTGCAATATTTACTAAGCTACCTCTCGATAAAACGTACATAATTTGGTTGAAGGTTAGGTCGTAGATTCTTTGGTTTAGTTTACATTTTGTACTCAAAGATTAATTCCGAAATTCCACTGACCTATCGTACCGTTTCTTAGACAAGACACGCATAGAACAACGCTTCTTGCGCTTTGTTTACGTAAAGCGTGTGTACAATGTCAAAGGTTATACATACTAAATGTACGGTTAACAAAGAATTATTTTAAACCAATTTCGTTCTAAAATAATTGCAGTACAAAACATGTGTTTGCAAAATTACGATCGCAACGTAACATATTGAATTAAAACATCTGTGTTCATAAATACAGTGTTGTACCTACCTAAGCCACGCTAGGTACCACGTGTTATTACTTACTGTTCCTGTTGATACCACGTAATCTTTCGTTAGAGTAGGTACATTTTTTGAGATAAGTGTAGGTACTGTTTCCTGTGTTTGTTTTAATTTGGCATGTTTACGAACATATTTTAGGTATAATGGTCAGTTATTTGTTTATATTTGTGTATGTATCGGGAGTTTTACGGATGGTTCATTAAATAATGATTATCCGATGATGTGAGGGCCGAGTAGCTGTGCAGAGTGCACGTCACGAGCGTGCAGTCGCCTCCGACCTCGGCCGCACTTATCTCTCACAGATTTATTTGCCTACTTTTACAAGTGCCCTCGGATTGTCGCCTTCATTGAATCTGTGCTCTCTCCCTTACACATTATCTTAGTTAACATTTGACATTTTCGTCAGGAAGTCCATTTCAGTAGGTCACTAAAGGTGATTAAGTTTTATAGTAGGTATATTCACCTTTAAGTGAGTAATGGTATAAACCTGTGCGGTTAAGTATTGGGGAAGCGGTTGGGACTTTAACCCGCTCGTGATGTAAATTACTGTTCCGAATGGCTGTAAACATTCGCTATCTTTTGCAATGTCACTGAGACTTAATAACACAAGTATATCATATAATAAGATAATAGTCTGTATTGTACAAGCCTCTATTTACAATCTCAGCCTCAACCTCGGAAAGGCAACGGTAATGAACTAAGTTGAACCGTTTATACAGCGTGTGCATGCAAAATGAATCTGCAGGTGCGACAAAGATTCGTTTTACAAAGTTGTGTTAAGTAAAAACTTACTAAAATTGGTTAAAATCATGGTTTAATTTTAGCTAGAAATTAACGTGAAAACCTATTCAGTGGTTAATACATTAAATGAATATGAAAATATATCGGTGACAATATAACGAGAGCAGACTGTAGTTGCATGCTCATGCCATACGTCTACGACTAGATTCGCACGGTCACACGCTACAATTCAATTCATGCGCAAGTGAATTGCGAGTGCGAGGTCCAGAACACCGAAGTAATTTAGCACGACAACGTAAGATTATAATTATTTCCTTATTGAGTTAACAGATGATAGAAAATATGAACCGATTAACCTTCGTTTCCGTAATGGAGCGACACGGACGAGGCCGTCACTGTCAGTCCGCCAGGCTTTGGACGATAAAACAAAAACGCCTACTAACTCAAATCAAGAAGAACATTAACAATGTCAGTTAATTCTCAATTTATTCACGCACCTATTAAAAAGAGGTTTTTACTTTTTGCGTAAGAAGAGAATCTTAGTACATAGCCACCATGTATTTAGTGACAATTGGATGAGGGACGAGTCCGCCTCCAGTCTCATCATTGTTCAATAATGGCTACTGTGAACTCTAATAACCTGACATTAGCTACACGCTATCAAACAGTACCTATACAACCATGTATTATTTACAATCGTACACATAATACATATGTACCAACGTCATAGGTATATCCTGCAGTTTTTTCTGCGTGTTTTTTAAGGCAGTGTGTCATCAGATATAAGATGTTCATGATTACGGCTCCGCAACTATGTACTTGGATACTTATAAATATTGGTTGTATCATTACATTATTTATGGTTTTATTCAGTTCTAAAAGGCTTTAAGATATTCGTAATTACCTTTTAAACTTCAATGACTAAAGTATTAAGGTCATATCTAGATAAGTACTAAATGTTCGTTATTGGAAACTGGATAAAACTGGCGATTTTCTTTGCATAGTTTCAAAACAACTTATTTAATACACAAGCTCAAATTTCTGTTATATTTTAATAAATCCTGATATTACCATGATAATGTTCGATGGTGGAGTAAATTATCATTTAGTTTTGACTGACTAATTTGTCTGTTAGCTGTGTTGGTCGACGTGTAAACATTTATTGTAGGACATTTTGTTTGTTCGAGTTTAGTCATGTGGAAATATTTTTTGCCACCAAATTCGCGGACTAACCAATTCGATGAAACTAAAATCAAATATGTACATCGATTAACTTGTATATAATAATTGATAAATAAATAATTTCTATTGAGTGTTACAATGAAGCGTAAAACATTGTATTTATTTTTGTTGTTCGCGTTATGTAGAATACGGTTACTTATGTAAAATACTTCGGATTTTACTAAAATCATGTATTTACTTAAGACATATGGATGTGTGAAAACTGAAAATTTAAAGAAAATCGAGCTCTATGCAGAATACGATAGAAGTAGATTTAAATTAGTCAAAGAAATTAAGTTTTTTTTTTGTCTAAACAGCTATTTATTGTCATCATTTTAGCTAAACTGTCGTTATTGTAATCGGTTTTTATACGTGTCTAGTTGGCCAATTACTTAGCTGTACGCGAAGACAGCGCTTGGGTAATGGAGGCTCATACAGATGAGATGGATTGCATGTATATTAAATGTTTTATTCATCCCATATTCACCCTATGTCTACAATTGATTGGAAGAGGACACAGTGTCTCGTCTACAAACACGTGGAATTTTCGAGGGCTTTGAACGAACATGTTATTTGTGAGTCCTGCAATGTGGCACAAGAACGCGTGGATAATAGATGTATATTTAACCATGTAGCACCAACAATGTTTTCAATACAGAACTCGTCACATTTCATAAAACGGAAGCAAAAGATTTATTGCTACAACTGAAATAGTTGGCGGACAGTTTTTTTGGAGTTTATTGGATTATGAGCAAACGGGTCAAATTGTCATGTTGGTGGTCAACGAGCCATAAACATTTAAGTATGTGACGATTACGAAACGTAAAGTGTCCATGAATAAACGAACCTTCAGTTGTACGCGATAGGTTTTAGAATTGGTTTAGCAGCGCTCAATTCGGGGCAGTGCTAAATAGAGCGGAGTATTTATCCTTTTGGCATTTTTTTCTGTGAATTGTGTTTGTTACATTGATTGCACCTAATTTATGATTACAAAAAATGAGTAATTAAATAGATGATTGTCATTAAATGGCCATTATGCGACCGATTTCATTGTTCGAATGGAGGCTCTAGCAGGGATCTGTCATAATATTCATCTTTATGCTGCCTTCGCAATTTCACATCTATAGGAAATTAAACTATAACGTGTAACCCTTGTCTACGTTTTTATTGTTCTTCGGTGTATTAAAGATTGTATGAAAAATAATACTTTCGTGCTTGTGCATAATACGCCATGAAAAAATAATGTTACCTTTGCATAGATAAGAGTCTAACGGCGCATGTAAAACACGTCTTATTGTGATCATGCAGCGTTTGAACAATCTATGCAGAAACACGGATACACGCTGTAAAACGAGTAAAAATTAGAAACAAAGCGAATTGTTTTCTGCAAATATATGTACCCAACAGTTCTATACTTAGAAGATAATAGGATAATATCTAGTAGTGAAAAGTATCTACATAATTACTGTAATATGAAAAGAAACTGGCTGTAATATCTCTATTTGGTTATTAAGATTTCAGTTTGAAACAACCAAAAGAAAGTTAACCGTCCCGGATCGACTTGAATTGATAGCTAATTGTTTGCCATTTTACAATTCAAATTAGTTACATTTTATTTTAAGCGATTGGATAAAACGAAACACTTTTTAGAATTGAATTGAATTTTAAGGTAATGGAGATACGTAAGTAAATTTGATATTGTTAGGATTGTGGTGGATTGTGTTGTCTACCACTTCTTTATTTCGCTTTGAGGTAGTCATTGGAACGAAACCCATTGTGTGGCCTCTATTGTTACGGTCAAAAATCTGGTCAGAGTTCAGAGGTAAAAGAGATAGATTTAGTCACGATATGGAATTATTAGATACAGCCTTAATTTTTCTTTTAATTTCGTATATGTTAAAATAATAAACAATTTTTAAAAGTTCACAATTTTCACAGATGTGAAAAATCATCCATTACTATAAACTAAATATAAATATACTTATCTAAAATTTTCGCTTTATATCCTTTTATCCAATACTAATAAATCAGTTTAATTCCATAAATATTTATCAAGTAGATGATTTCTCGATGATCCGATGACGTACTTTTAAAATTCAATTTGACAAAGATTAATTTGTTTGAACTATTCTCGAACGATTCAATGAAAAAGGAAATAGGAACGAGACAATACATTTGATTGATGGCTGTCATTGAAATCCGAAATAGACAAACGTGTGACTTGACGTTACTTTGTGTATAAAGACAAAACGAAGAAGTGTAACAAAACTGAACTATGATAAGCAAAAGATGTCTAATTTTGAACATTTTTGGAAAAGATCACAAGACATTAGTCACGGTAAATAAAGCGGCTACCGTGAATTCTTTCATGACTCTTAGACTACTTAACATAATAATGAATTTGCCTCAGCGAATACTTAGATATTGTTAGAAAAACCACATTCATTAAACATTAAAGCAGAGAAGTCGTACTATTAATGAGTTACGCGACAAACATTGTTACCCACTTGCTGCCTCAATGGCTCTGATTGCAGTTCATTTGAAGTATTTCTATATTAATAGTACGTCACTCTAAGATACATTAGTACCTAATAATAATTCGATACAATAATGATTTTAAAAATGTTTTCATTTGAAGGATCAGAACAGCGTAATTTTTTGTTCACTATCGGTGCATATTGTTTTTCGGGTTTTTCGGATAGATGCTAAATATGATCTAACAATTACATTTATTAGCTTTAAGATTACCGTTTACCAGGTAACTGTTTATATTTTTCTTACAAATGTTGGTTATATAAAGAATTTATTAAAATACAATCAAAGAAATTAAAACGAGAGCAATAGTATCAGAGAATATTTATGTCACGGCGATTTGAATTGTAAGGAATAGGGTATTTTTTTAATATTTTTCCTGCACTTTGTTACATCAGGTCAGGTTTGTGTCTTGAGCTCTCAACAATCGAGACTCGAGACGTATAAGGATTTGCGGGCTTTTGGATCTTTTTGGCGTCGAACTGGTTTGCCTCCAGCGTTTCACGATAAAAGTTGTTAATACAAAGAAGGCAATTGGTGTATCGTACTAGTACAGAAGAAGTTTCATTAGTGGAACCGGCTTACCGAACGGATTTAAGTAGGCCAGCCATCGCCTCACGCAACTCCACGCCAACTCTTGGCACCAATTTCTGATTTTACGTAAAAAACTCTTTTGTTTTACTATTACAAATAAATATTTATCTCGGTTTTAAAGCACATTTTGCGTGTAGCCGCTAAGTTCACGTATGTATGTTAAGAATTAACAAAGTCAACAACACGGACCTAAGCAATAAACGATTTCGTTAGCTTTACCTTTGTAAATGACGTACATACAAATACTAAGTAATTAGTTATTATTGTGAATAACCGAGGCGGATAGCCGTTCAGTAAATAAGATACAGATATTCATTCATTTCGTGCCATTTAATTAAACAAATAACGTAATCGCATTCCAAATAATGTTCGGATCATGAAATCAACAGGTGTTACAAAACATATGAATGAAACTAATTTAGATAAAGTTTGAAACAAACCACATTACGTCAATGGCGAACTTATTTAGTTGTTCACTGTCATGTTTTATCTTTCCACGGTAATGTACTGATAAATAATACGGTTTTGCTCTGATTGCAGCGATGTGCATAGCGAAAGTATCATCTAATGTCAGCTTAACTGTTATCAAAAGTAAACACGGCTACTGGAATAGGAACCCTTCTTGTACATATAGCATGTACTTAGTTTATAACTTTTAACTAGTTGTTCCAAAATTATCATTGTTCAAAGTACACTTCAGTGTTTGCTCTAAGTATGCATCCGAAACAACACAATATTCAGAAAACACACTTTATCACTGAATCCGGATTGAAAAATCAGAAGTTAGCTTTTCGGAGTTTTATTTACATGGTGTCACGTGCCTCGATGTAAACAAACCGGTCCGCGCCGCTCGCTGCACTTAACATTGAGGTTGGACTCACCGTTCTCGCCGCTGTATCCCCAGTCGTTTTCTGCCATTGTTGCTGAGATGTTTATCTGGTGATGATTACTTCCTTCCTTGAGGCGAGTTGCGAGTCAAGTGTTTCGCGGGGTAATGTATGTCGCGTGTCAGCGGGGTGCACGAGTGAGTGGTTGGGTCGTGACTGCGTGCGAGTGTTCGCGCCGGCTAGTCTTTATAGAAAGGCCGCCGTCGGGTGAGACGCTGAGCGGTCGCAGACGCGGGCGCGGGCGCGGGAGCAGACGCGTCGCGGGCTGGTCGCGGACGCGGGACGAGAGGCACTGGCACGCGCGCGCTCCGCCGGCCCACTGCGCGCGCGACGCTGCGCATGCCTCGCTCCGCCCCACCGTGTGCCTTTCTACCTTGTTTCTACTCACCATTCGTAATTACACTATTTACTCATCAAATACATTACCACATGTCAATGTCAATAATACGCCGCATTCCCATGCACATGTATTTATTGTAAGAGGCCGCCGCCCCCGAGTCTATTTACTACGGCTCCCAATTTTCAGTCGACAGAGAGGGCAATATAATCAAAGCCAAAACAATCGCGCGTTTCGGTGCCCCAAAATTTTTAATTATGCGTGTAGAATATTTAAAGCACGATTCGTATAGAATTTTTACATAAATAAATGATATTGACATTCAAGTCAAGCGACCATGTATTTTATCACACAGTCATTTGACGTAATTTATTAAAAGTTTATGTAGAATTTCTATCATTAGGTACTTGTGGCACTTGACAATAGACAAATTGCGACAAGTATTCTGTTTTCCATTTCCTGAAGTCAGTACCATATTTTTGAGACATTTTTTTATTTTTTAGTTATTTTAATGTTACTGTTTGTAAAACATCAAAAATATTTTACAGCGCCATTTTATACTGAGTACTTATAGTATTTTCATTCTGGTCGAGTACGACCAGAATTAACATCAATACATAGTATAAAACAAAGTCGCTTTCGCTGTATGTCCGTATGTATGCTTAGATCTTTAAAACTACGCAACGGATTTTGACGCGGTTTTTTTTAATAGATAGAGTGATTCTTAAGGAAGGTTTGTATGTATAATAAATGCATAATATAGTAGAGAAACACTGATAAATTTAAAGGTTTCTAATGTGATGTCGTAAATAAGCACGTTTTTTTGCGCTTATATTGCAAACGCTGGCTGAACCCTACGAGATAGACCAAAATAATGTACTACAGTATTGTTCACCTTAAAAAGTTCAACAAAAAAGTCCGCGATGGTATATGTCTATCTCTTAGGGATAACCCAGCATAACCATTTTTATTCTTTACTAAAAAATGGTTATTTACGAAGTGATTTTAAACAATACAGCATTAATCCTTATCCATTTAAGTACCTTAAATAAATTGTGCATTTATTATAGATCAATATGCTTTTTACAACATGTAATTTAAGTAAATATTACCGAAGATATTACAAATTGAAAATGCAGGGTCGTAGTTGTTTGCGCCGGGCGGCGCGTGCCTATAAATAGCGCGTCGATGGCCGCGCTTCGCCTTATAGCACTTTATGATTTGCAGCGATCGCACGCGTTTATCGGAGCTCTCTAGCGAGAAAAATATCAAGAATTAATTAAACTGAATAGAATAAGTATCTTTTGTTGTTGATTATCTTTTAAAACCATATTTCTTGGTATTTCTTCCATTAAGACTTTGATTTGAATTTAGAGTTAAGACAATTTAGTATTAGGGCGAGCATTTTCAATTATTGAAAATTATAGACTACTGGGTTTTTATAAATTCTCAGTAGTAGCACGGAGTCTGGTTGTGCCCGGTATATGGCAATAGGCTCACCCCCTATTACATGGGACTCATAACATAAATAGTGAAAAGTGGGTGTTACATTGTACAGTGGCATAATTACACCTCTGCCTACCCCTTCGGGGATAAAAGGCGTGATGTTATGTTATATGTGAAAATTATAGTTAAGTTCATAGAAGAACTGAATAGAATAGGTATATTTTGTTGTTGATAATCTTTTGTTTTTAGTCAAACGAATAGTAAGTAAATATTTTTTACACCAGCATTAACCAATAATTAGTGCAATTAGTTCATAATCATACGTATAGTTTTAAATTGTGAGTTTAATCAAGTACTGAGTACCTAAGTATAAAATTTTGAACAGACCATTAATAAATCGCAGGGTCAAACTTTTAACGTTGCAGGATTAGACTTGAGTGTTGAGTGTTTTTCACATGGCCAATTTTATGTCGCGCTGTCAAGAGTAACGTCTAAGCAAAACATGTTTGTATTGGCTAATGACAAAAAAGCTGTGAACGTTGTGTATAAGGACATTCTGTAGTAGGTATATTTTGCATTGCACCCGTGCGAAGCCGGGGCGGGTCGCTAGTAAAATACTATAAGTGCTACTTAAGTATCTTAAACTTACACGTAATTTTTCAGATTTTCACGTAGAGTTGCAATCATGGTGCAATATAAACCTCCCTTCAAATTTCCGGATATATTCACAAACAATTGTATTATAAAATAAATTATTATTAGATACATACATAATAATTACTATGTAATTTTAAAAAGCAGTTGAAAATATATAACGAGCAAAGTATATATATATTGTAGTTCATTCGGAAAAACAGGGAAAACGCTTGAGTTTTTCACCTAGACAGTGAGTATGGTTTATGTAATTTTATAGTATCGAACTATCTAAGTGGTATTACCAGACCGTAGACGGACACCCAACGGATTGCTAGGACTCCGGCTCGAAGCAGGAGTAAGGACGAGGTAGTTTTAGTCAGTAAAAGACTGGAAGGTAGACTTTTCACACTGCCAAGGTGGATTGTCAGTTGAGTCCAGTTGAGTTATTGGATGATTTTCCACCCTCAAACATAAGTGGTATCTAAGCTTGTTTCATGTCTTTGTCTACAATCTGTACAGTTGAAGCGATGTTTGTTGGTAGATGTATATCTACTACTTAATGATCTCGGTTCGATCCCTATATTAAACTTTACTATTAGGCTTTTTAATAATGATTTTTTGAACTTTTTCTATAAAATGAGCACTAAGGGAGCTATTGTAATTTTTTTGTTGTTAATAGGGTGACGTTAGTTATGTTAGGTGCTGAAAATATGCGCTCACTATAAAAGTAGCTGAAAATATGCGTTTCTTTTGAAACATTTGATGGGCCGACGTTTGACCACTATCTCGCCTGGTGGTAAGCTGGTGGTCTACGATCGAGCACGGCTTACTTTTACTTTGATCCCTGCTTTTCTTTTTCCTGAAGCCTGAAAGAAATACTGACGTGAAGTAATAACAATTTTTTTTTTATTAAAAATGTTACAATTAACACGTAGAGTAGTATTATTTGAACGATTACAAAAAACTAACTTTTTGCTTTAAAATGTATTTTAATGATAAGAATATTTAACGCTCATTATAACTTCCTAATTTATGTTACAGAGTGATTAAGTATATTATAATATCTTTAATGATTAATTAATATTAGAAACTGACATAATATATTTCTATTGTACTCGTGGCGCGTGTCTGGTATTATCTACTAACCCATTTAGGTTTTGTAAGTACTAAATTAGTTGTTATGTGATAATGTAGCAATAAGGAACGTTTATTAACTTAAGCAATTAACTTTAATCCTCGGGTCATTGTGTTTAGATTTTAGACCACAATGACATTTTAGTTGAGGTCTTTAAATTATTTGTATTCTTTGTATTTGTAATAGTAAAACATAACATAGATTAGAATTACTTAAATTGTAATATGTCTTGTAAAATTTCCCATTTTTTTTATGGCATAAGCCGGTAAACGAGCATACGGATCACCTGATGGCAAGCAATCGGCGTCGCCCATGGACACCTGGAACACCAGAGGCGTTACAAGTGCGTTACCGGCCTTTTGGGGATTAGGACTTTGAGGATCGTTGGGGATTCAGGGATTGGGGAAATTGGAGAAGGGGAGGGTAACGACGAAACACAACGCAACGAACGCCGAGGTATCACTCCGGTCGAGCCGGCCCATTCGTGCCAAAGCATGGCTCTCCCACACTTGAAATTTGCTGAAATAATATATTTTCATTTGATAATATGTTTGATTCTGATTTCCTACATTGCTGTCTGCGCTCAGGAAATGACGTTTTATAATAAGTTACTGTTCATTAATTTTTATCATCATATTTTTCATGTTTTCATATTGTTCTATGAATTTATGACGATGTGTATGAACAGTCAACAGTTTTCTTTAGAAATTTTGTCAGACGGCGTTATCTTTATGGGTAATCAATCATCATGTTAAATTGATTATGACTTTATGATACGTTTGTGCAAATTTTTTGATTGACTAGTCACCATCATCATCATCAGTCGTAAAATTCTGAATAAGTTGTGTAAATGCTTCCGCATTTTCTGTCGAATCGGAAGAATGAGATGCAGCTGGTGTAGATAATATTAAAAATATACAGACGTCTTAATATTTTGAGTGTGTAGTGGTATTGGTATCATAATCTTTTCCTAACCAATTTGAAAATTAAGGGTCACAATATTGATGTTTACGCTCGATCAATGAAAATTTTCAAATTGAAACCTCAATACCTTTTTTCGACCCGAATATTATATTCAAGCCTCGGTGGCCTTCAAATTGTGCTAACGACCATTTTTTTAAAAATCTATTAAGCTATTTTTGAAGTATTATATTATACCCTAGATTATATTATACGTAGATAGACAAAAAAGTGGGGTTCATGTTACAAAATTTATTTTTATAAACAAAATAAGTTGTATTGTGTCTATATCGAGTCTAATTCAAAACCGAATATTCGAGTTTAATTAATTTACATTACTTATGTAATGATCTTGGATTTGATTTTTTAATTTGTTTAAAAACTATACTATAAATAGTCAAATAGATAGGTCCATTAGGTATATTTCAGGAAATGTTGTCGCAATTGATTGTAAGCTTAAAATTTGCAATAGTTAGATATATTATATTTGTTAGGCACCTAACCTACTTTCCGGGTATCATAAGGTAAAATTAAAGGACTATACAGATTTGATATAAACCTGGTAGCAACAATCTTACATTATGGCAACAGACCTCTTATATAGAGGAGGCTTGTAGACCAACAGTGGGGCTGTCACTGACTGTTGTTAATGCTGCGGACAACCTAATAGGTTACCGGGGCTTTGGTCCAAAGCAGAAATAGAAACGGGGCGGTTTTTGGTCAATAAGAATCCGACACTCTCTCTCGCCTCACGAAAGGCAGGAGAATTAATTCGATGATTTTCCCCGCTTAAAAAAAACAGAAAAGAGCCTTTGATCGAATTAAAAACAATTACTCTATCTAGAGATATAATAAAAAGTCCCATGTACGAGGTCTTAATAAAAGGGACACAGGTATCTTCTTCTGAAAAGTTCTTGTACCACGCTTATCCCTTGCGCAGAACGATAGGCCGTAGGCGTGATATCGTGTCTGACTCTATGTGTGTAGGTATCTGACTGATGATAGTTTTAATGGAGTGTGATTAATGATCACCTAGTGATCAAGTTATGTCAAG